ACCAGCAATGGCAGCGACCCCTTCCACATTACGCCAGCTCTCCTTCCTGACCTGGAGGCTTCCTTTCCCCTCCCTCATCCTCATTGCCTTTCTTAGCATGGCCCACACTCTTCCTTTCTGATTGATACATGAGATCTGGCATCTCTTCCTGAAACGACACAAGTGGGCATTTTCCCGTTATCTTCATTATCTATTACTACTTGGCGTACAAAAGCGAGCCTGGAGTTGGAGGGTCGCATATTTCTTCCCCCTTGGGAAGTGGGCGTAAGCGATCTACCCACACCACGACACCTGGCGGAGATAAATCGAGTCTGTGTCAGTTTCGATTTTCTCTTCTCCTTTAGCCTGGGTTTCCAAGGTATGGGATGAAAACCATTGACATGGATTTGAGCCCATTGGATGGAATGGGACTGTACAGCAGGGCGTCAGGGCATAGGGAGTACATAGCGATAGCAAACCATAATCATTTTCTACCAAGCCTCACTTGCGTGATTTTCCCCCCTTAGCAACAAGCAGGAAGCCATAGGAATAAATGTCTCAAGCAGAAAAAACCGCGCAGTTTAACCGCGCACGAGAATATGCCTCGTCGACAGAGCCGCGACTAAGAACACAGACCAAACTCTAGAACCTCTCAGGGATAGGATAGTCTAGTATCGACTGGACCGGGCGTCTAGCGTCTAAACCGGGGCAAAAAACACACCCACTCACCCACCCCAAGGCGCAGACCTATGGACCTACTCCTTACTAACCCACAACAGTTTAGCAGAAGAGCTACATTAGATTATAGATAGATAGGAGAATAGATAGTCCAGTGGAATACTTACTATTCTCCCCGTAGTAATGCTGCTTGCGCCCCGAAATTCTCCGCACCCGCCCGTCCCTCACCCCTTGTCTCCATCTCCGTGCCCAAGTCGACAAGACACAATCAGCCTACCATTCATCACAGTACCTTCATCAAAATCCTCAACAATATATTCAATAAGAAATAAAAAATAAATTAAACGATCATATGATCGAAAAATGAAGGATGAGTCAAACCCGCGCCTATAACTTTACCCAAGTTAAGTTCAACTTTACTAAAGTTACAATGAAGTGGCAGTGCTTGCCAGCTTCCCTGTTTATTTCTCCATACCACTCACTCACGCACTGGATCTAGATACTCACTAGCTAGTACTGGTAATAGTCAGATATTATTTAACTGGTAGTGATGTATGTTAACTATGTTAGTTGATGAGTTAAGTTATGTATGCAAGGTTGAGTCAGTCGGGAGTCACCTGAACTGCAATGGAGATTTAGTTGGATTGAATCGTTGGTGTGTGTGGCTTAACCTGTGTATGGTTGGTTCGACTGTGTTCAGGTTCATGCAAGGTATGGGAGTCATGATGGTCTTGTGACTTAACTAACTTGTTAACTAACGTTAGTCACTGGGTGTTTCTGACTCAGGCAGAGGTGTAGGTAACTAGTTAGCTGAAGCTGGAGGTTCGGGGTCGTGGAATGGACACGGGAACGGGGACGGGTTCCCGATTGTTGATTTACTCGCTTATTTACTTGCTTACTTAATGTTACTGGGTGTAGTAGCTAGATATTACCAAATAGGTATAGTCCTGGCTAAGTGGTATAGTGTAATAGATATGCATGGAAGTGGGCTGGGTTTCAGCGAGCGTGTTCCGGGATGATGCATAGTTGGTGAGGGGATTTGCACGTCGTTTTCTATTGATAGTAAGTACTATGTTGGTTGTCGGGTAGGTGCTTTTAAGGCGGGGAGGGTATTAGTTTAGGTATGTTGTATGTAAGTCATACTTGCTGGGAATGATTATTGCAATCGAGTTACTGTACTAGGAAGGAACCGCGACAATCTGCATCGGGTTAAAGCTGCGAGAGAAGTGAGGAGGATGAGAATGGAGAAAGGTGGGTTGTTGAATATAGAAGGTAAGCGGCCAGGGTGGTGGTGGTGGTGGTTATGCTTATCCTGCAGGGTGTTGTGTTTGTAGTTACGTAGTATCTGGCTAACTATGGAATGAGGATGTGCATTGTGGAAGTGGATGGATGTAGGTACGGCACAGTCAGTGCTTATCTAGCCCAAGTGACGCAGTATCTTGGAGATGCAGGTAAGGTATAGTCAAAATCTCACAGGAGACAGTGCAGCATGTAGGTTGTAAGGCTGTATGTAACCAGTAATGCAGGCGAAGATGCAAGTACCAAGTACCTGTCAGTATCTAGTATCTATTATCTACTAAGTAGAATGCACATCGGCAGTGTGAGCGTGTAGGAAATGCCAGCTGAGACATGCCGCGAAGGATGAGTGCAGAAGTGGGGGAGAAAGAGGCCCCCAAGCTACTGTACTAAGAAAGTCGGAAGAGTTGGAGTGGAGAGGGTGCAACATTCTGTTGTAAGGCTGTGCCATGGAACTACCACTAGTCTGGTTAGTAGTGAATCGTAGCAGTCGAATTACTACCCCAAAATTGGCTTGGTAGCCAGAGAGATGATTACTATACTAAGTACCTCGCGACGCAGTCTTACCGCCAGTCGGATACTTGCATCGGCCACGACCATGGTCCAGGGATTGGATGCTGCTCAGATTACCGGTGGATCATGGATTCTGGGTAGTGCTGACGGGAGTGCCTTGTTGCAAGCCATGGAACGTGGTAGTCAGGATATGTGGTTGCTTGGCGGGGTAGCGTGGGCTTGGCCGGGCGGGTAGAGATGATGATGATTATGAGGATGATGATGATGATGTTTTATTTTTATATACTTCCTCGAGTCGGGGAACGAAGACAGCGGCAGGATTATTCAGCCTTGAGAAGGATGAGGATTCTACTATGCGGAGTGTGATTTTTTAGGTTTCGACGGGGGTAGCACGGAGAATTAGAAGCATGACTGTCATGCTTTTGCTTCTAAAGTTAAGAATAGATCTCGAGTCCGACGCTCGGTCGCAGTGGGTAGTTGGGAAAGCGTGGTAGATTACCGGAATGGGAGATTTGAGGTCGTACAGAACGGCGGAGCAAGAGAGACAGAACAAAGACAATTTGAGACAACTTTAAAAATAACCCTCGAGGAAAAGCGAAAAAACAAAACAAAAGCAGGTCAGTGTCCAACGTGATCTTACGAGAAAAAAGAGAAAGGAACGTTAAGCGTAATCCCTACCATGTCTCATCATGCCATGTGGCCGCTGGCATACGGGGGGCCGGGCTCTGGCGCCCGTTTCACCATCATCGCGGTCGCATCGTTGGCTGGCAGGTCCAAGATCAACGGCCATTGATGGGTGGCCCCAGTTTCAACAGCTGCCAGGGAGCTGAACGGCGGGGTCACTGATCGCGAGACCACCAATAAGCAACCCATGCTGACTGAGGGACAGAAATTAGTTGGCAGCGGTCGGCAGGTGTCAAGGCACTGTCATGACACTTCGAATCCTGCCGACGAGGTGTCGAGCTGAAAAAGGATCGGAGTCACTTTCCTGTCCGGCGATAGCAAGCAGGGTGACCGCGCGACGGAACGAACACACGGACGCCATGATGAGCTCTAGGGAGAGAAAGCGGCACTTGCACTGCCCTTCCTGGAGGGAATCAGCAAAAGTCACGTCCCTGGCACCCGTATCTCCCAACGCCTATTGGCGCAGTCAAAGTCATCCGAGCTGAACGGCCCGAATTCTATAATGGAGACACCATAATTCTGGCAGGTACCAAGACCGCCAGTTCCACCGCAATCATAGGGTTCATTGCATACAGATTCCCAGTGAAAGGGCGGTGGATTCCAGCGCCGACGCCAGGTGTGGCTGCATGATCTGCATGGCACTGGCTGACACGGTTCAATGATCCTCCATGATCCCCAGCCAGTCAGTGCAGGCCCATGGACAACCAAGACTTTTGCGGCTCGGAGGGAAAAGGGCCAGCCTTAGTATCTATGGCTGTGGGAGGGTGGATATGGATGATTTGTGGTGGTGGGAAAGCGGCGCAATACGGGGGCCAAAGACTGAGTCAGCGGGTCAACATAGTCGGCAGCGCTGGTAGTCAGATTTTTGGGATCGGAACATTGATTCGGGATAGTGTTAGAATCACTGGGAATGTCCCCAGTGGGATCTTTGTTCGGCTCCCCGTGGGCCTGCGGCGGATACTTGGTGACCCAACGCAGAGACTGGACGTATCCAGGGCAATTGACACCCAGGCGGGTGCATCGACTACAATGAGGTCGTTCTTCCCCGCATTTTACCTATTAATAGGCGAAGCATCAAAATTAATGTTTGGGGCCACATGGGGCGGGACTATGTAGCCACCGCGCAAAGGATACTAAACTCACTCGTTTGCTCTTGCACCGAGCACATCCATTACGAGACTTTTTGACACGACGCATTATCGGTCCGAGGTGGGCTCATGGTAAGTTGAGGATAAAGAAAGCGAACAGGTGGACATGGCAGAGGATGAGGAGACGATGGCCATGTCAAGTTGGAGAATGCGGGGGACATTTTGCCTGGCCTTATCGCGGGCCAATGACCATCGTTTGGGACTTTTTGTCCTCTTCGGGAAGCGCACGTTGCCTTCATGAATCATCGTGGACAATAACTGGACTTTCTGGATTGGCTGCTGCAGAAAGCGCTGGTGACCGCCACTGGTAGTGGCTCTGAAAAGGACCCGGGTCAAGTAGTGGTTGCTTCCCCAGATGAACATGAAGCAAAAAGCGATGAAGGGTGGAGGAAACAATGGCAGACCGGCCAGAACAATCACCCAAAATGGCTGGCCGCCTTGATATTGTTCTGTTGGTGCCTGAGGCAATAATACCCCACCCGCACGGAGAGGCACTCATTTTGGCGCATATCAATCCATCCACTGGAATATCTTCACCGTTTGTTGTATCGCGCAGTCCTCTTTGCACGTTGGAAAGTAACTCCGACACCCAATAGCATATAGACTGTTTACTGCAGACTCAACTTGCTTCGTGTGTGAGCAAGTATACGTACTCAAGCTTGGCCTTTGGTGCCCCGGATTTTACCGGACGTCATTCACTGCCCCGTCGGTATATCGGACAAGGATACAATTTGGATTGTCCCAGAGACATCAGGGTGCAAGCTGGTTGAAACTTCAGCTCACCTATATATTAAATCGAGGGTCTCCTTGAATGTGTATAGCGTGAACCATCGTACCCCTGACCAGCTGTTAAAAGTGTTTACTAGCCGCTATATCTAGAAAATACTTACTTTCAAGTTGAAACATGGAAGGAAAATACGCGTCTGATCCCGAATGGGCATCCATACAGCCAATTCCTCTGAATGATGGCTCCGATTCAGGAGCCCAGCCATTGGCTACCATTGCCTATCCTTCGCATTATCTCGAGGCCACATCGTATCTGCGAGCGGTCATGGCGGCCAACGAAATGTCAGAAAGGGCACTGAAGTTGACTGAAGACATTATTTCGATGAATCCGGCACACTATACCGTATGGTAAGCTTGTCTTGTTCGACCCGCGTATGATACTGTTGGGACAGGCAGCTAACTAGGACTATCAGGATTTATCGCGCTAAGATCCTGTTTGCTTTGGGCAAAGACCTCAAAGACGAGCTGGAATGGCTCAACGGCGTCTCACTCAAGTATCTGAAAAATTATCAGATATGGTATGGCAAACTGTCCCTTTCATCCCACTCTATGTTGGCGCATCTAACTTTCACCAGGCACCATCGTCAAGTTCTCATGTCACGCACAGACTACTTCCCGAGCCCACCAGCTAAGGAGCCAGACTTCCTTATGGAAATGTTTGCCCAAGACTCCAAGAACTACCATGTTTGGACCTACCGTCACTGGTACGTCCGCCACTTCAAGCTCTGGGATGCCCCGCGGGAAATCCAGGACGTGGAGGCCCTCATTGCATCGGATGTCCGCAACAACTCCGCCTGGAACCACCGCTTCATGCTCCGGTTTGGCCCGCGCGATAACGAGCCAGATGCTGGGATGCCCAATAGCGGCGGAGACCCTTCGGAGAAGGGCCGACTAGCCGTTGTCGATGAAGACGTCGTCGACGCTGAGCTGCAGTACGCTAAATCCAAGATTGTCCGGGCGCCCGAGAACCGCAGCCCGTGGTCATATGCACGGGGAGTATTGCGTGCCGCGGGTCGGCCTCTTTCGGAATGGAAGGAATTTGCTGGCAAGTTCGTCGTCGATAAGGAAGATGGTAGTGTTGAGGTCAAGAGTAGCCATGCTGTAGAATGGCTGGCTGATGTATTCATTGCGGAAAGCGAGCCGGCATCGGAACAGGAAGCCGTCCGTATGCTTACCTTACTGAAGGAGAAGTATGATCCCATTCGATCTAACTATTGGGATTATCGCATTCGGACGATTACCAGTGCAGCCGTTCCTGCAACAGCATGAAAACCTTGTATATTGCTAGCGAGAAGTCTGGGATGGAGAATTAGCCGCTAGAGCGATCTAAGGCAGTGATTCCAGATTATCAGAAAAAAAGGTTCTGTTAATATTATTATATCATATATCAAACAAGCACGCTGTGTCGTACATCATTAACCTGTATAGTGAGACCCATGCAACCCAAATTTCCACAAGAAACAAACAAAACCAACAGATACACCATAACCCATTGTAGCATTAGCCATGAAATTCACAATCACTCAGATGCCCACCCATCAGCCAGCATCTTCCTCCATTCTGCCGCCATATCAATGGTAACATTGCTGCCACCGCAGACAATAATAACGACGCGACTGTCTGCATTCAAGTCCGGCACCAACTCCTTCAACTTAGACTGCATCCCCCCAGCAGAGGCCGACAGCGACAGCGAAGGAACCGGACCATCATCCTCATTCTCCCCAGCAGACAGCCGATCATCTCCATACCCTTCATCCTTACTCACATACCCAACATCCATGCCCCTCTTCCTCTTCTGACCAGCAGCCACCATCTTCGAAGAAGAAGATGATGATGAAGAAGCACAGCTAGACCCCCCAACCGCAGCCTCCACACAAACACCACAAGCCAACTCAACCAACAACCTCTCATCATCCACAAGCCTCAACACGCCCCTTGCGGCCTCCGCATCCGAGAACACCGCACTGTGCACCTTCACGCCCGGCGGCGGCTTCACCGCATACTGAAACGTTCTCTCAGAGACCTTAATAGCCCCCAACGACGTAGCCTGCGACGTGATCTTCGGCAACGAGACCAGTTCGTTACTCTCCAACGCTGTAGCTAGAGAATCCGTGCCCTTGGTCTCAACAGCCACAAGATGAACAGGCTTCGCCGCACCATCATCGGCAACCTTAGCCTTAGCTCTATGCCTCTCAATCCCCATAACCAACCCATTCAACAACCCTCCACCACCGACACTACAAACAATAGCATCGACCGGCAACGCACGACCGGCATGAACTTCTTCCTCTTCCTCCCCGACAGGCGGCGGGACCTGGTCCACCAATTCATCAATAATAGTGCTGTTCCCTTGCCAGATAGGCTCATTGTCAAATGGATGTAGGGCAATCTTCACAACATCATCATCACTGTCTGCATCATTGTTGTCCTTCTTATTCATCACAACATCCTTCATATACTGTCCCGCCTCCGAGAACGTCTCCCCGTACTGAATCACATCCGCTGCACCCGCATTGCGCAGCTTCTGCACCATCAGCGGCTTCGTCGACACAGGCACCACCACCGTGCAGGGGTATCCAAGGCTCCGGGCGGCACAGACGGCAGCTAAGCCGGCGTTGCCGCCGGAGGAGGCGTAAAAGTGCACGGGACGGTGGTAGTTCTCGGGTTTGAGGAGGTGAGAGAGGATTTGATTGCCCATGGCGCGGGACTTGAAGGAGCCGCTGGGCTGGATGTTCTCGAGTTTCAGGAAGATTCTACATCCTGCGGCGCGGGAGAGGGTCGTGGATTCGATGAGGGGGGTTGGGGTCCAGGGGGTTTTGTAGGTTGGGGGGTTGGTTGGGGGGAGGATGCTGCCCATTGTGTGTGTTGGTATATCGATTTCCCTTCGGGGTGTGGTGATAGTGTTCAATTGGCGATGATGTTGATGATGATGATGGTTAGTAGGATGGTAGTAGAGATGTTATAAAATAAAGTAGATGGTAGTAAAGAGGTGAATATGATTTGATATGATCTATCAGTTGTTGGGATAAGAAGATATTGTTTTGGATAGACAGTAAGAGAAGAGAAGGGAGGAGAGGAGAGGAGAGGGGACAAGATCAGGTATAAGATAATCAATGTATATTACAGTCAAACAGAGAAAGAAAACCCCTAGAATATGATACAAACCTCATATACTCCCGCCATGATATAGCGCTGAATCCCATAGTTCGTGATATACAACACGGACGCTTTCCGATATAGTCCGCCCAAGTTTGCCGCGGGAAACCCACACCCAAGAGTTTCCCGCCCCGAGTCTATCTATCAGGAATTCGACCAACCCTTCGCCCAGTCGGCACCCTTTTCCCGTTGATAAACTCGCGCATATTCTGCTCCAGTTATCGCCATACCATGACATAACATAAACCTTCCCTCCACCCCTGCATGCGTATGAATGACGGTCTGGGACCCAGAGCCATCCATAACGCAGTCTCCATCAAGCAGCAAACGGAAAAGCCAAACCCGTTCTATTTCCACTGTCTCCTCCACCAGGCGGAGACCCGTGCTTAAATTGTGCGTGTTTTGGCTGACCGAACCTTCCAATCTGGTGACCGTGATTGGACCCCAGCCCATTCCTGTTATCAAATGGAAAGGACCGCCACATTAACTTTCCACGATAAGAGGGGGAAATAGGATACTCTTTTTAGCATCCACTCCGTAGTCTGCGTCGGAGCCGTACGTCGCCGCCGCATAGCTCCTTTTGGCCGGGTCCGTTCTGTCTACGTGGAACATGTCCAGAAGCTCGTTGGCCTTGGTGGGCATGACAGGCTGCAGGAGGATACCGGCCATTCGCAGTGATTCGGCGACATTGAAGATCGATCGCTGGCGGTCGTTCGGGCTCTTCCATGGTTCTGCGTGGTGGAAGTATTTGTTGGTCTGGGTGGTCCGGGTTAGAATAAGTCTGCAAATAATCACCGATCATAGGGTGGGTCTATCCTTATCCCTTACCTGATCGATTAAGGTAGTGATTTCTTGCAGGGCAGCACGGGGGTTCAGATTTTCCATTTGCTCTGCTACCCTCTTGGGTACATCCTTGAGCATTGTTTCGTACGCCTCATCGGCCGGAGTCGCTGGTGGAAGTCTGCCGCACGTGCCATTCTCGATGTAAGTCCTAAGATTACCCTTGGCACAGCCGATTGCCCGATGTGCAAGGTTTCCGAGCCCCTTCTGCAGTAGCTTCTGATAGTCGCGGATGATGTAAGCATTATCATAGTCGGCGTCGCCCACCAATGCACCTTGGTGGATGAGGAAGAAACGCATGGAATCCACCCCGAAGCGGTTGATGGCAAAGAAGGGGTTCACCACATTACCCGTAGACTTCGACATCTTCTCACGGTTCATAGTCCAATGTCCATGAACGAGTACATTGCGGGGAAGAGGAAGGTCAAGAGCCATGAGGAATGCGGGCCAGTATACGCAGTGAAAGCTGTTGCTCGGTTAGTCAAGGGTTCGCGTATATGGCAAGCTTGAAGGCGAATACGCACCGAACAATGTCCTTACCGACGACATGCACATCCGCGGGCCAACCGAGGTGGCTTCCTTGGCCGGGTGCAAACGGGTAGCCTGCCTTGGTCAAGTAGTTGACAAGCGCATCTAGCCAGACATAGACGGTCTGTGTGTTGTCGCCGGGAACCGGAATACCCCAGGTCAGCCGCTCCGCAGGTCTAGAGATCGACAAGTCTTGAAGGCCTTCGGAAACAGATTTGACAACATTGGTTGTATACATCGTCGGGGTAATGAATCCAGTTTTGTATAGATCGAGCAAACGCTCCTGGAAAGCTGACAGACGGAAATGGTAGTTGGTTTCCGACGACCACTCCACCTCCTTTCCTGTCTCAATGGAGACCTGTCTGGGTAAGCTTCGATTGTTTTGGCAGATAGGTTGGCGTGCAGCTTACCATCTTGGTATGTCCAGTCTCGGGGTCCAGCGACTTTTGTACTTGCGTCTGAGGGTAGAATGTCTCATCGCTAACCGAGTACCAGCCTTCGTGCTTCGCGGTGTAAACGTATCCCCGGTGCTCCAACACTTCCTACTCACATGTCAGCCTCAGAGTCATGCGCCCGGGCGTATTTCCTAAGTACATACCCAAAAATACTGAACAGCTTCCTTGTGCGCAGGTTCAGTTGTCCGTATAAAGTAATTGTAGTCCATATTCGCAGCATTTGCTAGAGCCTAAACTTAGATGTTAGAATCGATTTCGCACCGGAGCACGACAGTATAGTGAATGCTGCCTACCTCAAACGTCTTGTAATTCATGTCGCAGAACGCCTGCGTATCCATCTCCGCAGCCAACGCGGCCTGCTGAATCTTTACAAAATCAGCCATACTGTGCTAGGCAGTGGTTATTGGCCCGTACCTTCATGCCATGTTCGTCCGTTCCCGTCAGCAATTGTGCGTCAGCGTCTCCGATGAGAGTCCGCCATCTCTTGATGACATCGGCAAGGACCATAGTATACAGATGACCGACATGAGGGGCTATATGAGTCAATGCGTTAGCGGCGAGCGAGAAAGCACAATAAAACATGGGACGAGGTCATACCAGCGTTGACATAGAAAATGGGTGTCGTGACATAGTATGGCTTCTTAGAAGCGCTTTCCGAGGCCGCCGTTGCGAATCGACGCGGACGGATCGTTGTCGCCGGGCGGGCAGTTGCGCGGGGGACGCATTTCCAAGATGGGCGACTGCAGGCCAGGAATTGGCCGGTCCAAGATGCCGCACGAAAACCTGCCCTCGAGATAGCCATTGGCGTGGGACTGCGGAAGGGAGCAATGATGGTTTATTCCAGGCGGCGTTTTCGTCGGAGCTCGATCATCATCTCCGGGTGGTCCAAGCTTCCGTGCCTTTTTTCTGCCGTCCGATGCCTGCTCCTCTTCTCCGCGATCGCGCATTCTTGACATAGCATCTAGTGTCGTTCACTCTGTTCGACCACCATCTTATAACTCGTTTTTGGACTGTTGAAAATTTTTCAGGAGCTCCAGTTTCTTGATATTAGGGTCTATATACAGTGTCTTGGCTTGTTTCCCGAAATTTTCGTTGAAATCCATCAAACAGTCCCGAATCACAATGGCTCCTCCTTCAGAAGACACACTGACAAAGGTTTCCACGGATGGTATGTCGGTCTACGAGAAATATCTCGCCCGCAAAATTCTAATTTGGACTTTCTTTCAGCGGCAACCGACTTTGTCCAGTCCTTCTACCCTGCCCTCGAGAACAACCGTTCCACGATAGCCTCGTTCTACAGCCAGCCCACGGCCATGATCCTTTTTAACGGAAACGCTGTCGCCGATGGAGCCGCCGTCCAAGAGATTTTTGTCAACCAAATGTCCCCGACGCATTACGAAGTGCAGTCCGTCGATTGCCAGATTATCAACAAGGCGTATCCAACACCTACCTCGACTGGAGTGAAGCTCCCCACTGAAACGACTGTCAAGGACATGTCTATCTTGGTTGTCGTTAGCGGCTATGTGCGCTTTGGAGAGTCCAGAGATTTGCCCCAACGAGGCTTCAGCGAGACCTTTGTGCTGGTGCCGAATCCTTCCGCCGACGGGCCCAAAGGGAAGCGCAAGCGAGAATGGCTTATCCAAACCCAGAACTTCCGACTCGTCGTATGAAGGAACAAGACCAGAATTTATTTGATGGAAGAGGACGCCTCTCACTATGCCTTTGACGGAAATGAATAGAATTGCTATTGCGGTGTGACGACTTGATAAACACATTATGCGCTATGATCCAAGGACGCGACTACACAATTTGAGCCGAAGAAGGAAAACGGAAGAACCCTTAGGAAATAAATACCCCACGACACGCCAAGCGAAGAATTTCCGAAACAGAGCAACTGCTATCTCGTCACTGGACCGCGGATCTTCGCGGTACACGCATATTTGCTCTGATGCGCTCGAGTAACTCGTCGCGCGATGCGCTTTCGCTGGGCAAAAGGCCCCTCTTGGAGTGACAGTTAGAAACCATTGCTCTTTTTTGGCGACATTGACTGTTTTGTTTACGAAGGAAGAAGAAAACATACAACTCGAAGCCATCTCCGCATTTCATCTGCAGTCCAATTCTCCGGATCTTTTAGACGTCAGCTTGGTATACCTACAATCACAGAGGATATCGATCCGTGCCTCCAGTTGGGTCAGCTTCAGCGGGGAACACATCGCTACCCCAGATGGCCCAAGCGGCCGCTGCAGTCACCATTCCAGCAAACCCTGACAAAGTTAGATCGGACTTTCCGTCAACAATATTCAGCTCAGAATAATATACCTAGAAATAGGTTCTGAGGGGCCATATTAGCTTACGGACGCCGCTATCATTTCTGGGGCTGATTGTATAGTACCTTGGAGTTCAACGCGCGATCTAAAGGCGTTGGCATTTTGTTCTGGATTAGAGATCGCTGCTATGTATACTTGTGAAACGTATTGCTAGTAGTCACGAAGACGGAAGGAGGCGATGATATCTGTTGAGATGAACAACAAGCTTGTTGCCAGATATCCCAGTAGATATAAGATGGAGGGTGGCTAAAACACTATAGATGTCGATCCCCCGTACTCCGTAGGCAGCCGCCTTATCGATTGCACCGCCACATATATCATTGCGGGATGTCCCGCCACGACGTGGCACGCGGACTAAGGGCTTCCGGGGGGCAACCCTACAGCCCACAGAAGCTAGCTGATTCCCCCGGCCAGCACCGCCCGCCGACGAGCTTCGAGACCCGCGATTGTCATCCAAACCTTCCGTCATCCACGACTACTCAAACGAAAGTCACAAACCCCACTAGCCACCATGCCTCAGGAAATCTCCGACATCAAGCAGTTCATCGAGGTCTGCCGCCGCAAGGATGCGTCCTGTACGTTTACCCGACCTTTAGCCGCTTAGTTATCATGAAGTGGAAAGCTCCGCGGAGCTAGCTCTTTGAGGAGGGGGAAGCTCGAGACGGGTACCCGACCATCATCGAAAGGGCAAATTGGAATGGTTGATCGGGATGGATGAATGATAAGAAGTGGAGGCTAACGCGTGATGGTCTTGTCTTTCAAACAGCTGCTCGCATCAAGCGCAACCCCAAGGACCAGCAGATCAAGTTCAAGGTCCGCTGCTCCCGCTTCGTCTACACCCTTGTCCTGAAGGACTCCGACAAGGCCGACAAGCTCAAGCAGAGCCTGCCCCCTGGTGCGTTTGCTCCCGTCACCTGATCGACTGTTTCTTTGGATGGTGTTATGGAACAAGATACATGTCGTCGGACGCGTTTGTTTCCTTACGACTTGAGATGGGCATTGATGTGGACCTCGGCTATTGCATGACATCATTCGGATTGAGTACTAACATCAATTGTTTTCTCACACAGCTCTCAAGGTTGTCGACGTCTCCAAGGGAGACAAGAAGAAGGCTCTGTAAATACCTTCATCAACACATTGAGGTTGGGACTCGGCGAGAAGGTCGTCGGCGCATGGAATTTAGTCGAAGCATGAATACACTTGTCGATTACGATTAGGAAATTGGCATGGACATGGATTGCTTCTGTGGGCCGACACGGAGGGTTAATCTATCCTTGAACCAGATTGGTTGTCTCTTCGCGTCTGGTTACCAGTGGACTCTGATATATGTCTTCACATTTCACTGAAACCGGATGACCTACATGACTGGAACTTTTCTGCTAAGGGATTAGCTTTGTCGGAGCACCTTGCATCCTATACAACGTAATGGAGAAAAACAGTTGAAAATTCCATGATACCTCCACTTTCTCCCGATGATGTGATATGAGTCCTCGTGCCCTGGCTATGCTGCGTTGACTGAACGGGCATTGCTAGTCTTGGTCCCATGCTATCCTTTTTGCAGGTCGTAGATTCGTAGTATTGGACTGGCTATGTGCGTTGCCGATCGGACGGTGCCGTGCATGCTGTAGACTCGTGTAACATACGGATTATGCTGTGAAGCCCTCGCCGTTTGTTATGACCGCATACCGTACATACATGCTACCATATCCAGCCTCATTCCATAACACGAGCACAAAGATCTAGTTTGAGATGTACAGCCCAGTCAGACTGCCCCAGTCCTCTGATGTCATAGATTAAGATCTAAGACCTATGTGACAGTATTCTATCATGACCAAGCAAATCTACAACAACGTCCCATAAGAGATCCACTACTCGAGGATCACTCTACCCTCCCATAACCCACTTCAACATACCCCGACACCCCAGCCCTCTCCAAACTCACATCAACCATCTCCCGTCCGAGCGCATCCCTTTCCCTCCTCAACTCAAACTCCCCAAAGTAATTTGGCTCCTCAGCAACCTTCCTAAACATAGCACCCTCAAACAGCGCCAGACTCCGCTCATTAGCCTGACCAATTTTCACACTCAAACAAGCAAACTTAAGGACCGCCTCCATCCCCTTCAATGCCGTCGCGGCAGTCTCATCCCTGCTAACAAACTCATCCAAAATCTCCGCTTCATGGTCAACGATATACCGTAGGAAAGTATTCAGAGCGGCTTTCCCAAAGCCCTTGCGCTGGTTATTCTTCTCGGCTATCATTAGTTCAATTTCCCCGATGATTTGGGGCTCCGCGTCTCCTTCTTCGCCGTCATCGACGCGGAGGAATAAATTGATGTCTCCGACCATTCGGTCTGGGGCGTCGTCTGTGTCTTTGATGGCGGGTGTTGAGGTTTCTGTTTGGGATGGTGATGGGAGACAGACGATGAATGTTAACTTGTCCGGGTCTTGGCGCCAGCTTTGTTGCATGGCGTATTCTTCCTCTATAGAGAGGGGTTCGGATGCGGTTGCTTCTTGGATTTCCTAATTTGGCAGGTTAGTAATTGTAGGTATGATATTCGTATATTTACGGTGGGGGTTTGGCTGTCTAAAAAGATTACGATTTTACCTCATCTTTCATCCATTCATGGTATCTTGGAACGTGCCATTTGGAATATGGGACTAAAAGCACCGTGGAGGTGGAAATGGCTATAGAGGGGATTTAGTTAGCTTGCTTGGGTGGTGGCGCATGCAATCAATGCTCCGATATACCTGTCTTGGCATTAAGCAGCATGTCGAAATATCTGGCTCATAAGTCGAAAGTACCCTGACGAGTCTGTTTAGGAGTACGTGAGTATGGATTACTGAGATAGCCGGTTCTCCAGACCCCGATGCGTGGTGGTAGAAGATTGAATTGAAGAGCTGGGACTTTTCCGCGCGGAGCTTGGCACCGCCCACTTTTAATGCACGAATCTCAGATAGCCCTTGTTTCCGATTTAGCCAGCATATCGGTGTCAATGATATGATAAGAAAAGAACAAAACAACAAAGCAGTAGCTCATAAGACTTATATCTCATAAATATATGCTATTGGTATCAGCTGCTTATTGTTGCTCTTGTTGTCCGGCAAATGTGCTAAACTTCACCACTTCCACCTCGAGGGTCTCGGTGTCGACCAAAACTAGTTCTCCGGTTTCCTTGAACTTGGGTATAGATAGAAGGCGCACACGAGGCCCAGATGTGTTATCGTCATCTGTTCCTGTCATCTCCGTGTCGGCTCCGTTCAGCTTCAGTGGGGCATCACCCTCAATTACAGCTGTCTTGAACTGTGGCTGGTTGCCAGCAAAGAAAATATGCGGGCAGGTTTGTATAACGAATGGATCATGTGTTTGGAATGGATAGGACCCTGTTTCCGAGAAATCAGCATTTGTACCAGTGGGATCAAGAGGTCAACCAGGAGCTTACATAGTGTATCGGGCGCGGTGGGAACTCCACATCTCCAGCGCAGCATAGCCTCCATGACCCTCATCCTCGCCTCTGAATCTCCAGCACCATCGGCCACATTCCCTTCCTCATCTGCGAAATTCAAATACCGGAGGATGTCATCCACGTTCTGACCACTGCTGCCCCATAGTCGCCATCCTTCCACGTCCCCTTCCCACGGGTTCGTTACACTGTCGAACCAACCTGGCTCTTTCTTGTCCTCACCAGCAGGAGGCGGAGCACAGTATGCTCTAGCCTGTGGGAACATAGCACGGTGGATTCCCTGTTGAGGGAGAGAAAAGTTTGCGGGGTCAGATTCGCCTGGCATAAGTGTGACGGGCATACTAGGCAGGATCTCTGCTAGGAAAGAATCAAGTCGCGTAATAGGCGATGCATTATAAGCAGAAGCATCATATCCGTACTTCTTCGGACCGGTCCTTTTCTTTGTAGCGCTATCGGCGTTGACATCCGTAGTCATGCTCGCTCCAACTGAATTTCCCGCAATAATCAACCTAGTGATTGCAGAAGCATCGGGTAGTGCACCTTCAGAAGCACCACCGGTATAACCAAGCAAATAGTCTGCCAAAAGTTCCAAAGCAAGAGTATCGCTCGAAGTTCCGGTGATCCCTAAACCGCTCACAAATGCGATCTTACCCTTCATGGCTCCCGTTGGTGCGTCCAGTGTATCGCTCCCCCATTGGCGGGGTTGTTGTGGTAGATCAGGCACTTTGGTATCTATAACCTCGAAATCTCCATTTGCGTTCTCGGTTCCCAGGACTGCAATGATGGCTCCTGTGCATAACTGCGTGTTCCGGAGCATGCTCCCAGTTAGGCGCAGTCGGCCGGACTCGTCTTCCAACATAATTTGAGTCAACTCCGGATGAGCAGGATCTTGGTAAGTCGGCCGCGGAGGTGGTGCTAACGTATAGTTCTGTTGCCAGAATTAGAATGAGAGCCGTACGCAACAGAGCATTGTAGTATTTCACCTCTTTTGTAAGATCGTCCAAAATATTCGGCTTCAATGGCATGTCCATGTATATCGTTCCTGCGACCCAACAAAGCTCTCCCTGCCTCACGTCGAGGACTCTCTCCACGCGGCGCGCATTTTCTCCAGCGATCTGGCCATCAAACCAAAACATGTCAGCAAACCAGTTTCCCATTTGTATGCTATTGTAATCCTCAATCGAGGTCTTGAAATGCGATGAATGTGACCGGTCTTACACTAAAACCTTCCCATGCTTCGACTGCAATCTCCTCAACTGCGGGCTTGAGTTTTGCCAACCGCAAGAAGTACATGTCGCCATATTGCTGCTGGTAATGCCGATCCTGGCCGCTTCCCAGTCGAAATGTGTCCAAAGGCTTATAATGTGAGGGTACACGGGTGGTTGCGTCAAATTCTTCATTGCTATATGAGCCGCATCGACAGTTAGACTTCATCTTTAGCAAATTTAACAATCGGGGAGATTGACATGCGGGAGAACGAACGTGGGAGGGCGCAGGAACTCGTCGCTGCTTGCCATTTTGGCGTCAATTTATCCGAATACACTTGAATAATTATTTTAAGTGTAGACTCATATGGGCGACGGCGACTATGTACTTGAGTGATGTTGGATGCAGCTGGTGGTGCTGAGTGCTTTTGTCCTGTGCTTCTTCCGCCAACGCGATCACGCGTCTTTTGGCGTTGCGTAATTACAGTACCGCTTTGGGCTTCTCCACCTCTGGAAAGCAGGCAACTTGCCAAAGTCCTTCACAACTGACTGAGATCTATGGCTGTTGTTCTTATGGTTTAATGGGAATAACTTTTTACTGTTAATTATTGTGGGTTTACTTTATAGAACTATGCATCATTCGACATCTTGAAGCCTCCAATGGCAATTATCCATGCTGTTGTTTGGCACGCTAGGCATGTTCGACTGAGCTCAATGTTTAGCTACTTTATGAACAGTGACCGCGCATCTAGATGACTCCTAGTACGGATTAAGGGTTAGTAAGTAGATAGCTGGACTAAGAACTGAACTTATGACCCCAGCGAAGCTTCCTGTATCCTAATCTGGGTTTATCCGGTCTCCGACATAAGAAGACCACACTAATTCGCCCTGACTGAAGAACATAGTAGGAAGAGGGATACCTTTCGCTGCAGTCCGACTTAGACAGGATTTACGCCCTCTAGGCTTGGAATTTAGCAGATCTTGGAAGGTTTGTTTCGACCCTACCGGCCTGGTTGAGGACTTTTGCCTTGGCTGATAAGAAGGCCCCTGCACGAGACAGGAAGACTTGCGTTTTGCTTGTATTATCGTGGACAAATTTTGCGCCAAAAATGGTATGCTAAACCTGAAACTCGATAGATGGATGGTCTGGTCCATTATCGCCAGCGCGCCATCCCTTCATTGAAGCGCTCAAGCATTCCTTCCTTCATTCTAAAGAATGGATTCCCGGAAGTTTACTCCGTGGCAGCAGTGTCCTTCAATCCGACTAAAGCCGAATGACCCAAAACATCATCGGGATACCGGAAGATTAAAATTGCCAGCGAGGGATGTGGCATTGTGTGTGGCATGCCGAATGGATGGAATGCGCCCAATCCACGTTGACTCTTTTGTCCAGTATAATATGTATAGGCTTGGTTTCCCTGTTTGGCAGGATCTCTTCGCCCATCCTGTTGACCCATATTCAAGACAGTGATTTGCGGGAAATCCTCGTACTTGAATAGTGGCCTGTCGTCAGAATGCGAGTCCTATTTCCTTTCGGCCACCTGCTGCGCAGTTTTCTACTTACCAGCTTGATAGCGAGCATCGTCACCTCAGCGTATCTCGACGCGTTTTTACGCGGCCTGCACTCAAACCTGTTCAAAAGGAGCATCCCAGGATCTCTTGCAACAGCGCCTCAAGGCGCGGTAGGCTACTATCAGCCTCCCCCCGGCCCTGCTGTCACCTATCCTTACCGGGTCTTGACAACTTCTGCGCCATCAAATGAAGAAACAGCGGCAACGACAGTAACGGGTACGAGTATATCGACAGAAACCAAGCAGGAGTCATTGCAAGATGGGAGTAACGGCATCAACGAGTAAGCAGTCCATGTGATACATCAGAGAGAGAGTTGTATAGTTGACAATCTCCTACCTAGGCCACGAAAGAACATTGCGATTATGTCAGGGACAGTGACAGGAACTCAGGTGATCATGGAAGCGACGCAATCTGCGACGGCAAAAGGGACATGACCTTAACTTCAGGCGGCTTCTTGCTCTCAATCCTGCTGGGTATACTGCATCTTTGAACATACTTTCTGTGTCTGATATGGGTTTATGGTCTGTTTTTTTGGCCTTTCGATCGAAGTCATTCGCTCACTGGATTGTGATTTGTCTGCCTTTTATTAGCGATTCCTGTATCAGCTGTGGAGTTTTTTGCCCAAGTCCAAAAGTTACAATGTCTGTTTATAGGATCAACGAAGACCGTAACCAAGCCGCGGCCTTCAGTACACAGCCTTTCTTAGTGGCCATAAGAGCAGAATATTTGTGCTAGCTCAAAAATATGCACACGACACAACTCCGCATAATTCAGGAACTCAGTCCTTATGATCAGCCATTATCACTGGGATTAGTGCCAAGTTGAAGAAAGGAAGAGCACAATGTGGTCCGAGTGGCAAGAGCGAGCAAAGGCCAATGCCTCGGTCCGTCCGGGTCTAACGCGTTGGAGCTCCGCTTCCCCGCATTTGAGCTCCTCAGGCACAAGCCAGTTCCCCTGCTTTCACCGCGGATCATATGCTCTGCACTAGGATACTTATGCTCAGAGAAGGCGTTCCTCCAGCAATGGATTTGTTCATACTGCTACAAGCTCAAGTCCTAGAGGAGCCTTCCTATCTGGAAACAACCCACTTTACAATCTATTAGGTAGGCTTGCCCGTTTTTAAGTCAGAGTTTGTTGCTGACCGCATCCCATTGTTTCGATTTATAGACAAATTACCTCCTATATAACAGCGTAACAAACATACCGCTCTATAGTTCAGCTCCCTCGCTCCTGAACCATGTCTCTCCATACCCCCCTTTGCTCATTGCTGAAAATCCAGCATCCGGTCCTGCTGGCAGGCATGGCACGTGCATCCGGAGCACCCCTCGCCGCCGCGGTCTCCAATGCCGGCGGTCTAGGAACAGTCGGCGGGCTAGGCTATACCCCCGAGCAACTATCCGAGATCCTGACCGAACTCAAATCACTTCTTAAAGACCCTTCGCTACCATTTGGCGTTGATTTGGCCTTGCCGCAGGTCGGCGGAGGAGCACGGGCCACGAACCATGACTACACCCACGGGCAGCTGGATCAGCTCATTGACGTGGTCATCTCGCACGGAGCCAAGCTGTTCGTGTGTGCAGTCGGTGTGCCACCGGAGCGGGTCATCAAGCGGCTCCACGACGCGGGCATCCTGATCATGAACATGGTCGGGGCACCCAAGCACGCTGAGAAGGCGTTCAAGCTGGGCGTAGATATTGTTTGTGCGCAAGGAGGTGAAGGAGGTGGCCATACGGGCGACATTCCGTTTTCAGTGCTCGTACCGGCGGTGGTGGATGTAGCGAGGAAGTATAAAAGCCCGTTGACAGGGCAGCCTGCGTTGGTTGTTGCTGCGGGTGGTGTCAATGATGGCCGGAGCTTGGCTGCGGCGTTGATGCTGGGTGCCGCGGGTGTTTGGGTGGGAACCAGGTTTGTCGCTTCAGAGGAAAGTGGTGCGAGTCGCTTGCACAAAGAGGCTGTTGTTGGTGCGCAGTATGGAGAGACGAAACGGACGCTAGTCATCTCTGGGAGGCCGCTGCGCATGCTTCCTAATGAATACATCAAGGAGTGGGAGAAGCGCCCCGAAGATATTGCTAGATTGACGGCCCAAGGTATCGTTCCTATTGAGCATGACTTCAAGAACGATAAGGATGTCGACGTGCCGTTTTTGATGGGTGATGTTTCGGCCATCATTAAAGAGATCAAACCTGCCGGTGTGATTGTCCGGGAGATGGTCCAGCAGGCTGTGGATATGCTGAAGAAGGGAGGATCTTATATTAACGGCCCGGCGAGTAGACTTTGATCGAAATATCGGCGCTGCTTCAATTCTCTCCAAGAGCGCTGACATATATGACATGATATTTGTATTGCAAATAATTTTCATGATAGCGTAATAAGTACGTTTAGATGTTAGTGATCTAGCATGTACAAGTACACGAAATAGAAAAGCGAACAAAAGTTAGGACCACGACTTGCAAAACCCCCACAGCTGTGATGGTGCATGTTGCAATTCAAGGCTGACAGCAACCTAAATGAGCAGGGCAACCTATCTTTAAAGAGCCGAACCGCTACAAGATCTGCATACGGAGACACGAGAGACCCCGAGCGACCAGCGCCACACTGCGCAGTTGCCAGTGCACGCTCTCAGGGAGGCAAATTTTCAACTCATAAAGGCCAACTACCACGCAGCTGAACAGAGACGTAAAGAACACCCGAGACAATTGCGGCATTGCCAGCGCAAATGGCGAAGGCTTCGCAATCGTGTTTGGTTCCAAGCCCAAGGAAACATGAACAACGAGAACATGACATTGATGAAAACTGCATTAGTGGCATCCATTGATCATTGCCTTATTTCCGTTGGCTCGCGCTTCCAGCAGGTTGGGCGGCGGGGGAGGCCCAAATACTGGCTTTTCGGTTTGCTGGGGAATATTGCGGTCTCCGTTCATGTCGCCATCCGGGCTGTCAAGCTCGTAGTCATCGTCACTGATTCCTTCATCATCTTCCTCGTCTTCATAGTCCTCATCATATTCACTCTCCGTCCCCTCGTCATCGCCATCCAAATCCGCAGCAAGACCTTGCCCGCGACCCTGGGCTTGCATTCGACGACAAAGTGCTTCCAAATGATGGCTTTTCTTTCGCCACTTTTCTAACTCCTCATGATTCCTTGTGCGCTCCTCCGCCATCTCGAGTATGTTGCGGTTCGTTTGATCGTGCTTCCGTGTAAGGGTGTGGTTTTCCTTCTCTAGCCGTTTGGTCTTTTTGGACATCTCTTCCATTTCTTTGCGAAACGTAAGAAAAAGCTCGTTGCTGTTGTTCAGCGTATCCTCCACCTGCGATATTATTATTACCAGCGGTCAAAACGAGGCTGAGGCCGAGCAAGCCATCGACATCGGTCCATACCTGCTTGAACTTTTCCACGTAGATGTTTAGTTGACTGCGTAGTTCGGCTTCGGTATGCGAGAAGGTAGAGACCTGGGAGCTCAGAGCACGACAACGAGCGGCTTCATTCTCGGCTGTACGGCGCTGCTCTTCGTACTTGGCGGTAAGGCATTGTATCTCGGCATCCTTGCTGCGAAGGAGTGCCTTGTAATGTAACTCGCGCATTTCAAATTTCTCGCCAATAGTTTTGATCTTTGCGCGCAAACTATGATAGGGGGTCAGAGATTAATGAGCACACCCAGCAGACAGCCGCAACTCACGCTTCGTCTAGATCGATGTCCGCTTTCTCACTGCGGGGATTCCCTTTGGCAGCCATGACGTCCTGAATATCGTACAGCAGAGAATCGAGGCGTTCGTTAACAATAAGCCGCGCTTTCTTTTCGGTCTCCTCAAGCTTCTTGTTCTCATCCTATGAACCATCTCGTTTAGCCATCTCCCTACGTGGTGTAGCGTAATAGTGATGCTGTGGAGCTTGGACCAACCTACCTTGACCTTCTTATTTTCCTTGGTTAGCTCCCTACACAGCTTTTCTAATTTATCCTTCATAGTAACGGTTTTGTTCAACTCGGATTTGCCCTTGTCCTGATCCTTCTGCAGTTGATCGGCCCGCTTCTTGCTCTTAGAATAGTCGCGATCTAGCTTCTTCATATCGGCCAGTAGTTCGGTGTACTTCTTGTGAACCGTCTCGAGCCGTGTCATCGGAGATTCGATATTGCTAAGGAGTTGGTTCAGGTCCCTCGTAGCCTTCTTAACTTCGCGCTCTATAGGCAAACAGTCAGCCCATGAAACAACTTCCACTTATTCCACCACTCATGATTATGACGCACCGATTTCTGCCTCCTGATCCTTTTCTCCGGCAGCATCTTGCTCCAACTGCGATATTTTGGCAGCCAAGAGCTTGGATGTCTCATTGGGGTCTGCGACCTTCTTCCCCTTGTTCTTTTTCGACATTGCTGCAGCAGACATTGCTCCGAGTTTTAGAGGATAAAGATCGAGTCGAACTATCGTAGAGCGATTGCGTTGGCGGTGGTCGCGTGGCCAATCCACGAAAACGAAAATTGCGAAGCCGGAACGGTTGGCTAGGACTGGCGGGAAATGGATTCGCTATTCACGCCACGGAGCGGTGGCAACGAGCCGACAAGGAGTGAGCCCGATTCGAAGACGGAGCTGCGGATAGGCAGGGGAGTGTCGTGATCGACAGTGACTCAGTGATTCGAATGTCCAGTGTAGCGGAGAACCTGGGTGGCCTTTTCCCAGACTTGGAGAACTCGGTGGGTAATGGATCCCTAAGGCCCTCTACTAGCCCGGTTCTGCCAAGCTGACCGAAATCACACGGCGTAAGCAGCCTGCAAAGTGTCTTGAGAGTCGAAAGGCAGTTTGGCGACGGAGTCGACTAATGAACGCCGGACGGCTTGAGGATCTTGCCGGGGAGGATTGAATAGTCGTAAGAGGGGGGATGCGCACTTGACCTGCACTAGCCTCTTTTGAAAACTTCTCTTGGCGTCTTTCTAATTTACGGTCCGCCTTCCGAATAGCAGGCCCGATCTCTCGCTCTGCCTTCCTTTCTTTTTTCTCCATTCTCCCTCCACTTTTGCATTCCAACCTCGAATGCTTCCACGGCACGTCACTCGCTTTATCTATCTGATATCGTGCTCGGTGTGGTCAATTGGTTGCGTATCCTAGTCTTTTGCGCTTAATCCCGGTCCGCTCGGGACCGCCATTTCCGACCACCTTTGGTACCCTAATCCCCGGCAGCGGACTCGCTAAAGTACGTCACGGCGTGAGAGTCAAGCCGGTGACCATCAGTCTCTTGCTGTTTCTAGGGTTGGCTATCATCTTCTAAGTAACGCTATGCTGCGTTCATCGTTAGGGGTAGGCCGGAGCCGACTTCCGACCTTGCAGAAACCCGGGCGTTTACTGAGATCGGATAGCGCTCTGCTCCGCTGGGGCCAGATAAGAAGATCTGCTTCGACTGTCACGAGCCTTGAGAACTTTCCGGAGATCGGTGAAGGAATCCATGGGTTCACTGTTCAGGAGAAGAAGCATGTTCCAGAACTGCACCTTACAGCAATCCGCTTGAAGCATGACAAAACCGATGCCGACTACATCCACGTGGCTAGAGAAGACAAGAACAATGTCTTTGGTATTGGGTTCAAGACGAATCCTCCGGATGCCACTGGTGTGCCGCATATCTTGGAGCATACTACGCTTTGCGGAAGTGAAAAGTGAGTTTCCTTAAACATACCTTGAATGCCTGACATACTGGCCCCAATGACTAACCCCGATCTTCCTACCTAGATATCCCATCCGCGACCCTTTCTTCAAGATGCTACCTCGATCTCTTTCAAACTTCATGAATGCTTTCACCTCCGCTGACCATACTACCTACCCTTTCGCCACGACAAACCCGCAAGACTTCCAGAATCTCCTCTCGGTCTATCTTGACGCCACTTTCCATCCGTTGTTGAAGGAAGAAGATTTCAGACAAGAAGGCTGGCGTTTAGGTCCGGAAGATCCTCGCGCCATACTGGCCCGTGGGGAACAATCGCAGGCGGACCAGAAGCCAGAAGACATTCTCTTCAAAGGTGTCGTCTACAACGAGATGAAGGGCCAAATTTCGGACGCCAATTATCTTTACTACATCAAATATAAGGAGAACATCATTCCCGCGCTCAACAACTCTGGAGGAGATCCTCAATACATCACCGATCTGACCCACAAACAACTGGTCGAATTTTCGAAGCGCAATTACCACCCCAGCAATGCCAAGATTTTTACCTATGGTGATATGCCACTGAGCGCTCATCTCCAACAAATTGGGGGCGTGCTGGATGGTTTCCAAAAGGGAGAGGCCGACACTGCTGTTAAGCTACCGATCGATCTTTCTCACGGTCCTCAGAGCGTGACTGTTTCGGGGCCGATCGACACATTCGCCAGCGAAGACAAACAGCACAAAACGTCGACTTCATGGTATATGGGGGATGCTGCTGATGTTGTCGAGACATTCTCGGCCGGTATTCTTTCCTCGCTGCTCCTTGACGGTTATGGATCGCCTTTGTATCGAGCCTTGATTGAAAGTGGCTTAGGGTCCTCATTCACCCCTAATACGGGCCTTGACTCTTCAGGTCGTGTACCCGTGTTCTCAGCTGGTGTTACCGGTGTGAGCGCAGAAGAAGCACCTAAAGTCAAAGCTGCCATTCAACAAGTCTTCAAGGAGTGCCTCGCTACTGGCTTCAGTGACGAGAAGGTGCGGGGTTTCCTTCACCAATTGGAACTTGCTCTGAGACATAAGACTGCCAACTTCGGTATTGGTGTCATGGAGAAAACCATCTCCTCATGGTTCAATGGCTCCAATCCCATGAAGGAACTCGCCTGGAATGAGGTCATTGATGAGTTCAAGAGCAGATATGAGAAGGGGGGCTACCTGGAATCCTTAATGCAGAAGTATCTCATGAATGACAATTGCTTGACTTTCACAATGGTCGGCAGTCCTACTTGGAACCAAGAATTGGACGAACAAGAAATGGTGCGGAAGGAGGAAAAGTTCAACAAGCTCATTGAGCAGCATGGCTCTTTGGAAAAGGTGGTTGCCAAGCTTACAGAGGAAGAGCTCCAGTTGCTGAAAACTCAAGAAGAGGCACAGAACGCAGACCTGTCATGCCTTCCTTCCCTTCGTGTTGCTGATATTTCTCGGGAGAAAGAGCGCAAGCCAGTTCGAGAGTCGAAGGTTGACGGCGTAGACGTCATCTGGCGCGAGGCTCCAACCAACGGCTTAACCTACTTCCAAGCGTTGAACGCGTTTGAAGATCTGCCAGACGATCTCCGTCTCTTGATGCCACTGTTCAATGACTGTATAATGCGTCTGGGTACAGCCAGCAAGTCAATGGAGCAGTGGGAGGATATCATCAAGTTGAAGACGGGTGGCATCTCCACGTCCTCCTTCCATATCTCATCCCCAACGCAGCTTGGAAAGTTCGCGGAGGGTCTTCAATTCTCTGGTTTTGCCTTGGACAAGAACATCCCGGAGATGCTGGAGATCATGACTACACTTGTCACTGAGACCGACTTCACTAGTCCCAGTGCGCCAGCCATGATCCAGGAACTGCTACGACTGACGACCAACGGCGCCTTGGATGCAGTGGCTGGATCAGGTCACCGTTATGCCCTTAATGCCGCTGCAGCGGGTCTTTCCCGTAGTTTCTGGGTTCAAGAGCAACAATCCGGCCTTGCCCAGTTGCAAGCTACAGCTAATCTGCTGCGAGATGCAGAGACCTCGCCAGAACGCCTTGCGGAATTGGTTGATAAGCTTCGCCAGATCCAGTCGTTTGCTATCTCTAGATCCTCTGGTCTCCGTGTTCGGATGGTTTGTGAGCAGAGCAGCGCGAAGCAAAATGAGTCGGTACTACAAAAGTGGCTTACGGGCTTACCACAACTCCGCTCACCGACATCTACACCCAGCATGTCAGCTCTCGGCTTGGGTACCCACAAGGCGTTCTATGACATGCCTTATAAGGTCTACTACTCAGGCTTGGCTATGCAAACCGTCCCTTTCACCAGTTCATCCAGTGCATCTCTTAGCGTCCTTTCTCAGCTTCTTACGCATAACTACCTCCACCCAGAGATTCGTGAGAAAGGCGGCGCCTATGGCGCGAGTGCCATGAATGGTCCAGTGAAGGGAATGTTCGCTTTCACTAGTTATCGGGACCCTAATCCTGTTAACACCCTGAAGGTCTTCCAGAACAGTGGTGTCTTCGCCAGGGACCGAGCTTGGTCGGAACGGGAGCTCAACGAGGCGAAATTGGGTATCTTCCAGGGTCTTGATGCCCCAATGAGCGTTGATGAAGAGGGTGCGAGATATTTCATGAGCGGCGTGACCCATGAGATGGATCAGCGCTGGAGAGAGCAGGTCCTTGATGTCACGGCTAAGGATGTCAACGAAGCAGCTGAGTCCTTCTTGGTCCAGGGTTCGCAGCGGTCCGTGTGCCTTCTCGGTGAAAAGAAGGATTGGATTGAATCGGACGGCTGGGATATGAGGAAACTTTCCATGGGAGTCTCTGGTGAAACTGACCAGGCTGCTATGGACGCGCAGGATGCCGCGGCATCCGCTTAGACGCACTACTAGACGTTCCTAATTAGGAACGCGATTGATACCTACGTTGTTGCTTTTCACTGACTTTGAGTTCTTGGTAGAATCGTTGGTGTTGCTTCGACAGGCATGTGTACCATATAACCATGTATTATTATCACGATGTTCTCACGCACGACAAGAACCTGTATATAGATTTTTACATGTACAATACCCCTTCACTCTTCACTCATCCTGGTTGTTGGGAACAACTAGACATTCTGGCCTATCCAATGCACGCGCTCTCAAGAACAGACGAGCTCTATCTCCAGTCTATGCACTATGACCGGTAGATGGCCAGTCCTCCTAACCAAGGAGCAAGCGCAAGATCAACAGGAATGTGAACCCGCAGCAGGCAATGGTCTACTATCATGGTACACTTCTATATTCCCGTTTTCAGACCCGCCCTGATCCTTTTCAGCCTACGCAGGGCGGACTAAAAACGAGGAAACATAATCTCGGCGGTGGACGATATAACTAGAACATGAAATTGCAGTAATCACTTTACATACGCGATGAGGTGAAAAAAAGGAATAGATCAGCAGTGTACTCTGTACTTTGTTTCCCTGAGGGGAAGGGCCATTGTGCCACTTCCATGCGAGTAGTAGTAGGAGTGGACCGGTCTCGGACCAGCTAGATGGGACCAGATCTCGCTGTTATCTCGATTTTCCAATAAGCTCAATCGCCTCTTATCAGAGGCACGTGTCGCCCGCCAAAACATGCTATCGACTATAGTACATTCTCTTAAGGCCCTTTGGCAAGATATACCCATTCAAAATGGGTGCCAGAACCTCGACTGAATTATGATTCATCAGGTCTTGCTAAACATCTGTGATTGCAAAATCCATCATCATCATGAGGGGGGCTAAAGCGATTACCCTCGGTCCAAAGCCGACTAAAGCATGCGGTAAGCGGCTTCAGTTCTTGGGGGCTTAAGCAAAGCAAAGCTGATCGTCCCATGCAGTCAACTGCCGCAGATTAAAGGTCAGAGACGGTTACTTAGTCTTGCAAGATGTGACTGGCGTGCTGATAGCTGCTAAGATGAAATGTGTCGTGGAGGGAACTCCCCCATGCCGCCGATGCCGACACACAAAGGCTAATTGCGTCTTCAGACCAAGATCGAATGTTAGCACTTTGGTCGACTAAATTTCCATAGATGATGCTTACGGGTTTCAGGCAGCATCGGCAGTTCATGACGTGGTGAGAATACAACAAGACACGCCGGATAGAAACCAAGACATCGATGCGATTCTTGGCCGTCTGGATAGGATTGAGAGTGCCCTAGGCTTTAGTAGGGGAAGCAGCTCCGTGACAGCGGATGGTCTTGACCCAGATCAGGATGAAGGGTCTGGGGAGATGTCTCTGCGCCCTCTTTGGAAGGCCGTAAGGCATCTCAAACTGATCACTCGGCCTGCTCAGGATGATGCTCTCTGGTCACATCCAGTTATCAAGCATCTGTGGTACTCGTACGCAATCATCTCCATTATGAGTTGTTCCTCTAATCTGGGTGGACTAATACCAAAGTAGTTTCCTCAATAATCTACCCCTACTCCATTTTCTGAAAGATCAGAGTGCTTTTGCATCACCATCTCCCCTTCTGCTTGCATCTGTCTTATTCATATCCGCTCTCCATGGTCCGTCCAACGATCTATCGGAGTTTACGAAAGGATACTTTGTCGCCCAGTGTTGCGCGATCGCAGAGCTTGTCAACCCAGTGCCATACGTTTCTCCAGTGGAGATGTTTGGAAACAGCACAGAAGACCCCGATCGATCCTTGGGTACTATGGATGATTCGCTGACCTTTCAGAACATCCTCGGCTTGATTATGGCTAGCTTGGGCTCAGAAGCATATGTACCAACTACTGGCACATGGATAGCCATTGCGTATCGCCTCTTACTCGATCACGCGCCTCGCGAAGTTGAAACCACGACCCACGACTGGGCTGGGCTGTTCTCAGGTCTCCAGGTAATCGATATTGAGCATGCTTCTATGCACATGTGTTGTCCCCTATTACCGGAACAGCCACCCATACCCACTCTTGTCCAATTTAACGCCCGTGAAGGAAATGCTTTCCATGGCCTCATCCAAATGATGCATCAGGGACTCAGCCATTTTGTCGGAAGAGGACTCCCCACCATATGGTCTTTTGTGAGCGCAAAAGACCGCGAGGTCCTCTCGCCAATCCGGACACCCTTCACCAAGGAAGACGCACGAGTTATCCGCCATTGGGCCCGGCAATTGGACGATTGGCTAGTCCGATATAATGCAGCATCTCGTGAGATCTCTTAGTGGCTGATTTCCAAGGAGAGGATGCTGACAAAAATGCAACTTCCAGAGCCATCCCCTTCTGATCGTCAGGGCATACTCATCCTTCTACAATACCATCTACACAAACTATACGTCCTATCCATATATCATCCAGCCAGAGGATTTGATCTAGGTTCTACGGATATCTCACCAGCCGAAAGACACGAACTACTAGTCTCAGCCCGTGCAGTTCTGCGGCTTCGTCTAGGTGACGCTAGTATATGGTCTAATTGGGATCTAATAGTAAATGCCCCATCCTCTAACTCCATTGCACACCTTCAGCACAGCTGACTTTCTTAGATGGTAACGTTTGCAGCCATGCTACTACTCCGAGGAATCGAAGACGGTGTATTACATCAAGACGGTAAGAGATAGTTACTAGACTCATCGTGAACCACATTCATTGCTGACCTGCATGCATCTGTACAGACCTCCACCTGATTGAAAAGCACATCGACAGCTTGAAAAGGAACCATTCATCTGTGCCAAGCATCCATAGCATACTCGCTGATCGACTCGAGTCGGGCCTACAGAGCATGCATACACCGCCTGAAATGGGGCCCGACTTTGCATTTCCCGCTCCAGAAGAGGATTATTCTTGGGCGATCTTTGATCAGGAGATTTTGTCTCTAGCAAATCCGCCGTGGCTATATGAGGGCGTTCTTCCCCTGGAGGAGATGCCAAGGGCAGATGAGAATCAGGGTGGGTTGTCGGCGCGGTTGGAGTATACTGCTTTAGCGCAGGGAGGTGCGGATGCTCTGGGTGGAGGTAATATTGGATATAATTGATGCTGTTCGGTAGGCACAACTAATTAAAAGTACCGGGTGATGGCTGTCTATTGGTGTGGTTGTGAGACGAAGACGCAAGAATTGTCACATCTTCAAGATACGGAATATATTCAAGTTCGTGAATCATCATGCTAATATACAGTTCAGAGGCCGCCATAAGAAGCAGAAGACGGCTGTGTCCTCATATATGAGAGAGATCGCTGAAGGATATGGGAATTTAGATGGTTAGGTTTGGCCTGCAAACCTGAATTAGCGATTAGCCGTGCTTCCTCCATGCAAAGCAACCTGGTGCCCTTCATTTAATCGATAGAGGCATCATCCCTCGGAGCATCTGCTGTATCTTCCTGATCAGATAACTTCGAGGAATTGCTTTGGTCGTGGAAATGGCCAGGATGCGACGCAGGACTAGCATCGCGAAATTCGGGCGTGGATGGAAATGGGGGGAATGGTTCGGTTTGTGAGTCGTCTCCGGGGGAACCCGGATTCAGCGAGGACTGAGATTGTACATCCTGACTTTGAGGGAGTGTGTGTTCTACAGTGGAGTCTAAAGGAGTATCGGCGGGCTCGTGATGACCGGCGCCCAGCGAAGGGATGTGAGGTTGTGGAGATGGTGAATTTTGTGAAGCCTACGTGATTGTTATGTTAGCCCGTCATCTATTATTCTGGCATGAGACCAGCCAATAATGGAGCTACCTACCTCGTCTTTTGCTTGGTGTAGGCCACGTGTTGAAGCCAGCTGTTGTGCAGCAAGCCGTCTTCGTGCAATCTCTGATTCTTCTTCGAGCGCTGCTTGCTCTTCTTCTTTTTTGAGATCGGCTAATGTAGGGGTGCTAGCTTGACGAGTGACCTCTACATACGACCCCTCCGGAGACCGCAGGCGGCTGCTTCTCTTTTTCTTCTTCTTTCTCTCCTTCGAGGAGGCGGTTGTTCTTAAGCTAAACGTCCCAGACACTGACCTCATACTTGCGGGTTTATCTCCTATCAGATCAATTGAATCGAGTCCAGTACCGCGACGACTGGCCAGAGCTAGAGCGAACTCATCATCTAGTGGCACTGCATCTTCTTCCTCGTCGCTGGGAATCAAGTCACCCCGCGAGCTCAAGGAATTGGTCGTGTCACGCGATGACTGTGTTGAACTCCGATATCTCCCATTCACTCTTGAGGTTGCTGGGCCCTCGCTTTCCTCAGTTTCTTCTATGAGAGGCTCATCTTCAAGTTCATGCCGTCGCAAGCCCACGGGATGTTCTTGAAGATCTGCTGCGGACGGGCGATATTTCAGCCCCCGAGCGCCGAATCTCCACGGGAAGCGCTCTAGAAACCCCAGGAAGGAGGAACTCGGAATAACGGTTGGGTCATTACGGTCGTCAGACATTATAGCGGTGCTCTTCCGCCTCGTGCGACGAGCACCATAGCTCATTTTCCGCTGCCTTCGAGGCTGTTCGGAACTCCCCCGAGCCAAGCCACTTCCAGCCAGCAAGCGATCAAGTTCGTCAGTACCCCATCCTAGCAGACCATCGTTCGGATCCTCGTTGTCCCAGTCATCGTAGAAGTCGAAATTAGCCTCTGCGCGGCCGCGTCGGCGGCGTCGAAGCTGATCTTCGCGGCTAGGGAGACAAGGCGCAGTGCACGAGTAGATACAGGTCCCAATCGCTGCAAAACAGGGTACCACGTAATTATGTGAGAAAGTATAAAGACCCTCCTGGGCGGTCTCATTTGCAGACTCGAGATTATGATGAATCTGATTGATTGTCTGGCGGACCCGAGGGTCTCTCGATCGCATCATGTCGGATGACGGTAGGGATGCGACGTTGGCCCAGAGCCACGCCGCGACCGCAGGAGCGATGAGATCACTTCAAAGTAAAATCAGGTAACCCCATGGGATAGCTGTGCTGGGAATGCGGATCTCGGAGTGTTTCGGGGGGGTATATTTCGGCAGAAAAGGGAGTTGGTATACGATAACAGCAGCATTGGAGAGGCGGAGATAATAACGAGGGGAGATTCCCCGAGAGGGAGCCTGAGGAAGCAACGCTCCTCTTGGATGGTCGATGTCATCGGCCCGCCCTTAGTCAGCCCACACGTGCCCTGTGCTAGAATCGGCTCTTTTCAGTGTTATCCATACACTGTCTGCTTCTTCTGCCAATTGCATGGTCTAGTATACTAAGCTCACTTCAGGCGTCCGGTCATTGCCTAGTAATCGCTCATCTTTAGCATGGTTTATTATATTCGTTTTCTCAAGACACCGAGGTTTCAAAAACAGAAACCTGGGTCTATATCCGTCTCCGCTCTAATTTGCATCACTACAGACCTGGGAGACGCTTTTCTCGCACAAGATGTGAACTTGCTTGTAACACTGAGTCTCAATGACTCTGGTAAACTTCTGTATCAGGAACCATTGAGCTGGAAGGCTGGAAGGCGCGAGCTTCCAATAATGCTCGGGCCCTTTTCTGCCAATATATCTCAGCAGAAAATCGTTCTAGGCGTGACGGCCACAAGTCCGCAGAAGCGGTCTCCCTCACCAGATCGCTTGCTGGGCAATTCTAATCTTCCTCTAGTCATGTCGGCCTGGAGCGCACCTTTTGGTGGGTCGCCGTCCTCAGTAGCAGAGAAGCTTGTTGAAAGACGCTTTGGACCCCAGGATCGTCTAGGCTTGAGGATATGGGAAGAGACTGGGAACAGTATCGCTCGGCATATCTGGTGAGGCTTTCTTATTGGAAACGAGGCTCTCTTCTTCCTTGTACGAGGCTTACATATCTCCAGGGATGCGGCGGTGGCTTCGGTCGTATACCTTCAGCAGATAGTGGCAGGAGACCCTGCGGTCTCTGTGCCATTGTTGCAGGGCCTTCTTCGGGGCGAACGCAACACTCCTCTCCATGTTCTCGAACTAGGATCAGGATGTGGCGTTGTAGGGATTGCTCTTGCTGAGCTTCTCCCTCAATGTTCTGTAGTACTCACAGATCTGCCCGAGGTGGAGGACATTGTGACACAGAACATAGCTGTTGCGAAGCCGGCCGATTCCTCTGAGCTCGAGTTCAGCACCCTTGACTGGGATGAGGAGCTTCCGAGTGACTTGTGTGGTGGTTCGGTAGATCTGGTCCTCGTTTCAGATTGTACTTATAATGCAGACAGCTTGCCTGCGCTAGTCTCGGTACTAAGCCGGTTAGTGCAAATGTCGCCTGAGGCTGTCATCTTGGTGGCATTGAAGAGACGTCATGAAAGCGAGTCTATTTTCTTCGATCTGATGCAGTCTGCTGGGCTCCATAATTTGCACCTAGATCGGAAGCAGCTCCCATCGCAACACGGTCAATTTGACGACATTGAATTGCGTTGTTACGGCAGAGAAAGGAGTATGTCATCAAGTCAATAGCCGGGTAAGAGGCATGTTTGGATTATAACCAGGATTACATAGGTTTTTGAACGGCCAGTGGCGGTACATACTCCCTTACAGTCAAAATCAGCATTTGCTGCAAAGGCAACTGATCACAGCTGCACAGCCCCTACCAAGGCTGGGAGCGTTAATCAAGCGCAGATTGGTTCATCATGCTCTTCGATTACCCCCGGCTTCTCGGAAATTTTGCCCCTTCGACCTGTATCGTGGTGGTGCAGAGAGCTAAGAAACCATGGCCGGTCGTGCAAGGTTGCAGCTCTTACACCTGCACCTGATGGCTTAGCAATGCAGCTCTTTAGTGGCATCTAGCTGACTACATGCCGGGATTATAAAGTTTAAGGTCCAGGCTCTCGGATTCTCTTGGTTACATATCCTCAGAAGCCGGCTGCAACAACTATAGCTAAAAGACCCATGACCGTATTAGAATGTACATGCCATTTCACAGCATCATATCAATCAACCCAACAAACTCTCCTCACAAACGTTCTCGCCCTCTCCATCGCCTCCTCCGCCTCCCTCTCAAAACCCAGCACCTTCCCTGCCCAAAAAATATCATGCGGTGCATCCTTCGTCTCACAAAACTCGACATCATTCCCCAACGCCCTCATCTCCTCCACAAACTCCACATGATCCTCAAAAAACACCTCCGACGTTCCTGTGTGCACGAAAATCGGCATTCCTAAAGCCTTAAACCCATTCCCAAGGGGATTCAGAAATCGATGTCCCCTCTCCCAACCCTCAGGCGTTACCCGCCTGATACCCCAATCCAGCAAATCCCCAGAAAGATAATCAACCCATCGACACGGATGCCGATCAACCTTCTGCGCCCCGTTCTCCGATAAATCCAACCACGGACTCCATAACAACGCAGCCGCAGGCAGCGGTAATACTTCCGTCCCTTTCTTCTTCTCCTCGACCCAATACCTAATCATGGAGAGAACCAAATTCCCACCTGCCGAATCACCGGACAGGATTATATTCTGAGGCTCGATCCCCAACACCTCGAGAACATACACATAAGCCGTGATCCCATCCTGCAGGGCGGCAGGAAACGAGGCATTTCTTTCCACTGAGAGGCGATACTGTGGCAGCATGACAGGACAAGCCATCACTTTGCTGAGGATGCTAGGGCTCCAGCTGTTGTCTTTGAGGCGGACGCCACCGAGGACGTACGCGCCGCCGTGGAAGTGAAGAATCACTCGAGCTGGTTTTGAGGAGGGAAGGGCAGGGTGCCATACTGCGCCAATGGGGACGGGTTGGACAGATGGGACGCTGGTGAGGATGCTGTCGCGGGAGAGATAGAGTGCTAGCTGGTTAGATGTGGTGGTGTCTGGCGGGTTGATGATTATGAAGCGATCGCCTTCACGGCCTGGAGTGAGGGTTTTTGGGGTGCGGTATTCCACTGCTGTTTGATCGCTCAGCCATATGTAGAAGAGTTTTACGCTGATGACTTGTCGGTAGGTCCATGCTGGAGGGCCGCGTGAAGTGGGGGAGGTAGTAGATAAGAGTGCCGAGAATGCGGATGGGGAGAGTGGTGAGGGCGAAGGTGTTGTAGAGGATCGCTCGGATCGATGGCATAGTTGGGGATATGGGGTGTCTAGAGTTGATGAGCGCCATGAGCTCGTTGTTGTGTTTACATATCCATTTGCTACTCATCACGCTGCTCAGGTGAGCAGATGCATGACTCGAGTCAACTGCATAGTACACATGATCAACGATGATCTGAATATCGACTCTCACGCCGATCCCAACTACTACTGGTTATAAAACAGGAAAGCCCTTGCTTCCGACAAGATAACCGCATCTAGTTAGCCAATAACAACATAGTTTCTCCAGCTATTGCTGCATCTTTATACAAGTACCGGAGGGGAGTGGCCACCAAGCAGACGCGGGTCAAGCATGATTCAGACAGATTAACGGAGGACCTTTTCACCTATCGAGCAACTCGAATTAGACTCCTCAGCCTCTGACTTCTCAAAGAACCGCGCCGCTGCAGGTCTGAATGACGCTTTATTGCACCCAACTCTGTCGGTTCCCCAGGGTAACCAGGTGAAGGGGACAATTGATTCTCGGTGTTTCCCATAGCAGGTCTTTTAGATTCGCTCCACAGCTTCCGGATTGACATACGGTTGCCTAAGCGCTGGAGTCGACGACTTCCTCGGTCAGTCAGGTCAGAAAGCACATTCTCCAGAGAAGAGTCTGCTGGCACAAAGTCGACATCGCTGCATTCGGAGATACGGTCAAAAGCATCATATACCACTTCTGGAAATGCAATGTGGCGTCGGTTTCCGCGGGAGATCTGCTTGCCATCGCTGAGACTGGAAGTCCGTGGAGGAGGCATAACCGGCAGCCCATTTCCAGGATACCTGGGTTCCTCTGATTTGTCACGAGCATAAGTGATGCATCTCTGGTTGAAAGCGCTAAAATTTGCGGCCAGCGTCACTGCGCAGAGTGGCAGGAAGGCTAGTCGCATAGGCTCCGTAGTAATTGTCTCACCGAATACTTTCTCCGACTGAGGTGGTGAAGCACCGGCGCAGAGAGCCCATAAATCGGAATACAGCCGGCAGACAACAAAAATATTTCCGCTAACCAGATCGAACTCGTCAGAACATGGTTTATCATGATCGGACAGGGTATATGCAGGATCAACACAGATCACAAGGGACCCTTCGTGAATGGACCGCTTTTCATCCAGACCTAAACGTATGTCCTTGTATGCTTGCAATCGTGCAGGGATGCCTTTCCCTTTGTGGCAGACGGAGCTCTGCAAAAGGACTCGGCTCGGACAATGTTGCACGGAGGCTCGCCGATCCGACAGAATGTATTTCCCCGCTGAACCCAACTGTTGCCATGCCTGCGGTCTGTCACGAGCGGGCCAATCATGCTTGACACAGTTAGTCTATGTACTCATGGTCTGTTCTGTAACTGCTAGACACCCACAAGAATAATGGTCTCCTGGTCAGACTTCGACTGGTTGGTTAATGTGCGAGATACCATGTCTGCTAATGCAGCAGTAGCTTCACAGCCATCAGCTATGCAGGAATATGCATCTTCGAGCATCTCACTATCATTGGCTGCATGGCCACTGCACGTTTCTATTGTACAACTGCTGCTGCTGCTTGCGGAGAGACTCGATGTTCTTGACTGCTGTGGAGGACACCAAACAGGAGGCCGTGGAAAGTATACGGCATGGCGGCGCTTTTTAGTCACTGAGTCTTGGATAGACTCTGCATCAGGCGCACCAAACTCATAGGCGGATTTATCTGAACTGTCATGATTGGAGAAGGGTACTAGAAAGACGCTTCCCTCATCTTTGAGTCGATCCCTGCTAAGGAGCGAGTCGAAGCTAAGCATGTTGTGCATAGCCATCTATCTTGTAAGTATGCAAGCAAGCACTATGCAGTTAGATACAGAGAGTCAATGCTACGAGCTGGTTGATCTGCCGAAACATCCTAACTACAGGTGGTCGCATCGCGACTGCCCTCTCCAGGAGGAAAGCTGCCAAGGAAGGCGCGTATAGTCATGTCTGAGCAGAACATGGCAGCAACGTCCCTTTTCAAGTATACACAGAATAACATCAAATATCATCGTCAACCGGCTATACATGGCAGAGTGAGGGGCATCCGGGATTAGAAATCAGCAGACGAACATCCGAGCACCTCGGCTCGCGATGCTGACTCATCCAGAACAAGGGGTCTACGGACGACTAGATAAAGTAGACACTCTTTGTGATAACTTCATCTTTGGTTGTTGGATCACATCACAATTAGCTTTCTTTCGTCATCTCATCTGTTTCAAAACCATGGCTGTGCCGCGTATAAACGTCTACTTGGACGTAGTCAGTCCATTCGGCTATATCGCCTTCAGTGTACTAAAGGTGCGCCTATCCATCTACCCTACTATAGCTTAAATCATCATCCCGATATTCTAACGTCTAAAAGAACTCACCTGCTTTTGCCAAATGTAACATCACTTACATCCCTATTTTCCTGGGTGGTATCATGCAAGCATGCGGGAATACTGCCCCTATCAATATCAAGAGTGCGTGTCCCTTCAACACCTAAAACACGCACATAAACACGTCTAATGAATGTATATAGATAAGAATAAGTATATCGAAAAAGAGCGTTGCCGTTGGGCTCACTACTTCAATATCCCAATTGTCCAGACAGCCCCCGAAGGCTTCCCGCCACGGACGCTAAGCACCCAGCGTGCGCTCTGTGCGATCTCCCTGAAGCACCCGGACAAGCTTGTGCCGGCCTTTGAAACGCTTTATCACTTGTTCTGGGTAGAGGGTAATCCCAACATTGCGCAGCCTGAATGCTTCGGTCCGGCTCTTGAAGGGGTACTCGGAAAGGACGTGGCACAGTCGGTATTGGCCGATGTATGCTACCTGCATTGTTTGCTTTTATGTGGAATTTGTGTGCTAACTCAGTATTGTAGATGGATCATGGAGACATCAAGGCAGCCTTGATTGCGAATACAGATCGAGCGTTCAAATCAGGCTCATTTGGCATACCCTGGTTTGAGTGCACCAATGACAAGGGCGAAACTGACACATTCTGGGGAGTGGATCATCTGGGACAGGTTGCGGAGTTTTTGGGACTGGATATCAAGCAAGATAAGGGTTTCAGAGCAGTTCTGTGAGAGTAAGGCTACTGCTTCTGAAACTGCAGGGTTTATCTTTATCTTAAGCAAGCCTGACTGACGTATGCATGAAATTATTCAATTATAACCATATCGCATCTTCTGTATTTGATCATATAGCATTTCCGAACGCTATACCTTCTTCCCCCTTCCCGAGTTATTCATACTCATATGCCTCTCCTGCAAGAACTGAATAATCTTCTCCCTTTCCAAGTTCTCAATACACCGAATCTCATCCGGATCCGCCGGCTCGACACCGCCATCTACATCCTCAATCAGCACACAGCGACCAAAAACAACAGCACACATCATCTCAAAACCAACTAAACAAAACGAGAAGAAGAAGAGAGAATGTCACTCACCTTCCCCATTCCCATGATCCTCCTCACTTCCCCCCACCATCAACGACCTTACATGTTCCCACGTACTATTCAAAAAATCCCCCGGCGCCGGCGCCGATGCCACACCATCAAACACATTCTTCATCTCCTTCACGCCCGATTGTGCCATATCATTAAGTGAGTTATGGGGGTTCATCATCGAGTTCCCGTTCGAGCTATCGGTCGTGGACGCGGGCTCTCTGTAGCCCATTTCTCGGGCGGTTTCGCGGGCGGTGTCATCAACGGTTTTCATTGTAGACACACTGGGTATGTAGTATATTAGATAGAATATGTAGGTAAGTCGCAGTAGAAAAAGTTTATGTGTATAGTAGAAGTAGTAGTGGTATTATCTTGCTGTAAATGAATGATTGATTGGAGGGTTCCAATTATGTAGTTTATCTATGTGGCCGATGACATCAAGTTAGTGCGGGTGGATCATGATATCATCGTCGTCAGCCTTGTGGATCCTCGGGGCTTTCGGGTGTGGCAGGTTGGCTGGCGGTCTTGGTTGGGGAGGGTTTCTAGGGGCTGTAGGTAGGAATGGTTCAGCCTTATAGGGTAGTCGAGGTTAATTCTACTGTAGTGTCGTTTTAAATGAGTATCGTGTTCCTTGTTTTGGTCATCTGAATTTTAAACGAATTCCGTGTGGTAGTCCATGGGAGCATCTAGCTACTTAGTTCCTATAGTCTTCACTGCGATGAGAATGACGCATGAGTTTGATGAATATGATTATTCCTGATTACTTTTTATTTTCCTGTGTGTGTGTGTGTGTGTGTGTGTGTGTGTGTGTGTGCTAGAATCATCATACTTCATTCCTAAAATCTCTAGTAAAATTACGAATAGCGAGAAAGCATCAGGTAGTATTAAGTGAGACAATCAAGCCACAGATATCTACCACTGATCCAATGACGATTTGTAAGAAGAGTAAAATGACGTTTACCGTATTCCGCAAAGATGCACAACTAACCAAGCATCAATGCGAGTATCCATCCGTCAAGAAAGGAGTCCGAAGTAACTTTTTTGCCGGTAATCGGTCGCGAGGGTCTTTCTGCAACATAAGGGAAAGGAACGATGTGAGAGTCTCTATATTCTCAGCACCAAATTTCTCCGGTAGCCTATCTCTCAGGTATAATTTGAAGTCCCCATTCTTCTGGTTGTTCGAACCGAGTCTTTGCTCAATAAAAGAAGAATGGTCATTGTCTATCTCCTCTCGTGTGAGGCCGAATGTATCCAGAGGGAACAATGGCTCGTTCGTTGCAAGTTCGAATATCTTCGCAGAAGAATTAGAACGAAAGTCTGAGTTTCCACGGAGAGGAATTTCATAACATACCAAGCAACCTAAGGTCCAGATATCTATGGCAGTGTCAACGGCAATATCATCGGTATGTCGTTGCATCAGCTCAGGTGCACGCAACCCCAGAGGCGTTACTGGTTTTTGGTCACAGTGTTGGACATATTGAGCTGATATTGCCCGTGACGACTTAGCAAATCTGGCTAGACAAGATATAGTACGAATAGGTGTATCTTACCTCCGCCCAGATCCCCGATCCTAACCTCAAGCGTTGAGAAATGCGCGTTACTCAATTGTCCCCGGCGCCTTTGGGTGGGCATTAAATATTTGGGGGCACTGTCATCTTCGCTCATCCCTTCTAGCCACTTAACTGGCCTGAACTCGGGGGGCTGTAACAAGGCCTCCATATCCATAGTTCCAGCAACTGAGAACAGAATGTTTGCCGGTTGAAGATCTGTTTTAAGCCTATTAGAATATTGCTTACACACCGAAGAGCCTCGACATACCACAATGAACGATGCCTGACTGGTGAAGAAAGTCAAGACCCAGCAAAAGTTGGCGAGAGATAGCCCGAAGATATCCTGCTTCTTGCGGGTTCCCGCTGATTGTCATTGCTTCCCCATCGGATATCATCAGCGGGAAAACAAGACACAAGTGGTTCCCATTTGGTCCTGTATGATAAAAATAGTCTAGAAGTTCAACCACATTTCTCTTTCCCGCGTGTTCCACGTCGGAATTTGACAGGGTCAGAAGAATAGAAAGCTCCCTATTGTGGTCGGACTTTTCTGCCTTTAGTATCTTCAATACGACTTGTTGCGAACCTCTTCGAGGTATTACCAGCCTGTTACTTTTATTTTCGATGTCATGGTTCGCAAGAATGTACTCACAGCTTTTGATCCTTTGCGAGCCATACCGTTGAGTATTGGCCAAAAGCTAGCTTCCCAATGATTTTGTAGCGTTGGTAAAATACATCGTGAAGGTGCACAGGATGATACCCCCCATGACGATACTCTTCAACAGGCTCTACCACATCGTAGATTCTTTCGAAGCGGCGCATTTTATGTCGTACCCAGGAAGTGAGTTAAGGGATATAGATAGACTTTTCTCGGAAACATCCAGGATGAACACGAAGTATAGATTGAATCTGATGATTTGACGCCAAAATCGTGCCATTGGCCACGCAATATATCAAAGAACGGTGCATATGGTGATGGACATGAGAGCAGAAAATAGTAGATCTACAAGTAACGAGACACCCATGTGGATGTCTGAGGCATCCACAACCCCACTCCAGATCTTAAAGATTACCTGATGAGGACTAGCGTGCCCCTCCACCCCCCTCCGAATCTTTACTCCGGCTTCAACTTCAACAATTAATCCCACTTCCTCCACATCGTTCTTTTCCGTCCTTCTTTTTCTCACGTATTTTAGATATAGAGATAGACTTCTATCACTTACCATTATATATACAAACCAACACCCCCACAAAACCACCAAAGAAGAAACAAAATGGCCCCCATCCCCATAACAATCCTAACCGGCTTCCTGGGTAGCGGCAAAACTACCCTCCTTCTAAATCTCATTCCTCAACTCCCTTCAACTTACCGACTCGCACTTCTCAAAAACGAATTCGGCGATGTAGCAATCGACTCCCAACTCGCATCTACCTCCTCAATCAGCGGTGTCCGCGAACTCCTCAACGGCTGCATCTGCTGCAACCTCGTCGGCCAGCTCAGCGACGCGCTCTTCCAGCTCCTCAACGAAGTGAAACCCGACCGCATTGTGATCGAGACATCTGGGTCTGCGTTCCCGGCCACCCTAGCAATGGAAGTCAATCGGCTTGCGCGCGAACACCCAGGAACATTCAGCTTGGATGGAGTGATTAGCGTGATTGATGTGGAGAATTGGGAGGGATATGAGGATACGAGTTATACGGCGAAACTGCAGGCGCGGTATACGGATCTGATTGTGTTTAATAAGTGGGAGGCGGCGGGGGAGATGAAGTTCGAGATTTGTTTAGACCGGGTAGGTGATTTGGAGGTTGAGACTCCGTGGGTGAAGAGCGAGAAGGGACGGGTGGATAAGGATGTGTTGTTGGGGATCGATGGGGCATTGTTCGGGGAGGAGGGGGTGGATGGGCATGAGCATGGGCATGAGCATAACCATGGGGAAGGGCATAAGCATGAGCATGGACATCAGTCCGAGGTGGAGGTGCTGTCGGTTACATTGAAGGCGAAGCAGGACGAGGCTGTTGTGGATACCCAGGCATTGGTGGAGAAGTTGTTGCGCGCCGCGAACAAGGAAGAGGTGTATCGGATCAAGGGCGTCATGCGGTGCTCGACTGCTGCGCCGCCGGCCGCGTCGGAGGAAGAGGATGCGCAGCAGGCGGGCCAATCGGTGGCTGTGGATGCGGATGGCCCGGCAGCAAGACACTATATCCTGAACTGGGCGTTTGGGCGCTGGACATTCACGCCGTCTGATATGGTGGCCGAGACGGCCGATCCTGCGGTGGCGGCTAGAATTACCTTCATTCTGGCCCGGTATGAGTCGGGCAAGTGGAAGAAGAGGCTGGAGGCCGGTGGATTGGTTCAGGTTGCGGAGGAGAGTACTAGTGAGGGGGCGGAGTTGGTGGTTGAAAGACTAGTCTAGATGGGTCTGTTTGAACATTTTCTGCCAGGTCTAGAATTGGGCATGATGCTGGAGCTGGCTCTGCATCGGAGGACCTGCTGATTGCGGGGTTGGGTTATGTATGCATGAATATATACGATGACAGTGTGGGGTGATAGATATCAGGATAGACTAGATTTAGACACGAAACGTTGTGCAATGAAGATAAGGGGAACCCCTTTTCAATGAAACAGGCATATATGGCCAAACAGACACTTCTGTAAATACACACTGTATTCGACCCGAAATCTACTCTAGAAGCACACAAACACATTTATTAACAAAGCAGGTCAACGAGCGACCTGCTAAGTAGAGCAACATATAAGTACCAAACAGAAGCCAAAAATATCAAACAATAATGAGTCTAGTACTCGAGGAGCGCAGAAGCCCCGGCTTCGCTGGAGATGTAGATCACCTCGTGGTTGTCCGAAAAGCCGTTGAAGCGGGTCGCGCTACACTTGGTGTAGGCTCCCATCTCCTCGAAGTAAAGCCAATCTCCAACTTCCAGCAGAGCTGGCAGCTCAATGCGCTTGGAGATAACATCAATGCCGTCACAGGTCGGCCCCCAGATGGAGTACGTGACACCCCCCGAAGTCGCAGCATAAGGGGAGTTAGTGGCCGACGCACAGGTCAGGACCTGGGCCACGGGGTGCTGGTGGTCAAAGATGATGTTGGAGAAGTTTCCATACACCCCGTCGTTGAGATAGAGCATGTAGGCATCGTTGGCCGGGTCCTCCGGGTCGCGCACCTCACGGCGAGCGATGATGTTGGCCGCCAGGGTGAACGCATTGGCAACATAGTAGCGACCGGGTTCGGCAATGACCCGGATGTTGGGCGGGAAATAGGTGTCCAACGCCTCGCTCAGGACGCCGGCGAATTTCTCAAATGTGTCCTGGGAGAAACCTCCGCCGACATCCAAAGTGTGCAGTTCGTGGCCAATCTCTGCGGCTTGATCAAACACAAGGCGCGCGTCCTGCACGGCTTTCAGGAAAGCCTTAGGATCCTCAGCGCCTGATCCGACGTGAAAGCTCACGCCGACCACCTTCAGCTCGAGCTGGTGCGCCAATTCGAGGAGCTGGCGAGCAACGTCCAAGGAAGCTCCGAATTTCATGCTGAACTGGCACAAGCTGTTCGAATCATCCGTGAGGATGCGCAGATAAAGCTCGGCGTCCGGGTAGTTGGCCTTGATCTTGTACAGCTCGTCGGCGTTGTCAAAGGTCATCTGCTTGACGCCCACCTGGGCGGCGTAGCGCAGATAGGACTTGGTCTTGCAGGGCTGCGCGTAGATGATGCGGCTCGGGTCGACGCCGGTCTCGAGGGCCATATCGATCTCGGCCTTGGACGCACAATCAAAACCGTTTCCGAGTTTAGCCATGAGGCGAAGGATCTCCGGGTCGGGGTTGCACTTGACCGCTATTGACTCACTGTTAGCCGCTGTCATGAAAATCCCAGTTGTGCATTCATATCCTTACCGTAGAAAGGCCGAACACGGCTCAAGTTCATTTTCCAGCGCAGATGCTGGCGGTAGACCTCCCCCATATCTGCCACGTAAAACGGGTCCTCCTCTCCTGGCGCGCAGCTGTCCACATTGACCTCAGCTGCGCGCTTCTTCAGGATGTCCAAGACTAGTTCCTTGGCAGCCAACCTGGATTGCGATAAATCGTCCCCTCCATGATTGCTGAATTGACCATGATCCCAATTGAGATTATAGTCGTGTTTCTCCTGGTAGTATTTAGGAGTGCATACTTCAGCAGGTACACAAGCAGTCGGTGCCATAACCATGCGCGCTGCGACGGAGCACGGAATAGGTCTTTTAAAAAAGTAAAGTAGTGAAAAAAAAGTTGAGTGTCTTTAACGCGAATGCGTGTTAGGGAGGGCGAAAAGATTCGCAACCGAAGTTGACTGGACCAAGCCTCCTAGACCCTTCCTCCTTGAGAGGAAGAACCTTCAGAGAAGTCCTATGCGGCAGCTCAAGAAAAGAGGGGATGAGCTGAGTGGGCGTCAGGAGGTTAAAAGGAGGAGCACCGGACGTAAACACGGGAGTCGACACCAGCAGGAGGGGGAATGTTGTTAAGAGTGTCGCGGGGACGTCTCGGAGATACAATGTGACGAAGAACGAAATGGGAGGCTACGAGAGCCGTGGTGAGCTTGGAGCCTTTGGAACTGGTGGATTCCAAAGGCCTAGAAAATGCGACGTGGAAGGATGAGAGATTTGGAGAGGGGAAAAAAAACAAGGTTTTTTTCCCAATTAGAAGAAATCTGACGCGACCAGCCACTGATCAGCAAGCTTGTATGACAGCTCCGACGAGAATTGAAAGGGGTTGCGAGATTTAATTTCTGGGTCCGGGGGGAGGAGGGGGGAAGGGCAGGAGGTGAGAGGTGCGTGCAGAGTTTTAACGACTTGGACGCGGAGGTTAGGGCAAAGGGCACGGCGTCAGGCAGACACCCGGGGGGGAAGGAAACGATCTCGATGAGTCGATAATACGAGGAAGGCCGAGCGCTGCAGGACACCCAGCAAGGAACGAGAGAATGGATGAGGACTTACCGCAATGGCTCGATGTAAATGGGGGTGCGCAACAAAGGGACGATGCAGACGAAGTCGAAGAGAGAAAAAGCAGCGACAGAATAGAGGGATGAGAGAGTGGTTCTCGTGGGGGGGGAGATTACGGCATCTCCCGAATGGCCGTGCCCCTCTCCCGTCACCGCTCGGTACGGTTCTGTATAGTATGTATAGTATGTTCTTACCTCCGCCTCTACTTCGCCCTTCCATCATTATTTCCCTCACCTTCAACGTACCCCGGAGTGGATCACTGCCCTTCACACAGTATGGTTACTTTTTCTCTCATCCCGCCAGTAATGGTTGACGTGGTCTCAATCTTGCTGCCTGTCTCCTGTTCCATGGGAACCTGGCAGATCCCCTTGCTCACTGATTCGGCCTGACGCCCTCCCGATTTTCCCTCAACTTTCCAATAGATCAGTCCCTGAAGATCCGTCGTCTGAATCCTGGGCCTACGGACAGTTTACTAGTGTACCAGACAATTTGAGTCACTTTCTCTCTCGAACCACATGCTTCTGCTTATCACCTTAGGATGGTTTGTCTCTCGGCACCTGCCCACCGGGATGCGTCATCCGGACCATCTAGATATGATGAGTACTACTCCGTACTTCCCGCGCAACTGGCATGGGAGACAGATAAGTGGTCCCTCGGTTCTGAAGAAAGAGGACCGGGCAAGTACTTCCCGCGAGCTAGAATTTGAACCGGCCTCACCAGGTCGTACATGGTAGTATAGGCCCGGAACAGACTGTTCCTGGTTTCGCCACTTCAGCCTGTTTCTTGGAAAGTGCGGCGTGACGCGCTGCCGTCCGTCTTTTTTGATGCCTTCTTATTAGCCGCCTGTCCATTGGTTCAAAAAGCTTGACCGCCGTGGCTCGTTGGTCGGCAGTATTTCAATCGCTCCACCCGGGCGGTGACAGACCCTGATCTACAGTTATGTGGCACGTGACGGGTATCCTATTTTCACCACCCATCAAAAATTGATGCGACGTCCTGAATTATTCAAAGATAATAATAGGTCTTCGTGTTAAATTATGATTGTATTACCTCCAAGTATTCCATATCCATCAATATTGTACCATACTGAGTCATGAGTGACAAACTAACTACATGATACTTACTTAGTACTACTAGTAGCCTGTAATCGGTCCGTCCTACTGTACTAAATATATCTCAACTGAAGGCACGGGTCATGGGATACGATGAGCAATGATCTTACGGCATCATGTGGCAGGGCACTGCCTACCAGCATAGTATTAAGGCTTAAGATCTATCGAATGAATCTGACCGACAGCAGATTTTAGTGGATCGACGATTGCAAAAAGCAGAAAATAGAGATATCAATAGGTTCAATAGTATCCCTCCAGCAATAGGCCAAAAAATAAGACATTGTCACTATCACCGTTGTACATCACAGAAAACCCAACAATGAATATGCACCAAGTCCAAGACCACCATCTCATCAAGACAACCAAAACAACCATGCGGCATAATCACATAACTCATATACTCATACATTCATAGCGTACACCACAAGCGCTGCAGTTCAATCCAACCCAATAACCCAAATAAGCTTAGATAATTAACCAATCCAAACGGAACCAGCCGTTCATCCCCGACATCCACCCAGAATCAACGCCTCACCCCAATCAAAGGCCACCGGACCTTGCTCGGATCAGTCTCAATCTTCCCACGCTCACGAGTCGGGCCAGCTAAATGAGCACTACTACTGGCACTTGCAGGGTTGAGACTACTACTCTTCGAAGTCGTTATCGTCGTTGTCGAACAAACACCACCAGATTTCGTTGACCATGCATTCATATTCGCAGGGCGCTTCCCCTTGTCCTTGTTTCGAGTCGTTTCCGCACCGGGACGGATAGTAAGTTGGTTTAGAGGATCCTGTCTGAATTCCTGTTTCTTCCAGCTATTTGACGACTGGTCAAATGTCAGTGCCTGTGCAGGGTCGAACATCAGTGGGACCAGATCTTCGCGTTTACGGTGCTGTGCGTTTGAACGTCTAAGCCCTCCACTCACCGCGGGATTTGCCTTGTTAGCATTGAGGTTGAATTTGCGTTGTGACGGTAGGGACATCTTCGTAGGGGGCTGATAAAGAGGTTTGTGGTTATTATTCTTTGTTGGTGAGGTTGTTGAGTTGGTGAGAGGGATGTAGAGACTTGGTAGGTAGTGATAGTAGACGGAGAATATAGAGGGGAAGATGGGGCCAGAGGGAATCGAGGGAAAGTTGTGATAATGATGATGATGGTGGGATTTGAAATAAGTGCCAATAATCCAAGAGATGTATTATGCTAATTCGAGGTTGAGGCTGGAGGGTTTCCAACTGTTTATATGTTGTGAAGCCAGGAATATTGGATAAGAGCAGAGACTTGTTTGGAGTTCTCCTTATGTCAAAACAAAGAGTAGGCTTACGCTTAATGTTTCAGTTTGTTGCGGCTGCTTCTTTTGTTTGAACCGGGGTCTTGTGCATGGGGACGGCATGCTGGGACCGAGTAAGAAACAATGGGAGGAACAGTGGCCGGACGAGAATGTTATATATGAGTGTTTGATATTCTATCGTCGTCACGACGATGACCGCGGATTGGTGAAGAAATCCCAGTTCTCAATGAAAATAAGTGAGTTTCAGTTAGACAGCGTCACCTGATCCGCAGTCTGGAAGCACTACTTTGTATATCGGCAATCGTCTGCTGTTCGATATAATATTCTTTATTCTCAGCAATTCTTGTCCTTTCAAATGCTAAAAGGACTGTTCTGGCCATACTCTGCTCGAGGGGATACAATGACTGTGTTTACGGCAATACCATGGGTAACTAGCTATCTTCCCTCAAGTTTCACGAAGACGAAATTAAAGTTATTACCAAGAAAAAAAATGTCTTATAATACAAGAATCGTGAGACGGAATATCTGTGAAAAAGGAAAGGAAACAAGCGCTAGGAACGTGTCGAATCCGAAAGGGTATAATAACGAAGTAAAAACAGTCTTTCTTCTTGATTTGTCTCATTCACAACCACAAGACCCATCTGACACCTGAAAGAACACCCCTAAACACCCCTCGCAAGATCTTGAAAGCCATTACAATCAGCCAAACCCACCAGAGCATGCCAACTAGTGCCCATTCAAGCATCACGAACCCGGTGCGCCGAACCCAGCGCAACCGGCGATGACGCCGCCTGACTCCTTTGTCAAGTGTATCGCTCAGCTGCTTGACAGCAAGCGTACTAGTCGTGTTGAGTTGGACGCTCAAATCCTCTGCGTCCTGTGTGGCTGCCTGGACACGCGGCGAGATGGTATCATTGACAATGTCCTCGAGCTTGTTCAGTTGCGACCTTAAAGGAGATGAGACCGAACCAGAGAAATTGTCTATGGATTGTTGGAACGAGCGATGTGTTTTCTCGAACCTTCTGAGCAGACCCTGTGCAGCTACATCGTACTCATAGAGCCGAGTTACTTGCGGTACGGATGCTTCCGTACCAAATGTGCGCCGAAGGAAATCTGGTGGTGGCTGCCGCACACACTCTGCTCGCCGGGTGATCTCTCGGGCTTTAATCCCCGAAGAAAGAAGAAGGGCCCGCGTCCGCTCGATTTCGCGCTTCCCAGGTACACCAACAACAAGCGAGCTAGATATGCTGCGATTAGATATACTCCAGCTTCTTGACTCAGTTGCCAGTCTTGGGCGTTTCTCCTGGGACGATGAAGTAGTGTCTGCTCTCGCTTGAGCAAGACCTGTGACAGGAGGCCTCGTCAAACTGAAGGGAACATTGACATCTCTGATGTTACCCTTTTTGTATTGTTCTTGCACTGTATGGATATCAGTGCTAAATCGTAATTTCTCATGTTTTGTTGCTGGCGTATGGAGAGATGTAGAAAACCCGCCCACTTCTCTCTGTGAATCCGTCGTATCGATGCCAGCACCGTTCTTAGGAGGACTGCCGTAGACAGACGGTTGATATTCTTCTAAACGGTCTTGCCGAGCCGTGGAGGCAAAGGGAGACGGAGGAGGCACATTGGTCTTCGAATTGATCTTCTCAATGTTCTTGCGTGAAGTTCGGTTGGGATCGTCGGAGAACGTAGGGAACCGGCGCAAAAGAGACTTAGCGCCAGACATTCTATCCCCTCTAGCTTCTTCCGGATCATCGGGAGGATCGGAAACAGAAGTATCCGTGCTTGAAACGGAAGATCTACGTGACTGGGCAACGTTATCCTTTTTGAGTATTAGATCCCCTACTTTTGACATTTCGTTGCCCACTTTCTCTGCGATCTTCCCAGGGCCCTTGAATATTCCACGCAGCTTGGATTCGCCCTGTACTGCGTCTTTGCGGTTCTGTGAGTTGACCTTTGATGGGTCTTCTTGAAATGCCGAAGAGATTCGATCGGGAAGCGGGCTTGGTTCCAGCCTTCCACCCGGGGAGATGACCTCAGGATGCCCAGCTGAAGTATCCTTGCGCACAGCCGCCGAATCCAGGGAGCTATTATCCGCGTTATCTTTTGCCCGAATATTGCTCTTGCTCCGCTCATGTCGAGCACCAATAGCACGTGAGAAGCGGCCCTTTGTAGGCGACGGTGAACGGCTTGCCGGTGGGGATAGATTGGACGCAATACTCGGAAACATGCCGACCTGTGCATGGAGCTCGGGAGACCTGCTTTCTGCAGTTGATAAGGTCGTCAGGGGGTCGTAGCGATCATCGACGCTCGGGATAGAGGATATAGAACTTCGCTTTCCCTCTGACCGGGCCCAAGTGGGAGATCTTCCGGTCACATAACGGGGAAATGTATCATGGGTTGGCGTCAGTCTGGTATCCATAGCGGTGTCATACTCTGAGAGCGCCTCAGAGGCTCGAAGTCGTGAGGCGCCGGGCAGTGGGGACACATCCCTCTCAGAGGACAACGTATTATCCATAGGTGATTCCCGGTACAAACGCCCCTCAGCACTAGAGATGCTTGAAGAGCTACTTGATAATAGTCCCAGTTTATGTCTCTTAGAGCCTTTAACTTTCCCTGATGCTTCGATTCCATATCCACTACGGCCAGAGCCGTGGAACCTGTGCCGACGCCGTCCACGCCCGACTCTATTGAATTCTGTTGCTAGAACAGAGCGTGAATCAGACAAGGAGGTACGAGAAGTGGGGTGCTCCGAGTCTAGCGATTGCCGGTTATTCTGTAGCTGCTCCGTTGGTTCAATGGGCGTCTGATTATCATCAGGAGTAATAAGGATCGAGGGATCTGGGTAGAGATTATTTCCATCCCTATCAACGATCTTACTCTTATTCTGCCTTTCCTCGACCCACGCGGCATCGGAAAGGAACTCTGCTGGGTCGATGACCCAGTCTAATCTTGGCCTGCGTGCTTTGACGCTACTAGCACGGCTGGCACGCCTTAGACTTGAAGGAGGAGAGACAGCAAGATGATCAGGTTCTTCCACCTCTGCACGCGGCGTAGCATCCTTGCAATTGTGAAAAGCTGGAAGCCGCAGACATTCAAGAGGACCATGCGGTTGCTGGCCGTATTCAGCTTGCACCGAATCGACCCATTGATGTACTTTCTCCGTATCGTACCATCCGGCTGCCTCCGTATCTATTGCACAGCGCTCACGAAATCTCACTTTGCGATTGCGAATGCACTGGAGAGGATTGTAGACCCGGTGTGATGGAAAGCCACTGCTATTTACAGATGTTGAATCGGCATTTTGATCGTCAAATGGTTGCAGAGGAGGAAGGGAAGGAAGTAGTCGTAGATATTCCGAAAATAGCTCAAAATGGCGACGAGCTTTTTCAGCTCGAGCGAGTGTGCTTTCTGAGAAGCCCTGCGGCAAGGGTTCCGATCCAGCGGAATGTGGAAGTAGACTTGCCACTGAAGATGGCGCATGGGTCGACAGTCCACCTGGTTGAATGGAGCCAACTGTTCTAGTATGATCTTCACCCGGTGCTTGTGTGACCCTTTGACCATGTTGAGAGCCGCCATGTCCCAGGTCGGTTACTGGAACTGAAGCATGTCTACCAGTGTATGGAGCGGATGGCTGACCACCTGCCAGAGCCCATCTACCTCCTGAAAGACGATTTGAAGCAGAGCGACCTAGGCTATTTCTTTTTCTTGACTCGCTCAGATTCAAGGCAAGATTCACTATCTGGAGCGAATCCCTATCAAGGCCTACGGCGGCCTGATTGTCCGTCTGCTTGGAATGCGACTCCTGAGAGGCCGCCTCCTGCTCCAGATGAGAAGAAGCAGGAGTCTCTTCCGCTGCTGTGGGTTCCGTATGCTCCGTATGATTGGTATGCTCCGCCTGTTCTACTTGCGATACTTTCTGCTCTTTATGCCGAATCCAAGGGAATCGCGAGCGCTTCTTCGGAACCACCAGGTCCGGTTCGGGTGCTTCACGCTTCTCCTTACGGCTGGATTCTGAGCGGCGAGGAAGGTATTGGCTTGCACGCAAGTTCTTCGACCTGGGTAGAAAAGATGAATCCACTAGGAACCCGCCAGAGCTGGCCGTTCGGCGTTGGGCCCGGCCTCCTTTATCGCCATCCCGAGAGCTGCTACCGAGAGTGCTGCCCTCTAGCTCTCCGCTCGCTCGTCCCTCGTTCATATGCGCACCCTTTCGCCGGTCGGAATTATCATTAGACGTATTGTATCGTATATGGAGCCCTGGCTGTGTCTCATCGGTTTCAGGCATAGGAGGTGTAGGTGGATGCGATTCGTTGGTCTTCGGCGACATCAAAGCTATGGTGACGAAGTGGTCCGTCCCGCGGGATAGGAAAGGGGGCAACGTCCACGAGTAACGGCCGACATGGGGATATGCGAGAAATTGCTAGAATTCAGTCATGGCTTCTGGAGGAAAAACAGGGATCTAGGGAGATCAATCTGGACACCCCCTCGTCCTCGTTGTCCAGATGTGGTCTGACGATCGCTACTTCATCAGTAGGCAGCAGATGCATGATGCGCCGCGGCCCACGTGGAGCTGCAAACACGGCAAACAATCCCCCTCAATATTAAACATTCCCCAGACTCGATTACCAACGTATCAGATAGCTGACAAGTGATGCTCCACACATACATTGTGAAGCAGTGGGATATTCGAATAGTGCTTAAAGCTTTCAACTAGTATACAGTATACAAAGGAGAATATCTAGCATTGACTCTAACAACGCAGGCGGACAACTAGAGGTACAAGTCCTGTAGATAGGAGGCATGAGGTACAAGAAAGCTAAAATGATATCGAGGTTATTCTCTACTCGACCCTCAAACATTGTAGACGCGCCTCAGTTTCAATCACCTGTAGATAGAATATGTCAGTTCAGTTCATCCAGACAGACAGGAATTTTTGGGCGGAATCCTTACCTCCAGAGCTTGCTTAACTTCCAACACTCTGCGAACATCCACAAGCCAGTCCTTGCTCAGAATCTTGGCCCATCCCGACAAACTGTTCATCTCACGAGCTGCAGCATCGAGGTTACCTTCTTCCAGGAGGCTCTCGGTCCGGTACAGCACACTCTCCACATCGTCGCTACCGGCAACAGCATCCTTCTTGAACATGACCTTGCTCAGGACGACACTGGCAGCGTGGCTAGCGATACCTGCATCTTCGGGCAGAAGGCTAGCCTTGCGCACCTCATCAGCGACGCGACGGAAGCGCTCGATGATCTGAGAGGTCGAAGGAATTCCACGCTGGTAAGCAGCAGGGTTGATGGAAGAGATAGCAGCCTCAACAACGGGGTCCTCAGCGGCCAATTCCTTCACGGCGACAAGCTCGCGGACGAAGGGGCGAGGAACTGCAGAGCGATCAACAACGGAGCGCACGGCATCAACAGCCACCTGGAGTTGTTGGGTCCTGAGGTTGCTGTCAATGACCTCTCTCCAGCCAGAGGTAAGCTTCTCCAGCTCGCTGACGTTGGCGGTGAGTTCGTTCAATTTGCTGAGACGACCCTCGCGCTCCCGCTCCACGAGCTCCTTGACTTCGTGCAGGTACTTGCGGTTAAGCTCAATGGCTTGCTCAACCAGCTCGTTCTTGAGGCGCTGTTCGGCCACCTCCTGAGCTCTCTGCAACTCCGTTCTGATCTTCTCCTGGTAGGCATGAGTCAACTTTTCACGCTCAGCCTCGAATTCCTCGCGGTACTGGGCGGCATCGGCCGCACGCATTTCGTCAAAACGACGGATAAGCTCGCGAGCAGACTCATCGAAAGTAGCATGGGCCTGTTGGATCTCCTCCTGCGCAGCACGGCGGGCCTCCTCGCGAACAGCGATGATCTTCTCGCCAACCTTCTGGAGTTCCTCCTTGGCCTTGGCCACGGGCTGAGAGTACTTGCCGGAGTTCTCATCAGCGCTGATGACGGTGATAATGTCGTTGAACGTCTTCACCAACTCCTGGACGATTGCTTCATCTCCCTCGTTGACCTGAGCAAATTCGAGAGGAGTGACAGCAGGAATGGCCGGCTGTCTGGGCTCCTCCTTCTTCTCAGCCTCCTTGGCGGCCTTATCCTCCTTAGCCTTCACAACAGCAGTGGTCTTGTCCTCGGGCTTAGCGGCGGCGGGCTTGGTTTGCGCTTCGGAGCTCTTCTGAGCTGGAGTGGCACTCATGTGGGGGCCTTTCTGGGAGACATCTGCTCCCGAAATCTCCTCTTCGGCGACCTTTGAGGTGAGTCCGCTCTTGCTTGGGATGGTGATCTTGTTTCCTTCATCCCTTGGGGTCGGGTTAAGGCGGTTCTGGTTTCTCAAAGTGTTCGGGAATCGACGGTAGAAGTCACGCTCTTCGAAATAAAGGACACTCTCCTCACCATAGGGAATGTATTCGGTAAAGAAATCGTGGAAGTTATCGAATTTCAAAGCCAGGAAAACGCCGCCACCGTATGCGAATCCGGAGGTAAGCAGCAGGTAGAGAAGGAATCTGCGGAAGCGTCCACCCTTGGGAGCTGGGGTAGGAGGAGTAGAGGGAGGGAGAGTGGACTCTGTCATACATCAGCACTGGGGAAGCTTGCGACTCAACTGATCAGAGCATTCGTACCTTGTCCGGCGGGCGATGGCTTAGGGACGGTCTCTGGGGGAACAGCAGACTCGGAGGACGGAGTAGCGGGCGTAGGAGCAGCGGTGGTAGGGGGCTTAATATCGGCGAAGAACCTCTGCAGGGATTTGATACGAAATTAGTTGGGATGTTTATGACTCGACTGCGGATGCCGTCACCGTACCTGACCTGAAAGCCGGCTGCTTGCTCCGGCTCTGGACAGCCATTGGGATGCGGTCCGCTGACGAGCGGAGGACAGCAGCAACTGCCGTCCCGGTGCAACAGAAGAGCGCAGCATCATGGGCCGCACTACCATGGAGATGAGCGCTGAGAGCTGGCTTAGTTGAGGGGTTGGTGTTGATGGGAGTGAAAACGCGGACCGGAATTGGGATAGGTGCTTTTACGATCCGCTCCGATCCTGCACCGCCAAAGAGTGGCTCAGCTCGGGTCACTTCGCACCGCCCGCGCCGGCTGTCCGGATAGACCGAGCTAGCTGCCTTATAGTGCTGCAGGACATTATTTTGTCCACAAATAAGCTTAATATCTATACAATAAGATAGAATATAGTTGTTAATCTATTATTTGCATCTACAAGACTCACTTCACCTTGCTCCAAACACCTACTATGCGTATGTCACTGGAATTAATAGATGGCTAGTTCAGATCCGATGACTGAAGGTGGAGTATTATATAGGCATAGCATACTGAGAGTCTCAGGAAGAACGACAAAGAAAAATAAGAAAGTAACATGAATTCAACCCATCAGAAGGATACAGACGCCAGCAAAAGAGGAAGCAGAGACAGATAGAACAACGCGGAACAAAGAAATCATAGGTTCATCCCTGTCGCATAATGTCTAGACAGTCAAATCCAACCGTGCCAGTACAGTATAAAGCTCTCTCCCCACATCCAATGACGGTATTTGAAAAGCTTCGTCTTGTCAGATCAAGTCCAGTGAGAAAGACTGATAAAGATTGAACGGATCATCAAGCTCAAATCCGTAGGGATAACCGAATCCCCTGGGAAGCAAGAGACACCTATACGACGCCGGTCGGCCAAAGTTGCGGTAATCACGGCACCATTAGAAAGCCATAAAACAGTCTTGTTCGAAGTCGCTGACGGGTTGCACACTGTTTGCCCAGCGTGCCGGTTCACATTCAAGCTAGAAGACACACGTCTCCTGCATCTAACAACAGACCATGCGAAAGGAGGAAAGGAAGAAAAGGGGGATTAGATCGAAGAATCGACACACAACAGTTAGTACACGCCACTTGAAAAGCCTAGCAGTTGCAGGAACCGGCACCTTGGGTACCGGGTGCTTCTGGCCGCAGGTCAACACCAGGACGGGGAGTTGTGCGCAAGTTTCGAGGACCCGCCTGATCAAGAGGGAGCTTCTTCGCGATTGCTGTGAATAGTTCCTTAACGTTGGAGGAGGTCTTTGCAGATGTCTCAAAGAACAGAAGACCAGCTTCACGTGCATAGGCTTCGGCGTCAGCCGTAGGAATGGCTCTCTTGTCCGGGCTCTCCGTCACCAGATCGAGCTTGTTTCCTGCAAGGGCGATGACGATGTTCTCATTTGCCTGACGCTGCAATTCCTTCACCCACGACTTGGCCTTGTCCAGTGATGACTGCTCAACGTTACGACCAATTAGTTACTGTAGGAAAGGAATAGGTCGAGCCGGGAATCATACAGCCTGAGTGATATCGTACACAACGACCGCGCAGTTGGCGTTCCTGTAATACATGGGAGCCAGAGACTTGTATCTCTCCTGGCCGGCTGTATCCCATATCTCGAACTTAACCGTCGTGCTTTCGTCCAGGGAGATGGTTTGTGTGAGGAAGGCGGCGCCAATGGTCGACTCGCGGTAATCATCAAATTGATCCTATGCAGTGTTAGTCCCAGTAAGTCAACCGAAGAAACCGTCCTTTCGTAAGAAAAATTTCCGGAAATATCGACGAATTATCCCACCTTGACGAATCTCAGTACTAGCGAACTCTGTGGAGCCAGAAAGTCAGCGACCGCCATTTAGAACCCTGAAGATCACAAAATCCCAACCTTTCCGACCGCGGACTCTCCTAGAAAGGGCGAACGAAAACAACATGTCAGTACTTTTGTCGCACACTATAGTGGGGCCAATAACAGGGGGATACCAACCCAGCAATACAAGCTTGAACTGAGCGAACCTGGCCCCGGGACGGGCGCCTGCTGCGGCTCTGGAGGCCATAGTCGATATGGTTTGAGGAGCAACTTTCACGAGGAAAAAAAAGTCAAGAGTGAATAGCGCCCACGATACAAGCACAAAAGGGGGGGCTGGATGAGGTGGATAGCTCGAGATGGAGGGAGGAAACAAGTATTGGAGGCGGACTCGGGATGCTGGGAGGTTTGATGGCGGCCTGTCGGTGGTAGATGACGAAGGGATTCATTCAGCCACACCTGGCCCAAGCCGACTGGCCGCTCTGCGGGGCGGTGTGGCGCCCTGGCCGATTCCGTCCGCGCCAGCCTTGCTTATCACCACCAGCACATGCTGGCACAACGAGGTGCTGTGAGGTACCTCCGTCTCTCTTGCTCCCGAGCCTCCCTGGAGATCATCCCGGGGTTCCCTGAAATTACGTCTCTGCCTGTTGTTCATTCGTGCCTCTCACCTTCCGTTCCCTTTCACTTTCCCCCCCATCCTTCTTGCGCAATATGCGCTGAATTTTTCCTTACCACACTCTTTGACCCTCCCCTGAACTATACCTTGTTCTAGTATCTCTCCCTTCTTCCTTTTTAAGCTTCTTCGTCCCACATCGTGGGTAAACGCCCAACAATGGCTGCCTCCGTTCTTCCGTTTCGCGACATCAATTTGCACGCTGCCTCCTCTCATTATGCCTTCACTTCACCATCGTCCCCTAATGCCCCGACCCTTGTTGTCGAGCGTCCGACCGGCGACTTGCGGCTCAGTAACGGCACCCTCTCCGGAGCTAAGCGCATCTCCAGTATTGCAGGCATTCTGGGTATTATCAAACTGAAGCTCGGTGAGTCCCTGCTAATATACTGTCCTGTCCGTCCGTATTGCCACATTATACTAATCTGTTTAGATAAATATATCATAGTTATCACCAAGGCCCTGCCCGTGGGGCGCCTACGCGGCCACATGGTCTATAAGGTTGCGGCGACCGAGTTCTTGCCCCTGCGTGAGCGCTCTCTGCACGACTATGATGAAGATACATATCTGGCACTGTTGAAGGAGCTGCTTCGTACAGGCCCAATGTACTTTTCCTACGCTCTGGATATCACCAATAGCTTCCAACGTCAGTCGCAAACTGACCCCAACCTTCCTATGTGGAAACGAGCCGACGATCGATTTTTCTGGAACCGTTTCATCCAGTCGGACTTGATAGACTTCAGCCTGGGAGAACATGATGTTACCGGGGTACGCTACGGACCACAACCTGGAGTTGACCCATATATTCTGCCTGTTATGTTCGGAATGCTTCGTATCACGCCCGCGAAAGTCAAATCCACCTCTTTCACATTTGCTCTTATCACCAGGAGATCGAGGTACCGTGGTGGGACGAGGTATTTCTCCCGCGGTATCGACGATCAAGGCCACGTGTCCAATTACAATGAGACTGAGCAGATTGTTATCCTCAATGATGCGACGGGGGGTCTCTCTGGATTCTCTGGAGGCCAGTCTCTAGCAAAGGACAAATTGGATGGCTCAGCGCAGGACCTTCAGGTCATGGCGTTCGTGCAGACCAGAGGAAGCGTGCCCGTATACTGGGCCGAAGTCAACAACCTAAAGTACACACCGAAGCTGCAGGTCCGTGGGGTTGAAACCGCCGTGGATGCTGCTCGTAAGCATTTCGCTGAGCAGATTCGTGTCTATGGCGAAAATTACTTGGTCAACCTTGTGAACCAGAAAGGCAGGGAAGAGCGTGTCAAGACTGCCTACGAACAGCTAGTTCGCATTCTAGTGTCGTCCTCTACCGATAGCACCGAAGCGGATGAAATATCATCAGAGAAGGTGCACGCGGTGGAGCCCGGACTGAGGCAGAGGGAATTGGACCGACTCCACTACGTATATTTCGACTTCCACAATGAGACAAAGGGTCTCAAGTGGCACCGTGCGGAGTTGCTGCTGGAACGGCTTATGGACGGTCTAACACGAGGTGGATATTTCCGTGGAGTAGAAAATCCGGGTGCTCCTGGTGGTCAATTGGATACACGCTCCGCGCAGTCCAGCGTCGTCCGGACGAATTGCATGGATTGTTTGGATCGTACGAACGTCGTTCAAAGTATGCTGGGACGTTGGGCTATAACACGCCAACTCGTTGATGCAGGGGTCTTACAACCTGGAGAAGCAGCGAACGACGACCGCGACTTTGAAAACCTATTCCGTAACATCTGGGCAGACAATGCAGATGTTGTGTCTAAGGCCTATTCCGGTACTGGAGCACTGAAGACCGATTTCACCCGGACTGGCGAGCGCACTCGCGCTGGTATGTTGCAAGACTTGAATAACTCCATCACACGATATGTACGGAACAACTTCATGGACGGTCCTCGCCAAGATGGGTTTGATGTCTTCCTGGGCACCTATCTTCCCCCGAACTCCACCCTGGGGAACATCCAGCTCTTCCTGGATCGTCGACCACTCATCATCCAGTCTGTTCCGTATATCTTTGCTGCCGGAGTCTTCTTGATCGCGGTAGCCGCTTTCACAAAACGCTTACCCGACTCCACCGTGTGGCCCCTGCGCTTATTTGTTCTTTTCTGGTTCATCGTCAGCGCCTGGTGTGCACGTTTTATCCTTGCTCATGGAATGCTCTATGTAAGACTTCCTGTTGTCCTCCTCTTCATGTCCACATACTGACCCGATGAAACAGGTAAATTGGCCGAAATTGAACACACCTACAGCTGGCTCTGAGGGGTATCAAGATGCGCTCATAAAGGCTCGCTCTGATCCGATAGTTGGCCAACTACTCCCTGCGAGAAGGCACCAGAGAGGCTATAGCAATGCCCGGCTGGTCTTCCTCGAGGAGGGCAAAACGAGGATCGAGTAATCTGTCTCGCCGTACTTTTTCATCCACTTCTTCAATAAAACTAAGCATGTTACATGACCACTATGTGTTTCTGTACATTTAGTGTTACTTGTTCACTTGGCTTTAGATCCGTTTATGTTCTTGCTTCTTTCCCTCTTTCCTTTTATTATTATTTCATTTCTGTTTTGAAGCTCTACTCCTCGGACTCCATTTCTTATTATTACTCTTTATAGAAGTCGGTCGACCTTAATGTGATTAACACGCTGATGGTCGCACCATCGGCTGTTCAGGCCTTTTCACCCCCGCAAATTAAGTAGAGACCTAATAATCCAAACCAAGTTGACTCATTTCTAAGTATCTGCGGGCTACAAGTCAATCTGGGTTTCCGCTTCCGGCTTACACATCACATGATGGAGGGGTGGCTTCTTGCTTCCAGCTGTTAGCGGTAACCGGCCCATCCGTGCAGCTGTGCTGATGAAAAGGCAATAATGACCATTGACAATGACTTAACTATCAAAAATAATAGCGGGACGGCCCACAAAGAACCAGATCGGCCAAGTTGATTTGCCGGATAACTGGGTCGTTTTAAGGTAATCGGGCTTAGCGTCAGTACTGCCGGCAGAACAGCTGGAACTCCATAAGCCCAATTTGATCGGAGCAGAAGGTCTCTCACTCTATTCATTGGTACCGGTGTGGTAATCGACCTGCAACCCCTCAGTCTTTAGCAAGGCACGTGAGCGGGTTCTTACTCGACCCTCATGAGGGGCATACGAACATTTTCTCCCTTCTATAGGTCTTGCCAGCTGCGTCGACACTTCTCTTGTGCCACAGTCATGTCCCGCAATTATGAGGTACGCGCACCTCCGATCGGATGCCGATGACTCAATGACTGGAATACCATTCTAACAAAATAACGCAGGCTGCGATTGCGGCCCTCAATTCGCTGCAAACCAATTTTGCGGTAGTTGAGGAATTGAGGAAGTCGGTGTCTAGGAAAGATATGAACCTACGCTCCCTTCCAGAGACCGTAGAGTGGCTCCGACGCATTGGTTACCAGGTCGGTACCACCTTCCACAGCAGATTCATGAAGCCGTGAAGTCCTGTCTGTCATGACTAATATAGGACTCTCTTTTATAGCCTTCGGACCTGAACCAAATAAATCCTATCCACGTTGCCGGGACGAAGGGCAAAGGCTCGACATCGTCCTTCATCTCCTCCATTCTGTCCCAGTATACTCCGTCTGGATCCGCGGATGCCCCCTCGCGCAAGCTCAACAAGGTCGGACTTTACACCTCACCTCACCTGCGATTCGCCCGAGAACGTATCAAGATCGACAATGAGCCACTCTCCGAAGAGAAATTCGCCAAGTACTTCTTTGAGGTATGGGATAGGCTCGAAGAGGCTGCCCAGAAGGCGGGCGAAGACCCGACAAGCCTACGAACCAAGCCGCAGTACTTCCGATACTTGACTTTAATGGCTTTCCACACCTACATTAGCGAAGGAGTAGATGCTGCGGTTATCGAGTGCGGTATTGGTGGGGAGTACGACTGCACAAATGTGATCGAAAAGCCAGCTGCGACTGCGATCACTAGTTTAGGCATTGACCACACTGCCATGCTCGGAAACACCATTGAAGAGATTGCTTGGCACAAAGGCGGCATTATAAAGCCTGGTACTAAAGGGTTCAGTGCGCCGCAGCCTCCAACCGCGGAGAAGGTTCTGTACGATCGTGCAGCGGAGAAAGGCACTCAGCTTGAGATAGTAAGAGGTCACCCCGAGCTTAACACTACCGGAGACGTAAAGCTTGGTTTGGCTGGTGATTTCCAATATACAAATGCCGCCGTCGCCGTTGCTACAGCTGCCGAATTCCTCAGGAAGGTCGGGGTCGAAGATGTTCCTTCCGACATCCTCTCGAAGCCTTTGCCGCCAACGTTCCGCAAAGGGCTGGAGTCTGCCCGGCTTGGAGGTCGCTGCGAAACGCGACATGAGAAAGATGTCACCTGGTACCTTGATGGAGGCCATACATTGGAAAGTATCAGGCTCGCTGGCCAGTGGTTCGCTTCCCAGGTGCAAGCCAACTCTTCATCTACTGCAGCCGCGAACAAGAAGCTGCGCGTTTTGATCTTCAACCAGCAGACTCGCGATAGCAATGCTCTCGCCGAGGCTTTACATGAGACCTTATCTGCAGCCTTGGGCGCGGAGCAGCCTTTCACTCATGCTCTCTTTTGCACCAATGTCACCTACAAGGATGCAGGTTATCGTCCTGACCTGGTTAGTATGAACACAAATGCGGATGACGTGCAGAGGCTACAGGTCCAGAAAAGTCTTGCTGAAAAGTGGCATTCGATTGATCCCCGCGCCGAGGTCAAGGTGTATGGTACTATCGAGGAAGCTGTAGACTTCGCTCGGGAACTGGCGACAAGAGAGAGGGGCCTTGTAGGGCAAGATGAGGCTCCTGTCATGACTTTTGTCACAGGTAGCTTACTCCTTGTGGGTGGGTTCTTGGATGTGATCGAGACGAAGCCCAGCCAGTACAGCTGAGTGTGCTTCCAATTCCTTCTATATTGTATTTGCAAGTGAAGTGATGATTTCTGCCTCACCATGAGGTTTCAACAACAATTCTGGTGATACCCGCAAACCAAGGCTAGTGCCTTATTTGCATGATTAATGGTCCGATGATGTCGAGATAGCATTAGAAGGGGCGTCTGATCTCTTTCAACAAAGCTCTTATTATCTTGTGTATATACTAGTATCGATAAAAATCGCGAGACGGTGTTGTGGATCCAAACGAAGCTTCACTGTAGTGTTAGGGTGGCTGCCATTACCGCGGCAGTGCGAGTAAGCTCCCCTCCCCGCGCAGGAACGGCGGCAACGTGGGGCTGCTTAGAAAACCTTCCCGTGTCCACTTTGGTCCGAACCCCTCGAACTTCGATTCATTATTCCCGCTGCTACAAGCTGTGATGTCGGACCCCAAGGATAACAAGGGCAAGGCCCCTGAGGCGCCCAAAGCCGAAGTGAGTAGCTTCCAATTTGTTGACCTGAACTTCTCATGCCCCTCAATGTTTGGAGATCGTCTAACAAGCAGCTACTCTAGGATGCGCCAGGTAACAAGCTGTCCACCAAGGCAGTGGAGGCTCTGCTGGAGAGCAATGCCGCCCTGAAGAATGAGCTGGCCGGAATGGACAAGGACAAGGCTGCGGAGGCTCTACGGAAGATGGATATTGCTGAGCTGTTGACGGGTCTCGCTGTGGGTGGAAAGAACCAGAAGGACATGGCTTCGTACAAGTTCTGGCAGACACAGCCGGTGCCTCGTTTCGATGAGGCGGCCAACGATGCTGGTGGTCCCATCAAGATCATCGATCCTGAGAAGGTGTCCAAGACCCCCGATGCGCTGATCGAAGGTTTCGAGTGGGCAACACTGGACCTTACCAACGACGACGAGCTCCAGGAACTGTGGGATTTGTTGACATACCATTATGTTGAGGACGACAATGCCATGTTCCGGTTCAGATATTCGAAGTCATTTTTGCACTGGTTGGTTCACGCGATCATGTTGTCGGCGCATGTTACTGACTGCAATGGGTTCCAGGGCTTTGATGTCTCCGGGCTGGAAGAAGGAATGGCACGTCGGTGTCCGCGCCAGCAAGTCAAAGAAATTGGTTGCTTCGATCTGCGGTGTCCCCACGGAGGTTCGCGTTCGTGATCAGAAGATCAAGGTGACGGAGATTAACTTCCTCTGCATCCACAAGAAGTTGCGCTCCAAGCGTTTGACTCCCGTCCTAATTAAAGAGATCACCCGTCGCTGCTATCTTAGCGGTATCTATCAAGCCGTTTACACTGCGGGTGTTGTTTTGCCGACACCTGTTAGCTCTTGCCGGTATTACCACCGCCCATTGGACTGGCTGAAGCTCTACGAAATTGGTTTCTCGCATCTCCCCCGTGGCTCCACCAAAGCACGCCAGATCACCAGGAACCACCTTCCTAGCACGACATCAACCCCTGGATTGCGCGTTATGGAGGCCAAGGATGTTGACGCCGTTCAGGATTTGCTGGAGCGGTATTCCAAGCGGTTCGCCTTGAACCAGGCCTTCACCCGCGAGGAAGTCGAGCATTGGTTGTTGCACAAGGAAGAGGCTGGAAAGGAGCAGGTGGTATGGTCTTATGTGGTCGAAGATGCCGAAACCCGCAAGATCACCGACTTTGTCTCCTTCTACAACCTCGAGTCGACTGTGATTCAGCACCCCAAGCACGACAACGTCCGTGCCGCTTACCTATACTACTATGGCACGGAGACTGCCTTTACCCAGGATCAGAAGGCTCTTAAGGAGAGACTGCTCATGCTGATGAATGATGCTCTGGTGCTTGCGAAGAAGGTATGATCTATATCAGTTTCCCTTCATGTGAGCTTTGACTTCGGTCCATACTGATTAATTCTTAGGCTAAATTCGATGTTTTCAACGCACTGACCCTGCACGACAACCCTCTGTTCTTGGAGCAGCTCAAATTCGGTGCAGGTGACGGTCAGCTACACTACTACCTGTACAATTATCGGACGGCTCCGGTCCCTGGAGGTGTCAACGATAAGAACCTCCCTGATGAAAAGAAGATGGGCGGTGTTGGTATCGTCATGCTGTAGGGTCTGGCACTCTGTTGCATTCTTGACACATGTGAAACGTTCTTCTGCAGTATTTGTTCGCAATTAAGGGCGGCATTTGAGGGAGGAACTGTGGATACTTCTATCATGAATATAAATGATGTTAAAAGCTCCGTATTTCCCTAGCGATACTAGCAGCAGATGGGTGCCTGGATCTGCACCGAAAGTAGACTAGCCGTCCGACCCACTTGTGTCATGCCTCAGGTGCCAAGGCTGCCGGGCTGCCGCATGCGGGACTCGCCATCCCGTCATTAACCAAGCATCCCCCCCGACTTGTCCCTCTCCTGAAAATCAACAAGTCGTGTACCTTATTCTTGCTTTCTCGGTGTTGATGGATTATTACAGTCCTTCTTGCCATTCCGGCCCATCTGGTTCCTCTGCGTGTCGGGGTTCCTTTCAGTAGTTGATGCACATTGATCGTCAGTCGTATACCTGAAGTGGGTTTACGTCGTCATCACTACGCGGCAACCGGCCTCAAGAATGATTGTACTGATTAAGCTAGACGAACGTGTCCTTTATTCTCCACGACTACTCTGCTGATTGGTAGCTAAATATCGGATCGCACATGGCACCATCTTGCTCAGGCTTTACCCGATAATCTTCTCAGCTCTTAGAACAGTATACGGCAAGATGGGACTGAGCCAGTCGACTGAGTATGGGGGCCAGACGTCCTCTCCAGGTTAGTAGTCGTTGCCGTCTTTCGTAATGGAGCCATAATATCCCACCACAATGATAAAGATGGCTCTTCAGAGAAAAGCAACCCTGTCTCTGACAAGACCTTAGAGGAGCTGAGCTACGTGCTTGCTGAACGGTTTGCAACTAAATGCTTCACTCCCTTGGAGTTGACTCATCTCAAAGACAACTTCTTTTCGCGTGCCATTGACCAAGGCGGCTTGAAGTACTGGAACGAGAAGACACTCTCGGATTTTCTAGGGATTCCGGATAGCAGTGAATCCCACTGTCCTCTGGATGCGGGCCCGGTGATCTTCCGTATGGTCTCGTACCTTGGGGCATTTCCCTTTCAGAACACGCTAGCTCCGAGTGTTCTAACGTTCGAAGCTATGGTGAAAGTCGTTGTTTTGCTGACTGAACGATACGGGAAGGTCCTAAGACGAGCGCGCAGGGATAGGATACGGCTTCTTTTCGGAAGCCTTGCTGATGTTGGAAGGAAGAGTGTTGAACAGCACACTAATGGCGATGAAGTGAGCGAGGATGCTGATGCACCTGCGCCGAACTCTCATGTCCCAGGCTTTGCCATCGATGAGCCGGCCAACGATGATTATGAGGACGAGGAGGACGATGATCTAGCATTAGCTGCTTTGGAATCCTTGGATGCCATTGAGGTCTTCAAGCACGATTCACGTATGGACAGGGCTGTCTACGAAGCTCGGATATCTGCCGATACGCTCCGTCGACTCTTGATGCTTCTATTAGTCATCTCGCCCTTAAAGCCCCTTGAGCCCGTAAAGATTTACACATCCGATTTAACTGAAGAGCGCATGAAAGCAGTTCGGTCAGAAGCTGATAACGTGATGGCAGCATTCAACCGTGAGCCTTCTGGTGGGATAAGCTATAAGGAATTTGCTCGGATTGTGACATCTTCGTTTCCGTATCTTTTCGATCCTCTGACACCACTGTTCGAACATCTCCTCTTCAGCAGAAATCTGAACCTATCCCAAAAACGCAACAGGGCTGATTCTACGGCATCGGAGCCTGTCGAAGAAGAAGCCCCAGAAGATGATCTGCCTTCACCTCCAACGATTACGCTTCCAGGTAGCTTTGAATCAGTGATACTTAACCCGAGCGTCATTTCGCATCTGTCCTTCTTCCTTCCGTCATCCTCGGAAAGCCTAAACTTCCTCCGCGGCAATGTGCGCCTGCATCCAGTCTTCTCAACAGTCGCGCATGGCTCCTCTTTGACCTCCTTCTCACACCACGTGCTCACCTGGTCCTCAGGCACTCTACTGGTGCTCGAGGGAACTGACCCAACCGGCGAAATGTTAACCATCGGCGCCTACCTACCACAACCATGGAAATCACCAAATTCCACTCAGTCCAGCTCCAAATTCTCCAATTCAGTTCTCCCATGTCTCTTCCAGCTCTCACCGAAACACCTACTCCTTCAAGGGAACCCCTCCTCAACCATCCAACAACAATCAAACATCCCAGCCGCATACTTCTCCACCAGCTCGGGAATCTCAATAGGTTGTCAGATTCCCCCTTCATCGCGCAGCAATCAAAAGCCCCCCACTCCGCACGGCGCAGGCAGCTTGACCATCGACGTTAGCCTCGAGACTGCCCAATTCCACGTCTCCCCCGTCGTCCGCAACGGCGTCTTCCTGCCCCCACCCCCAGGCTCTACTCCAGACACTACCGTCAAAACCACCATCGAGATTTATAACTTAGAAGTATGGGGTCTCGTTCCCGACCCTACAACCACGTCCGCAGAGGGCGGCAAAAGTGCCGTTGAACTCCAACAGGCGAAATGGGACTTTGAAGCTCGGGAGGCTGAACGGAGACGCAGTGTGAATCTGAAGACTGGAGGCAGTGCCGCGGAGGAAAGCGCCAGATGGTTATTGGAAACCGCCGGGTTGATCGGGGATGGTGCAGGGCGACGTGCCGGAGGGAGTGTCTGATTATAGAAACGGATAAAAAAAAATTTGGTCTGAGAACATCATAGTATTGTTTCCTAATGAGACTCTGTTGTTGTGCGTTACACTTCTAATTCATTGATATGTGTAGTCGTTTCATATATCCCAGATGTAGCGATACTGTATGCGAGGTATGAGGATGAGACAGTATCTATCAAACATGTTCACTGACGAGTTCCTGCTCTTGAGATTTATACTTTTCAGGTATCATTTTGTCTCGTGACACTTTGTAGCTGATTCAATTCCATTCTATACCCTCATATTTACACCCGCCTGCGTACTTTCCCTACCTCTATCCAAATCTGATTTCAAACCAGATCAGTCATCTCGTTACTTCCCACCTTTCCCCCCATCTCCCATCCCAGCATCATGATAGAAACCCATCACACAAAACTCGCAACCCAAACATCCATACTCCTAACCCCCTTCCTCCCCCCCTCCACACCCTTCAAACTCGTCTCACACGCATCCCTCGCAGCCAACACCACCGCCCTCTCCCTCTCATCCCCCACAACCCTCCTCACCTCCTCCTCAAACTCTCCATCAAGACAAGCCGCCACCTCCCAGCTCCCATCCAACAACCCCTCCCCAGCCTCCACATACTCCTCCCTCTCCACCGTCCACCCCGCCTCCACCGCCAACTCCGTCAGCCTCTTCGGCCCCAACACCGTCCGCACATTCGAGTCGCTACTATCCCCGGGCTTCCGACATTCCAGCGCCGCCTGCGCAAGCGCAGCTAGCACATGAGGCTGCGCGGACGGGTGCGTAGCTACTAATGCCCACTCGGCTAGAAGGAGCCGTTTACTGTGCTGCCTCACGGCACGGAACGTGGAGAGGATGAGGGACGGGGCGGAGAAGTACCAAAGGCTGTGGGCGAGGATCGTAGCGTCGAATGTCATACTGGATGATTGGGGCAGGGAGGAGAGGTAGGTTTGTGGGGATTGTTGGATCCAGGTGATGCGGCTGCCCAGGGGGGATTGGGAAATGTGGGATTGGGCCTGGGCAAGAGTGTAAGGGGATCCTGGGAGATAAGAGATAGATGTTAGGTTGTAGGGTAGAGTGAGGAGGAGGGGATAGGCTCACCGTAGTCAAGATCTGCTGGGTCGACTGCGACTACGCTCCCCTGCTCGCCTACGGCAGAGGCGAGGACGGTTGTGCAGTCGCCTTGGCCGCATCCTAATTCTAGGACTTTGGAGCCGGTGGGGATGGTCCAATGTTGAAGCAGGGTTAGGCGGTGGAGGGTTTGCGATTGTTGGATGTTGAAGTTGTTGGGATCGTGGAGGGAGATGCGCGCGATAGAGGCGGCGGAGGCGGCGAGTTGGGTGGACATGTTGTTATTTTCAATTTGCTCAATCAGTGTGCTGGTGGCTTAGTGGAGTTGGGCGTAGCTAGGCGATGGGATTTGAGACTATTATCGTCTTTATTATATCATACGAGTTAGCTACTGGGTAGCTGCGGATGGTGACATCTTATCCGAGGATTAGCATGGGAGTAAGCTGACACACAATCATCCCCACATTTTATATTGCTTGACTCATACGGCCGGCTTGATCCTTGAAATCAGACATGTCCTTATCGTACTGATTGGTGCTGCCTGAAAATGAGTCAACGTGTAGGTCTAATTGCATGTGCGAAGAGTCATTAGCGCAGTTGATAGTCAGAGTATGGGTAGGCTTGGTACTTTGATAGTGAAGTAGGAAGGAGAGCGATGTTCGCAGCTGATAGCAGTGCTAGAGCGAAGAAATACTATCATGATATTCAAGCATACACAGAATGCATTACTCATACATATTCTAGGTACTCAAACCTATGTACTGTAAACCTATCTATCAAGCATCACGCCCCCATAGGTGGAAGTCCCGTAGGCGGACCATAGAAATCCTTGAGTTCCTCTTCCTCCTCCTCTTCCACAGGTTTCTCGATATTCTCATCCCCTGATTCCTCGTCCACCGTCTTACTCCGAGACTGCAGCCTCCCACGCGCAGCTGGGACCGGAGTCCCGGTTTTCTTGCCACTATCTTCTGTCTCAGGGGCGGGCTTGTTATCGTCTGGCTCTTCCCGGGGCAGACGGTATGCCAGAAATCCCTCAGGGGCGCGTTCCGCTCGGTCCATGATCTCATTCATGTATTTGCGTACTTCGTCGGGGGGTTTCACGACACGGCCTAGAGGTTCCAGGACTTTGGGGTTGTTGGTGAAGATGCGGAATGTTACAGGTTGGTAGTATTCCTTTAGATTGGAGTCTTTGGCCTTCTCTTTCTCCTTGTTCTCCTTCTCTTTGTCATTGTCCTTGTCCTTGTCTTTGGTGTCTGCCTTCTTGTCGTTCGAGCCGTCTTTATCGGCGGAGGGCTTATTAGGTGTTCCGGATGCTTCAGCCTTCTGATCAGCTTGGGTGTTGCTGGCTGGTGTCTTAGAGCCGTCCGGCTTAGGTTCGGTAGCCGAAGGCTCAGGTTTATCATTGGACTTCTCCTGCGGCTTGTCTTTTTCTTTATCGTCTGCTTTCCCCTTATCCTTGTCGGCCTCGCTGGCTTTCTCCTTGTTCTTGTCCGCTTTCTTCGACTTGGACTTGGATGCCTTGCCTTTAGCCCGTGGGTTGGCCGTCTCAGTAGCTGACTCTAAGGGAAACGTTGCGTTTGGATCTACCTTCCTCACGAGCAGGAATGAGGCAAGCACAGTATTTCCTCCAGGGAGCCATTCCAAGATTGTGTACTCAGGAAATAGGTATCGGTCACCAGAGCCTGCATGTCCAGATGTGCTGCTTCCATATGGGGTCAGCGGTGATGTAAATTCAAAGACCACAGACTTGTAGTTCTGTCTCGGAGGGGGCGGTGGCGGAGCTGGGCGATAATATGGTGCTGGCGACCCGTACTGCGGAGGTCGGGATTGTATGGCAGGTGGATGGCTTTGATACGGAGGCTGCTGATACTGTGGATGTGGAGGCCCTGGCCGCGGCGTTGGCTGCTGCTGGGGGGGTGGCATGGGTCGTACAGCTGGGCTTGCCTGCTTTTGCGGATCCGGGGTAGGAACTGGAGCCGGCGCCACGCTGGGACTCGATACCGGCTGAGACGGGGGCTGGCCTGCCGCCGCCACGCCAGGTTCTTGTTTGATTACAACCTGAGGGGCTGGCTTAGGTGCCTGTGGAGTAGGGGTTTGTGGCGGCTGTGGGGCGTTCGAGTTGGGGGGAGGGTGGGCAGGGGCGGCAGACGGTGATGGTTTGGGGACTTGCACCTCGACACGCGGCGTGGACTGTGGTTGCGCCTGCCCTTGCGGGGTCTGCTGAGGGGTCTGCTGAGGGGTTTGTTGACCTGACTGCGGGGGAGGCTTTTGTGCAGAGGGAGGTTGTTGCGGAGGTTGCGAAGGTTGCGGCGTTTGCTGAGGCTGAGGCTGGGGCTGTTGTGATGGGTGTTGTGATGGGGGTTGTGACGGACGAGGGTGAGGATGAGAGGGGGTGGAAGGCTGAACTTGTCGCTGCTGTTGCTGCTGTTGCTGCTGCTGTAGCCGTTGTTGCTGTTGTTCCCTTGCGCGAATGATGGCGTTCAGTTCGTCAATATGCGCCTGGAAAGCGCGGAGTTGCTCTTGGGATGCTTTGCTCGAAGCCACGACGCGCATCAACGCTTTGAGCTCGGGATCGGACGCAGCTCGTGTTGCAAGCATCTGAATGACAGGGTCTGGGCTAGGCTTCGGCGGTTGGGCAGTCTGGGGGTGCTGAGAAGGCGATGGTCTTTGCGCAGACTGAGGGCCCGGGGGACGATGGGGTGGCTGACTTGGAGTCCGAGCAGGATGTGAAGGGGGTGGGTGGCTTCCAGGAGTGTAGCCTGGTTGAGGTGTTCCTGGGGTCGCCGGAGAGCCTTGAGGAGGGTGTTGCCGTGCATGCTGGGGCGGGGCAGGGGAGTGAGGATAGGGGTGGTATTGTTGGAAGTTGTTCGGATGTCCATAATGGACCATCGGGCGTTGAGGGGTGGTGTATTGGATCGGCGGCGGCGCGTTGGGATCTTTGACAGTGTACAGCATCGCGTCGAAAAGATGAGGTCCGACAACGATGTTGCAAGCTCCAACCTTTGACATGGTCTCCTTGGGCGGATTCTTCCCTTCAATCTGTTCCCTCTTGGTCTTCTTGGGTTTGGTCCAGTATCTCTCCAAGATGCCGTCGCTTAGCCATTTCTTCTTCGATCGTTCCAGGGATGCTAGCAGAACCGCACTGTTGCTGATCAGCAACTGATTTTCTAAGTATAGACGAGGATACACCCTCTGCGCATAAAATTAGGAGGGCACGCGTACCTTTCCGCATACGACTGATACTCTTTCTCCGTAAGATTGGTCGGTTGCGGCGTGGCCGTAGTCGGAAGAGGCTCTCCATCCTTTATCTTTGTAGGCAAAGGGGGTTCGGTAGGTTCCGGTGGTGGCGGTGGAGGAGGAGGTGAAGGAGCGACGACCGGTGCAGACCCCTTCTTCTTCGAAGACTGAGGTTGAGGAGATGGTCGAGACGGAGCTTCGGAGGCTCGTCGCTTCGCCGCGGGTTCGCGACGTTCGCGGGCGGGGAGTTTGCGTTTTTCGGCCATGCTGGGTTGGAAAGAATTATTGACGAGCAGTTACACGCCAATCAGTAAGCCAACTGATTGAGTCAGCGGACATTTCGCAGCCTCCGGACCAGACTGGATGATGGAAAGGGATGAGAGTTGCGGAGGAGGAAAAAAGGCGGCGGAGAAAGTGAAGTTGGAGGCAGAAGCTGGATCGGGCAATTCCACCGCCGAGCCTCAGCATCCCCGGCCTTAATCCTCCGCATCTTTTAGTTATTCACCGTTCCTGCCTCTAGCCAGGTCGCATTGGTAGCATCCAGATGTGAATATTCTGATTTATTCGCGTTTTCGTTATGAAATATTGTTGAACAGTCGCACCCCCAGGTTTACTTATAGCAATTGGTATACGGAGCATACGGCGGCTCTTCAAAGTAAGGGTTCCCGAGACATCTCGACTTGCAGTTCGCATTTATGTCTGCCTTCATAATGGCTAAACTATGTACTGCTTACTGTAGGCCCATAGCCGCCATGGTTGAGCTTCAACCCATCTTCAAGAAGGCCTACTGGGCCCTGGCAGCCGGTGGGATCTTCTATGCGATATTCGTCTGTGCCATGACGTACCCCGTAGTCCAAAGATTGTACGTTGCCTCGGTTAAAAGCTCGAATCGATGTTTGAAACGAGGACAATGGTTAACATGCTGCCTGCTCGTATCAGTGCCCTCTATGTGAATAAAATCAATCCCACTGCGTGGCAGGATGTGAACCTGGTTGAATCATTCGGCTTTCTTAGTATGTTAGACTATCTCAGTCCACCAACCTAATCATGCTCGAAGGACAAGCTCATTAACTGCAACCAAAGAAACACAGGTGCAGCCATTCACACTCGTAACTCCCGATAACGAGACACTCTATGGATGGCATCTCCTGCCCCTGCAGCTCTGCCACGAGCATGAAGAGGAGCTAAATGCAAACGAACCAGACGGACCAGCAGACGACTACACCAAAACCACTGCATTCAAGCTACTCAAAAATGACCCGAATGCCAGGGTGGTAGTTAGCTGTAAGTAAACTCACCGCACTTAAATTATAGCGACACACGACACCATTTACTGAGATCCAACACCAGTCCACGGCAACGCCGCCCACCTCGCATCTGCCCAGCGACCAGACATCTATCGGCAAGTCCTGGGACTCTCAACCCCCCAGAACCCCGTTCATGTCTTTGCCATTGACTACCGCGGATTCGGCCTCTCAACTGGCTCTCCTACAGAAGAGGGCCTAATCACGGACGGAGTATCGCTGCTCAACTACCTCACCTCCGACCCACTGAACATCTCACCATCACGCATCGTAATTATGGGTCAGAGCCTAGGAACCGCCGTAAGCGCAGCAGTCGCAGAGCGCTTCGCATTCGGTTCCCCAGACCCCACTGCTATCCAGCCAGCACTAAAGAACCCGGAGCCCTTCGCTGGTGTTATCCTGCTTGCATCCTTCAGCAACGTCCCAAGCTTGATCGATTCCTACAGTTTGAAGGGAATCACACCTCCGATGCTCTCCTTGCTAGCTAACTACCCACGGGTACACAACTGGGCCAAGAGCCACATCGTTGATCGCTGGGATACCGCCGGTAGAGTCGCACGTCTGTCCGGCGTGAACACTACTATAGTCAAAGACGACCCTAACCCCGCTTACGCAAATAAAGGTCTCGACCTCTTCATCATCCATGCAGCAAACGACGTCGAGATACCCTGGCAGGAGGGCCGGCGCGTCTGGGTCGCCGCCACGGGCGAGGACATCCCCGGTGCCCCTGGCAGGATAGTCCACGAACGGAAGGACTCTAACGGACCAAACGAAGTGCAAATCTGGGAGAATCAATCGACGAAGGACAATGCAGTTGTTAAGCGCGTTAGATGGGAACGCGTTAGCCATGGTGGTATGTTGATAGAACCCCTACCACATCCAACCCAGCAAGTAATACTTGACCAAAGAGGCTAACAATGAATTACAAGGCCACAACCGCGTCGCAACCTTCTCCGTCGCCGCTCTTTCAGTGATGAGGGCCTTTGAGAAGTAAATGCCAGGCCACCACATCTTGTCAGCAACGTCACCTAGACTAGACTATTGTTAGATACTATAGGCTAAATGCAAACTGGGCCTTCCACATGGCTTGTAGCCTCAAATTCGGGTAGCCAATAGAAACCTCGAAAAGAGCGAGATGTAAAAAGAATCGCGAAAATCCACTTATAAGGCAGGCCAATCAAGAGGGAGTTTAGGAACGCGTTGACGCGACTGAAGAGTTTGTATTCACTGTAAGTTGTTCTAGAGCTTGTGGTTGTGTCCTATAGAGGTACTGTGTGAGTCGTTTGCATGTGGATGTGGGTTCCATGTTTTGTATGAATCGGTATATTAGTGCTTGGTTTGGGGATATATACCGCTATGATTGCCTGCGGTTGAATGAAGGTCGCACATGAATACGAGTAGGAGCAGATATGAAGAATTCAGTTGCAGTGGTTCAATATTATGAAATGTTTTTGGACGCTTGTGCTCTTGTCAGAGAGGACCAAAGAAGCGCAGTGATTGTGAGATATCAAAATAAAGACCATCAGTTTAACTGTATGGAGTACTAATGGGTCACCCGAACTTGAATTAGTTGAACCCCGTTCATTTCATGCTCCAGGAAATTCTCTATAGCCCAATATATGCTTATGATTTGAATATATGAGAGGAGATAACGACCATCAGGTCAAATATGTACAGTCTGAAACCGAGATGAGCTGTCTCGAGATGGACGACCGGGTATCCTACCAACCCAGCCACATGGTACTGACTGAAAACTTTCCGACGCCCACAGGGCCCGTCTAGATTGCTTGATAAATAATACATGGCGCCAAATTATCTAAACATAATGAGAACATCGTCTTCGTAGTGAAATACACGCCGAGAAGGTAAGAGGTAAGAGGGAGGATAGAGCGCGGGTGGGATATTGCAGGTTCAAGGGCCCCGAAAGGAGACGTAATGGGCATACTCTTGAATTGCATCATTGGCGTGGGGTAGCTTCAAGAGGTGGGTCTACCTCCGTGAAGCTTTTCCAAGCATCAAGCCACAGGGTTGCGACAGGCTTATTTCTTGTGTCTGTCGGCCTGGGCCTTCTGGTACTTGGCAATGAGGTCCTTCCTGTAAGTGGAATCTTATTAGTATCGGCTTCATAATATGCGCGGGGACAAGGCGACTTACTGGAGGTGAGGAGGCGCCCTCTCGTAGTGGCTGAACTCCATGGTGTATTCACCCTTACCCTGGGTAGCCGCACGCAGGTGGGAACTGATACCGAACATGCCGTTCAGACTGCAGTCGGCATACACGGTGAACTCATCAACACCGACCTCAGAGTCGTTGATCGTGGCATTACGCTTGTTCAAGAGAGCGATAACGTCACCCTGGAACTCAGACGGGGCCGTCACGACAGTCTTCATGATAGGCTCGAGGACAGCAGGGTTACTCTCCTTGAAAGCCTTGCGGAACGCCTGCTGGGTGGCGTTCTTGAAGGCCATTTCGGACGAATCAGTCATGTGAGTAGCACCATCGTTGATGACCATCTTGGTACCAAGGACCTTGTGTCCAATGAGAGGACCCTTGTCACAAGACAAGTGGAATCCCTTCTCACAAGCGAAGAGGAACTTCTCGGAAATACTTCCACCAACAATCTGTTCCTCGAACACGTTCTCGCCCAGGTTGCCCGTCGGTTCCATCCAACCAACGACACGGGCATAGTCACCAGGACCACCAGATTGCTTCTTCAGCAGGTGGTCGAACTCGACACGCTCACCAAGGGTCTCACGGTAGGCGACCTGAGGCGGGCCAGTCTCGCAATCGACGCGGTATTCACGGCGCATACGCTCGAGATAAATTTCGAGGTGCAGTTCACCCATACCAGAAATGAGAGTTTGTTCACTCTCCGCATCAAACGTGACACGGAAAGTCGGGTCTTCTCTCTGGAAACGGGCCATGGCCTTGGAGAAGTTGGCACCATCCTTGTTGTTCTTGGGCTTGATAGACAGGGAGATGACGGGTTCAGGAACGAACATGGAGGACATGGTGTAGCCCAGCTGTCCATCAGTGAAGGTGTCACCGGAGGCACACTCAACACCGAAGACGGCACAGATCTCACCAGCTCCGACCTCAGTAACATCCTCCATCTCGTTAGAGTGCATGCGAACAATGCGAGGGATTTTGACCTTCTTGTCGTTGCGTGCATTGTAGACGAAAGAACCCTTACGGAGAGTACCTTGGTACACTCGGATATAGGTCAACTGACCGAAGTTGCTCTCTTCCAGCTTGAAAGCAAGACCGACCATGGGCAGAGAGTTGTAGGGGACGAGCTTCACAGAAGCCTCGTTGCGCTTCTTGTCAAGAGCAAGGTTCTGCACTTCGGATGGGTTGGGAAGATAGTCAATGACACCATCCAGCATCGGCTGCACGGACTTGTTCGCCAGTGCAGATCCCATGAAGACAGGGGTGAACTTCAGGTTGATGGTTGCCCGACGGATGGCTTGTCTAATTTGGTCCTCGGTAGGCACTTCCTCCATGAGGAAGATTTCGGCAATCTCGTCATCAACGTCGGCAAGGGTCTCGATAAGCATCTGCCTCCGTTCTTCCGCCAGAGCCTTAACCTTCTCAGGGATCTCATCGGTCTCGAAAAGCTCCTCACCACTGGGCCCACGGTTGTAAATCGCCTTCATGCGAAGCAAATCGACAACGCCCTCGAACTCGTCCTCAGCACCAATGGGCACCTGAACAGCGGCAGCGGGGATCTTGAGCTTCTTGTTGATCTGGTCAACAGCCTTGAAGGGGTTGGCACCCATACGGTCCATCTTGTTGACGAAGGAAATTCTGGGAACGTTGTACCGTCTCATCTGGCGGTCAACGGTGATGGTCTGAGATTGGACACCGGAGACAGCACACAAGATCATGACAGCACCATCCAAAACGCGCAGCGCTCTCTCGACTTCGATGGTGAAGTCAATGTGACCCGGGGTATCAATCAAGTTGAGGTGGTACTTCTGTTCCTTGCCCTCGGCGTCCTTCTTCACCCAGTCACAGAAAGTTGCGGCAGACTGGATGGTGATACCCTTTTCACGCTCCAGATCCATGGAGTCCATCTTCGCACCAACGGCATCACGGCCACGGACTTCGTGAATAGCCTTGATACGTCCAGTGTAGAAAAGGACACGCTCGGTACATGTGGTCTTACCACTGTCGATGTGTGCCTAGAATGACTATTAGATGCGGTTATTCCAAGCACGTCCTTTTCGCGATGTCCTTACAGCAATACCAATGTTCCGAACACGGGACAGACGGGCTGCTTCGACGGGGTCGAGGTTTTCGATAATGGCCTCTTGCGATAGGGTGTCGGGGTTGGCAGCGGCAGCCTCAAGCCTATGTTTATTGAAAACAACAATCAGTAATTGGCCAAATCAAAGTGCTTGGGACTTCAGAAGGGCAGCAATTGTTATAGACAGAAAGTAGTAGATGCTTACACAGCAGCAGCAGTAGAAGAAGCGTTCCTCCTCTGCTGGAAGTGCTTGCTCAGGGCAGACTGATAAGCCGGAGCCAGAGTAGGTGAACGGAGAACAGCCGTCGAAGCGCATCGCCGAGTCAGGAAGTTCTGGGACTGAAGACGGACAGAAGATCTGGTCAAACCAGAAACAGCGCGGCATGGCAGCCGCGCAAGAGTAGGAGTCCTCATGATGATCTCCGTGCACACCGAATCTCAATCAAACGTTGGCGCTCTTTGAGTCCCCAAGCGTCTCGATCTTTTCTGCGGCTCCGAAAAAAAGTTCGGGGAAGCCAGGCACGCAGTCACGTGAGTTATACTAGGATTGATTGGCCTCCGCTTCCCCGGGTGCCATTGCAGCCAATGATCTTTGGCTTGATTCTCATCATATTCAATTTTGAGAAGTCTAAAGGGATGTTGTATTGGAAGGTGCTACAATTGTACTTGATTCCCGATAAGCTATGTCTATCACCCGAGAAGTGCACCGAAGGGGTGTCTCCTCCGGCGTCGGACCCATCCAGTTTGTTGAAGCCGTGCTCTAGACCTTCAGGTACAGAAACAGCAAGATTGGGTAATTGAATTACCGCTGGTGCCGAAATATTTCATACCAGTACAACATGGCAGAATCAGTCACCGCCTTATCCTCCGCCACCATCAGTTAATCATCAATCATAGATGCCATCATAAATCAATCATTTCCAGCAATTCCTATAAAAAGTGTACATTTATACTTCTGAGCTACTCGTTCGGTGACCAGAGGAGCAAATTATATATTTCCCGTCTAGATGCGATCGTCTCTGGGACTTCTGGCTTCTGTATCCCGCAGCCAGCCCTCGAAACTCAGGAAGCCAACCATTAGCCTTGATCATGTATGTAACCATCGCTAGTCGAGTTGTTCATGCGCTGATATGATCGGTAGTTCATCCAAAGGCAGCGAGTTATCTCTCTATGGCGTGAGATTGTGCGAGCGCTCAATAGTCAGTTCCCATCTATACGATTTCTCACAATCATGTACCATGCTGATGAGGTTGCAGAAATACCCAGCTCGTCCACCAAGGATGAACTGCACAGATATGCTCGTGGGGAGTTTGAGCGCAATAGAAACATTACAGACTTGGTATGCCTTCCTTGGTATTCTAGTATAGCACCAGACTGATGAGTACGGACAGCAACACATACGATATCTTATCTCGGTAAGCATCTTGTTTGTTGTTCTATGGACAAGCAGCCTAACTATACATAGACCGGAAAGTCCGAATTCGATATGATGAGGCGGTATATTGACGAGCAAGTTGCAGGCTAAGGAGGGAGATCTCGCCAGGACCAAGCACTAATTAAGATACAGACTGGGGTCCAAAACATGAGCTCGAGGGTTAAGAGATGGAGAGTGATATTTTTGACAAAAATCGAATGCGTATATGTACAATATCATAGATACCCGGATCAACATGAGAATCAACTAAGAGACTCAATAACACTTACTTTTGCCGACCTCACTGCCTCGACAACAACTCCTTCACAGCACTTAGTACCCCGATTGACTTCTGTTCGGAAGGCTCAATAGCAGAGCGAGCAGCATCCTGCTCAGGGAACGATTTCTTAGCATTCGCGGCCTCGTTCGCCGCGGCTTCAATAGCCGCGTGACGCTCCCGCCAGCCCCTGTCTTCCTTGTCACGAATCTCCAACTCCCGCAGCCAGGCGTCCCGCTTTTCCTGGCTCTTGCGTGCCTCCACCATCTGCTCGAACTCCCTTCGTTGCTTCCGCTCGCTACCGTAATACATGCCTCCGGCGACCACGGCGATAAGGGTGAAAAACTGGGCGTAGATACGAGCACGGAACATCTTATTCATCTCGACGGAGTCGCCAGCCTTCATCGACCGGTAGGCCCGGTAAAGTGCGTAGGAAGTGGCAGCACATCCTGGGTTATAGTAAGTTAGCTAAGTTCAAGATATGTGGCGTCCGAGCTTCAATGGCCTGCCTACCTAGCGGGATCAGAGGCTCTTCCTTGAGACGTCTGCGGAACTTTTGGAGCGAAGTCTCCTCTTGGAACTGACTGGAAGAACAAAGATATTAGGTCTAGCTGAACTTTCCGTCTAGGAATTGTATTAGCAAGGAGAGCCCGAATACGTACGGATGTTCTTCGAAAGACGATGGGAGAGGCTCGCTCATCTTGCTAATACAATTACTGTCACCTGCGATCAAATGTGGCGATCGGCGAAGGGGCTTGGAGGGGCTGGGGCCGCTGGAGCTAGAAGTTAATCAAACCTGCAAGTCATTAGCCGAAAATTGCTAGAAATAAGGAGGCAGCCAAAACTGCACATAAAGGCCGACCTTGATTGAGAAGTAGCTCCCTGTTCGGAGAGAAAAGCAAATGCGTTGCGCGTGCACCCGGGCAACATGACGTCGGAAGGAACAAGCGTACAGAGGAGATAATTTTCGTATTATTGAATACAGTATGTTACGCAAAGGCACTGTAAAGCCTTATACCTTCCGTTACTGTTTTATCAGGCCACACTTTGGACAGAGGATTCGGATTTGGGTTATGCCTCGAGTCTTCTACACTGTATACCAGGTGCTTCTTTTCTGGGGGAAATAACTCCATGGAACTGAAAGTTTGATTCGCAGATCCTCCAGAAATGGATATGATAATGTAGCTTCGTGAGACGCCTGGTCTTGAACATACTATTACCGAGTCAAGTTATCACCGATGATCTTGAATGATTGAAGTCAAAGCACCGATTTCGATGGCAAATCATGTGAATAGTTTCTCCTTTTGCCTATTCCTTCTCTAGGCAAGGTTTTGGGAAAAGCGCACCGGACTTTTATTAACCTTGACAGATGGTTGATCAAGCTTGTGAGACTTGAAGCCTGCCATAGGATAGAATCTGAGCTCATTGGCTGGGAAGAAGGCTGTACGTAAAGACTTTCCTATGTTTTCTGGTGGTCGTGCATGGATTCCTTCAGGCCCACTTCAACCATAGATAGCATTACGGGGTAAGTATATGAAGACCGCAATGTCTGAGAAAATATTGAGTTGGCAATTTGTTGCCGCTCCCGCGGAATACTAAGGGGAATTAATGCGATAATGCCACCTCGATAATAGTTTTGTGAACCTGCAATGCCCAAATTTGGTCTTGGGTCCTTTGCATGTCTTTTCTTCTTCCTCAACGTAAACCATTTCTCAGTTATTCCCGTCCTGCAGCTTAGGGCTGGAATTGAGGGTTGATGACATAAAACTTTTCCGCTCCGATCACGGAATTCCCCACGGAATACGCTGATTGACTCGGATCTAGTGCCACCGCCGGACTTTTCGTTTGGTTGACTCAGAGGATTTCCGCCGGACTCTGGACTTTGTCTTTGTTCTTATCACATACAATTCTCTCACATATACCCACAAAGACGCCATAATGCCGGGCGAAGCAACTGAGAACGGCGTTCCGTACCCCGTTTCTACCAAGTTGGACAACCTGACCCTGAACGAGCGTTCGGCTGCTCCGTCTCCCACTTCGGACAAGGTGGATGGTCAAGAGCGATCAACAGTCGATTATGGCATTCCTGACGCCTTCCTGCTTCCCAATGGAACGCCTGACGTGAGTCTATACTGGATCTTTACGCTCTCTATCCGATTACTGATGTGATACTTGTGTATAGTATCTCCGGCTGATCCTGACGTCCCGTGTCTACGACATTATCGAGGAAACCCCGCTTCACCATGCGGTCAACATCAGCAATCGCCTGGAGTGCCGTGTGCTCCTGAAGAGAGAGGATCTTCTCCCCGTGTTCAGTTTCAAGCTCCGTGGAGCCTACAACAAAATGGCGCACTTGACCCCCGAGCAACGGTGGAAGGGAGTCATTGCGTGCTCAGCAGGTGGGTGGCGTCGGTGTGAAGTAGTCACGGTAACACTAGTCGACTGACATAAACAAAAAGGAAATCATGCGCAGGGCGTCGCTTACTCCGCTCGGAAATTGAAGATCCCCGCCACTATCGTTATGCCATCGGGCACCCCCGCTATCAAGCATCTGAATGTCGCCCGCCTGGGTGGTAGCGTGGTCCTCCACGGGGACGACTTCGACGCAGCTAAGCAAGAAGCATACCGGTTGCAGGAGCAACACGGACTTACCATGATCCCTCCCTTCGATGACCCCTACGTGATCGCTGGCCAAGGAACCATTGGCATGGAGATATTGCGCCAGGCCAATTTGCAGAAGCTAGAGGCTGTCTTCTGTGCCGTCGGTGGAGGAGGTCTGATTGCTGGCATTGGCGTCTACCTTAAGCGCATCGCACCACACGTGAAGATCATTGGCGTTGAGGCCCGCGATGCCAATGCTATGGCACAGTCCCTCGAATCGGGTTCTCGAGTGTTTCTGAAGGATGTGGGCCTGTTCGCAGACGGTGCTGCTGTCAAGTCCGTTGGAGAAGAGAACTACCGACTTGCACGTGAAGTCATCGATGAGGTCGTTCAGGTCACAACCGATGAGACATGCGCCGCCATCAAGGATGCGTTTGAGGACACACGGTCTATCATTGAACCGGCAGGTGCCCTGGCTCTGGCCGGTCTCAAGAAGTACGCCGTAATGAACCCCAGCCCCGACACGAGCAGGGAGTTGTGCGCTATCGCCTCCGGAGCTAACATGGACTTCGACCGCCTGCGCTTCGTTGCTGAGCGTGCGGCTCTGGGAGAGCGGAAGGAGGCGCTCCTGAGCGTCAGGATCCCCGAGAAGCCAGGCGCTTTCGCAAAGCTTGTCGAGGTTGTTCTTCCTCATGCAGTCACGGCGTTCAGCTACCGTTACGCCCGTGAATCGTCTGCCGATGTTCTGATGGGCATCTCTTTGTCCGCTGCTACTGGTCGGGACGATTTGGCCAAGATTATCAGCCAATTGGTACGAGGTGGCATGGATACGAAGGATCTTAGTGATGACGAGCTGGCGAAGAGACACTTGCGCTTCCTGGTTGGTGGTCGCAGTGAGGTCGCGGATGAACGGTTGTTCATGTTCGAGTTCCCCGAACGTCCGGGTGCTCTTGCTAAGTTCTTGACGACCCTTCGTCCCAACCAGAATATCTCTCTGTTCCACTACCGTAACTATGGTGGTGATGTTGGCAAGGTGCTTGCGGGTATCCAGTGCCCTGAGAACGAGAAGGCCGAGCTGGAGGCTTTCCTCAGCGATCTGGCTTATCCCTTCACTGAACATACCGATTCCCCGACCTACAAGACCTTCCTGAGGTAGAGGAATGACCGACTGTCTTTGCTTTTTCTTTATCAAATTAGATTTCTAGAAAACACAGTGTGGGCCATTGATGGATTTTGCTTGAAATGTTTAGGCGTTCTGTTGGGCATGGGGAAGATAGAATTGTGTACCTAAGTTTGGGGTTTCCTTCGTATATACTCTAATGAAGCATGATACTGACACCATAAATGATTGATATTAGCTATTCAGAACTAATCATCGTCTGGCTGTAGTTTATAGTAGATGCTTCGGAATAGTCGCAGTCCAACATGATTGGTCGGACATCGGATCTCGGCGGTACAGTAACTCCGGCCAGCATTTGCTCCGAAGGGATTCCGAACATTCGAGGAAGAGAGGTGCCAGTTTAGCTGTCTCGAGTCTAGATTCCCTCGAGATCCTCCATTCTCTCGCAGATTTTCGGCGGCTATAGAATTACCATCTATCCGCCAACCAACACCATGCTGTCTTTCCGTTCCGTCTTCGGGGCCTCGACCGGTGCCCTCCGTCAAATTCTCCCCTCCTTCTCTCGCCGGTCCGCCGCTCTTGTTTCGCGCCCTTTTTCGCAAATCGCACGCCTTTCCCTTGGCAATGGCCTTCGCCTTTTGCGCTCTGGAAAGCAGACCAACAATGTCGGAGTTGCTAGTGTGGGGTCAACATTGAGACAGGTTGAGCAGGTTCGGGGAATGAAGACTCGCTCATCGGTGAAGCGGTTGTGTGATGGCTGCAAGGTATGCCATGATCTAGTTGAAGTGGATTTATTCTCTTTTGTTGGAGAAGTTGGCATTAGCAGGAGTTTGCGTTTTATTTATCGGAACGATGCTAATACAGTGAAAATGCAGCCTGTGCGGAGAAAGAACCGCGTCTACATTATCTGGTAAGATCACATCGATACAAGCTGCAAGTGCCCTATAGCATGATCGCTGACATTTTCGTTCTGCAAAATAGCTCCAAGAACCCGAAGCACAAGCAGCGCCAAGGGAAATAGATTGGTGGAAACGATTGCGAGAGCATGAGAGAATGAGCGTACCTTCGAACGAGATTTGCTTGCATTGAACATCAACTGAAGCCGATGGAAGAGCTAGCATTACTTGCATGACCTCTGCCTGATACTGCGACGGTGGTAGTCAAATCGTGAATAGATGTATTGTGGGTATACGGCTACTACTACTGGGTCTCGACATTGGGAAAGCCGCGCATTTGCTATGGGATACGACCAACTGGTTGGTTAGGCGCTTTGTTGCATTGTTTGTACATTAATTGTGTCTATATATTGGAATTCTCTTTCTTCAAATCATTCTTCCCGGGTGAATTGATATCTTGGTGGTTGTTTGAGGGGCCAATTGTACCTCGGATGCGCGGAATCCTCACGCGACACTCTGCCTGATCCCACGGTTCCATGATCTGCTTCTCTTGCATCCTCGCCTCCTCGACATATGCGGGGTATTCCTCTTCATGATCAGGTTGGAAGCCGTGCTTAAGTCACTGAGCGATCGACTCCGCACAATTTGCATTTCATCCCGAGGCAGCATGCAAGGGGTGCTCCTAGACCCGTCCATATTGGAATGATGTCAAAGATAGCATTCCACTGATCGTCTAATCGCCATCAGACCCCTTTTAACCACCTGCATCAGCATACCTGAATGAAGTCATTTTCAACGAATCTCAAGCTCTGGAATGTGCAGGCACATGGATGTCGAAACCTGAATAAGTAAACTACGAGCTACACCCTTACTCTAGTGCTCCCAGTCATCGTCATGGTACAGCTCTGGGCAGGAATCGTCTGTCTAGGGTCCATCCCAGCAGCCACTGCGCTGACCGGCTCGTCCGTTTTTTCACACTCACTCATCTCCCAGCAAGTCTTTGACGGCGATAACTTCCTCGAATATGACGGCGTCCGTGGTCCCTACGTGGACCGCATATCATACGGGATCAGTCGGGACCCTCCAGCACAATGCTCCGTTGACCAAGTTATCATGATAAAAAGACATGGTGAACGATATCCCACAACAGGAGAAGGGACTTCCATCGAACAGACCTTGAAGAAAATCAACGACTCCCTCGCAGGCAACTACAGCAGCGGCGATCTAGCATTCCTGGGTAATTGGACCTACTTCGTCCCATCCGACTGCTACGAGGCGGAGACCTCAACAGGGCCCTATGCAGGACTAACAGACGCATACAACCATGGCAAGGCGTACCGCCAACGCTATGGAAACCTCTATAACGAGTCATCCATTCTCCCATTATTCACTGCAGACTTTCAACGAGTCATCAGCACAGCGCAGAAGTTCGGACAAGGATTCCTCGGAAATGAGACCTACGCGACCAAGGCAGCGCTCAATATCATTTCCGAATCCAGTGATCAGGGCGCAGATAGTCTGACACCAACATGTCATAAACAGGACGATGATGCACAAAGCATCTGCGGCGATATGCCGTACTATCTGCCTCAGTTCGATGTCGCTGCGGACAGACTGAACGCCCAGTATCAGGGTCTCAACCTGAACTGGACAGATGTATACTCACTTATACGTATATACCTCCACCTTATCTACACTCATTTAAGCCACCCAAACACTGACAATGAACAGTAATGACCGCTTACGAGCTCAACACGCGCTCCTCATCACCCTGGATTGACGTCTTCACCACAGACGAATGGATCAGTTTCGCCCACCTGTGGAACGTCAACTTCTACTACTGTTCAGGGTACGTCTCCCCCCTTCCCCAGCTCCAGCCACACCCTCACAACATCAACATCCAATCACTAACGACAATGATAATGATAATGACACCAACAGCCCTGGCAACAAATACACCAGCGCCCTCGGCGCCCTCTACCTAAACGCAACCCTCACCCTCCTCCAACAAGGCCCCTCATCATCCGGCCCTCTCTTCTTCAACTTGTACTACAGTCCCTCTTTCCCCCAGTTCCCCCATCCCCCTTCCATCCCTCTCCACTAACTTATCATATAAAAAGTGCCCACGACAGCAACATTTCCCCTATAATAACAGCCCTCAGCATCGCCACGCCCGCCACTCCCCTAAACAAAACCCGCATCCCCTTTCCCCCATCCGCCTGGACCGTCCAAAACATAGTCCCGATGGGCGGCCGTCTCACAATAGAGCGAATGAACTGCACTGATTCCGCTCTCGCGCCGGGTGGGGTCTTCGTCCGGTTGGTCCTCAATGAGGCTGTGGTGCCGTTGGAGGAGTGTCAGAGTGGGCCGGGGTTTTCGTGCCCGTTGCAGGAGTATTCGAGTTTCGTGGGACAGTTGCCGAGTTATGTGAGTGAGTGCGAAGTTCCTGAGGATGAGAGCCAGTATTTGGGGTTTTGGTGGGGGTGGAATACTTCCACGGCGGAGAATTTTAGGAAAGGGGCAAGGTGTGGGGGGTTGGCTTAGTTCAGAGTACTACTAGTAGGACTTTTCGTGATGATTGATGTAGAGGGTATGAAGGAGGAGATACTTCAATGTAGTGGTTTGTGTGTGTGTGTGTGTGTGTGCGCTACTATGCGTGTGAATGAAAGTTGAAATGATACATTCCGTCATGGCTCCATAATATATATAAAGTACTAGTGCATAAATTGAACAAACCCCATTCCCAGAAATCCATGAACCAACCAATCTAATACCCCAATTTATTTACCCATGGCCTACTGAAGAGGCTCAATTCCTCCAAAAGTAACACTCTTGACCACCAAGAATTCATCAATACCGTACTTGCTGCCCTCGCGGCCAAAGCCGCTCTGCTTGACACCACCGAACCTATTCAACCAAACAGTTAGCAACATTCAAAAACGACAATCTAAGGAACAAACAAAACAAGGGTATACTCACGGCGAAGCAACATCACTAATAAGCCCCGTGTTAACACCCACCATACCGACCTCCAACGCCTCCGCAACACGGAAGATGCGCTTAACATTACTGCTGAAGAAGTAGCCCGCCAGACCAACCTCAGCCTTGTTAGCCAGGTCGACAACTTCTTGTTCCGTCTCGAAGGGGAAAAGTCCCGCGACAGGGCCGAATGTCTCCTCTGAAGCGACAAGCATATCCTTGTTCATCTCCGTGAGGACAGTCAAATCGTAGAAGTTAGGACCAAGGTGAGCGGCCTTCTGACCACCCGTCAGGACCTGCGCGCCCTTGGATACAGCGTCGCGGACGTGTTCGTCGACCTTGTTGACGGCGCGGTCGTGAATAACAGGACCGTGGGTAACGCCTTCTTCGAAGCCAGCACCCAGCTTGAAGCCCTTGACCTTCTCTGCGAAGCGCTTGGCAAATTCATCGTAGATGCCGCGCTGCACGTAGATCCGGTTTGCACAGACGCAGGTCTGTCCAGAGCTACGGAATTTGGAGGCCACAGCGCCGGCGACAGCAGCGTCGAGGTCCTCGACGTCGTCGAAGACGATGAAGGGGGCGTTGCCGCCTAGTTCCCAGGACACCTTTTTGATGGTCGACGAGGATTGCTTCATGAGGAGCTTACCGACGTTGGTGGAGCCGGTGAAGGAGACCTTGCGGACCTCGGGGTGGGTGGTGATGGTTTCGCCGACCTCGGGCGTGTTTTGGGATGCGGTGACGATGTTGACGACGCCCTTGGGGATGCCGGCGCGGTGGGCCAGCTCGGCGAGGGCGTTGGCTGTGAAGGGAGTTTCACCGGGGGTCTTTGCGACGACGGTGCAGCCGGCTGCGAGGGCAGGACCAATCTTCCTGGTGATCATGGCGGCGGGGAAGTTCCAGGGTGTGATGAGACCACAGACGCCGACGGGTTGCTTCAGGGTCATGACCCGGTTGCCGGGGACGGAGGATGGGATGGTGTCACCGTAGATGCGGGGAGCTTCTTCGCTGAACCATTCGAAGAAGCTGGCCGCGTAGTTCACCTCGCCTTTGGCGTCGGTGAGCGGCTTTCCGTTTTCCCAGGTTATCAGGGTGGCTAGGTCGTCGGCATTGTCGATCATGAGCTGGTACCATCTGCGCAGCATGCGGGCGCGCTCGCGGGACAGGGTTGTGCGGAATTTGGGGAAGGCTTCTTTGGCGGCTTGGATGGCCTTCTCGGTGTCTGCGGCGGAGAATTCGGGACATGTTCCGATGAGTTTTCCGGAGGCAGGGTCTGAAAGTAGTCCTGTGATGAGTATAGCTGGTCACTCGGTTTGGTTGTGGAAGGTGGTGCATGGCCTACCGTGGACTTCGAAGGTCTGTCCGGACTGAGCGTCTACCCACTCGCCATTGACGTATGCCTTTTGAATGAAGAGGGATTGGTCTTTGAGCTATATAATAGCCAGGACATTAGCAATAATTCTCATGAATGAGAAATGGAAGGCAGAAGCACGAACCGGAGGGACAGTGTAACCCATGGTGGAAACTAGGCGTTTAGTGTGGATAGGAGCAGGAATGGCAAAGGGATAACGAAGGCGCGGTCTCAAGAGCTGCCGGGAAACTGGACGAATAAATCTCTCCATGATTGATGGATGCACTGTAATCTATCACACCCAGCGAGCGGGTCGTGTGGACGAGCAGATCTCCAGCTGCTCTCTCTCGCTCTTCGTTCCGAAGTTCGGTGCGGGGAGACCTCGGTTTGTCTGGGAGGGAATCGTGTTTTTGGATCGGTGTACCACCACTTTCAGCAGTTTGCTATTCAACAGGACTCTAGAGAGATTTCCAATCAATTCCGGACAAGGCCAGCTATTTATTCTCGGAACTAGCAGTGGATTCTAGTGATGGCAATGCGGCGTGAATCTTACCGGCGCCCTTCAAGCGGGGGACCTGCCGGTCACGTGGGTAGACGTCATCCGGAGCTTTCGGTTGCGCCGCCACGGCACTACAGGGTTGCTGTCTGGTGCAAGGGGATTGATGCGTTACCTGGCTATTAATCTATAGTTCTGAGAAAAATTGAGGATGAATTGAAGGCTTTTCAGGCCTTGGGTAACTTTTGCTGCTCTTGTATCTTCATATATTACATTAACGTAAGTAGGATACCATATCGATATGCTATCCCTGGCTTCGGTGACAGTAGCCAATAACCGAATTGCTACACGGCAGCTCCGGAGCACGCACCAATGGGAGAACACTAGACTTCCGGTACCTGTAACTGTAATACCCATATATTACGATATCTACAATGCGTATTATCGATCTATACAGCGCCAGTTGGGAGTCATTATTCCCAAGAAATATACACATAAGCCATTTGGCCATATCTGATTAGTCTACCACCATTTCACTCATTATCAACGTCATTCTCACCGCGCGTGCCAGTCGACGATCTGCCATCGCTTCTGGAACGGTAATTCGGATGCATGCGCTTCATATGCAGATTGAGATTCCATGTCCGCGAGAAGCCCTTGCTATGCCTGGAACACGCCCGGATAGGACAGACCAAATCCTGCTTGCGATGTTCTCCTTTGCCTTTTGGTCGGGACCCATCCCCGGCGTCCTCAGGCGCCGTACTGTTGGCTCGCGATGTCGAGCCTCCCTTGGTGGAAGCGGCACGAGAGCGTGGTCGTCTGCTCTGAGAACGGGAGGGTTGTGAAATTTCCGCCTCGGCCTCAGATTCAGGCTCAAGATCAGTCTGAACTTCAAGTTCTGATTCGCTTTCTTCGTATTTCCATATCTTGGTATCGTCGTCTCCTATATCTTGCTTGACCTTCCCTTCTTTGAGGACCTGGAACGTCATATCTTCGCCAAACAAGGCTGCGCATCTCTGTGCTGTTCGCATCACCACGGCTGGCGGCCATCCTATCATGGAGGCGACTCCCAACACCTCACTCCAATCCCGTATCCCGAGGCGAACACGACTGGCGGACCGTCGACGATCACTACCGACGGATCGGCCTCGTGAGCGGGAAGAATGTTGTGACTGTGATCTGTATCTTGAGGTTGCTTGAGAGGAGCTGTGTACGCTTGACTCCGGCCCGCTTGATACATGTGTACTACGAGAACGAGCGTCACTCGATCCGCTCTTAAAGGATGACCGTCGGGTCCGTTTTCTTCCTCTCGATTGACTTCTCGCTCTTTGAGAATTGACTTTTCTCTTCCGAGGTGATGAGCCAGAGATCACACTTTCAGTATCGGTCTGCCAGTCACTTGCGGAGCTGTCATCCGCTGCCACTCCGCCCTTCCGGGCACGATGAAGTCCCATGAGAAGCTCGTCAAACTGCGAGAGTATGTTCCGAGTGAGTGGGCGTAGTTGTCGTCTTGATTTATCGTCATCTGTCTGGACAGCTGGGCGTAATGGAACGCCATCCGCACCTTCGCGCTCGCTTTCCCATGCGGTACTTTCATCCTGCGTCTCGTGTTGAGACGCTGATCTTTTTCTTCGATGGGATGTAAATGGCTTCGACTGATAATCCCATTCCCTGGCCATGAACCTCTCCTTTGCCGTCCGTAACATGAACGCCATGACAGATTCCTCTAGTTCGGCACTTGGTCGAGGATCTGGCTGCATTCTCAGTGTCCAAGCATCGTCGAGACTTTTCCGCACTTCCTCATCCGGTCTAGGCACCTCAGTCGAAGGTAGAGGCCACGCGGTCCAACGCTTCGGAGGAGCAAATGTATCCATCTCATCCAGCAGTTGCTCATTTGTCTCCGTCGCTCGTCTCGCTATCTCTCGCGCCCGGACTCGGAGCGCATAAGCATTGTACAAATGTGCAGCTAGATCTCGGGCTCGAACATCTTCCAGAGCTTGAGCATTCTGTCTATCTTCGGCAGTCAATCTTCTCCACGTAGATTCAGGCCCGCGGAATCTGTTAGGACGGTACGAATGTGCCGAAGGGGTCTCTGAATCACGCTGGCGGTCACGCTCAGTCACTTTTTGGAGCATCTGCTGCTGCTGCTGCTGCTTTTTAGGTGACTGAGGAACAGATGCATAGCTGTCCGCATCTGAACCAGATTGCTCATCGTCATTGCTCTCAACGTAAGTAGCGTCCGAGTGATCGTTCTCAATCGGCTCCTCTTCCATGATCACGTCAAGGTCTTCCTGGCTATCTCCGGCCCCAGTTTGGGTTTCTGGGTAGGGTACCAGATCGGCAACATCTTGGCTACTCGGACCTCCGAAAATGGACCTGTATGGTTGCGCTGACTGCGGCGGGCTAAAGCGCGCGCCTGAAAGTGAGGACATGCCTCAGTATTGGTGCTTATAGAGAAGTTGGCTTGATTTTCTGTACATAGGTTGATAGATTAGGGGCCCATGGAGTTCAGGCCCATATGCAGCAAATCCCGCTAGATAGCGACTATCTAGATGGTCGTTCGGTTGATGATCATCAAGACTGGCGGTGTGGCTGCGAGCTTATCTTCGGAAAATTAGAGACGCCAATCTATTGCATTTGAGTTTTCATACAGCCAGTAGAATCAGACTTGAACTGTGGACTTCCAAGAAAAGAAATCGGTACTGTTGATGGAAGATTTAATGAATGGTGCGGATCAAGAGGAAAAAGTCGAAAGCACGTGACTTGATACATGTCTACTGGGCATCGCGACAGGCCCACTACTTTCTTTTTACTAACCCCCTGAATCATAACTAGCCATAAGTTGAGCATGAAATAAATAAGATAGAATGCATGTAGTCGATGTGTAATGGTGGTTAGTCTGATCTTGGTACTATGTGAACCGATATCCAATCTTATCCCCATCCAAATCCTCAAAGATTAAACCCATATCGAACCTGAAATGGCTCTTCATTCTACTAGAACCTAGCAGGAATCTTACAGCAGACAGATTTTGGATCAAACGGTAGACGTGTATACTTATTAGACAACACTCTAACTGAATGCTATGGTAAATACAAGATTCAAGACGCCAATATAGGAATGCTTCCAAATCCCAGCAGGATATCATTCTATTGTCACAGAAAAGCCAACTTTTATGTGCCTAACTTCATTTCTGGCCCTCCTTCTCAAGCTTTCTCCTCTTGGACCGCAGCTTGGCAGCCTCCTCAGACTTCTGCTTGTTCGAGTACATCATCTTTTCGAGGAGCTTGCGCTTCTTCCGGCTCATCATCATCTTCTGTCTCTCCAGCTCTTCCTCCTCCTTGCGCTTCTTGGAGGCGATCTTCTTAGCCTGAGCGGACTTCTTCTTGGCTGCTTCGCCAGCACCGCCACCAGACGAGAAGGGAAGACCAGCAGCCTCAGCCTCCAGTTCCTTCTGGTGCTGTGTCCGGGCGGCTTCCTCTTCATCCTCAGATTCAGAGGCGGCCTCGTTGTCATCGAATCCGCCAAAGTCCTCGTCCTCTTCCTCGCTCTCACTCTCGTCCTCATCAGTCTCAGCAACATCCATGCCACCGTTGATATCATCCTCTTCCTCGCTTTCAGCCTCGGACTCCTCATCCTTGGCCTCAGCCTTCTCCTCATCAGCGGCTTCCTCCATCTCCTCGTCGCTGTCTTCGTCCAGCTCTGCCTCACCTTCCTCCTCCTGCTCAGCCAAGCTGGCGCGAGGGTCATAGCCACCCTTGGAAGGCTTGACCCAAGGGCTCAAATGAGGGGGGAGAGTAGCGCCTGGGGCGTACAGATCAGCACGGAGGAGCTTGCCCTCGTTGATGCAGTCCCACACCCATTGGGGCTGGACATAGGTTCTGCCGGGGATGCGGGTTCCCGGTCTGACCTTCTGAGCAGCTCCCTCTGTCGAAGCAGCAGGGATAGCAGGCAACGAAGACTCGGGCAAAGAAGGGCGATCGACAATCTGGTGGGTGATGCGAGTATCCGTCTCATCGTGGGTGAAAGCTCCGTCGCCAAGGACAGCGTCCCAGCCGATCCTGCTGCAGCCGAAGGCACGGAGGATGAACTCCAGGGGCGCCTTGGGAGCCTCACGGGAGATGTAGAAAACGAAAGGTGCGAACAGAGAGCCAGCCTCATCTCCGCTCAAGTCGGGCTGGGGCAGAGTGTCGGCCTCGGGGGCAGTAGGCTCGAATTTATCGATCGACTCGGAAGCTTCTTCGGTTGTCTCGGTAACTTGCTCGTCTTTCGTCTGATCCAAGCCTGCGGTCTTGATGACCTTGTCGACCTTGGCCTGAACCTCCTTAGAGACTTCCTGATTGGAAGGCTTGCTCGCCTGCTTGTTGGCTTCGAGAGCCTTGGGGGGTTCGCCGACGGTTCGGCCCTCCAGAGTGAAAGCCGCCAACTCAGCACCATTCTCGTCACTCCTCTTATCGAACTTGGGGGGATAGCGAAGGCCAAGAGTCGAGTAAAGACGGTAGTTGACGAATCCGAGCAGAGTGGTGTAGAAGTCGACGAAAGTGGCCATGATACGGTAGTCGACGTCGCCGTTGACACGCTGCACGAAGCGGTAGGGCACAAGCCACATGATGTCCTGTCCCTGGATGGTTGCCTGGTAGTAGATACCCTTGATCGACAGGAAAGATTTGCGCAGGGAGTTCGTGGTGATCAGGTAGTGCTGGAACTCGTGGGTAACCCGCTGGCAGAGAGCGATGGTCTTGGCTGGGACATGGGGAGAAGAGGGGAGGTTGGCAAAGAGGAACAGCAGAGACAGGGCATCGTCCAGATCTCTCAGAGCGTCAATGAATGTCGGGTAGCGCTCCTTGATGATGTGATCCAAGGTGAGTTTCGGCGCGTGGTTCTTCTCCAGACGGGACGCATCTGAGACTTCACCACGTCCAAGGGAGCGGGCAATCTTCTTCGCAAGCGCCTTTTGGTCACGGAACTTTCTCAGGAGAGGCTCATGGAGGAGGAACTGAATATCTTTCGTGTAGTAGAAAGTGGTGTTGGGAGTGGAGGTCTTGGAGGCCTTCTTCTTGCTCCGGGGCTCACGGGGATAAATTCCTGTTTTCCGACAAGAAGAAGAATCAGCACCGTGTATATGTCTCAATGCCTCAGTCCATCAATAGGATATGCATACCCTTGAAGATACATAGTCGACGGAAATCCGGGAGGGAAATCTGAAGTTTGCGCACGGCCTGGGTTCTGGTAATAAAGTTTTTGGCCTGGCCAGAGGTTCCTGAAAGAAGGAGATTGTTAGCATGAAATTATCGCATGAAAATTATGAGTGTATGTACCCTTCTTCTTGATCTTAGCCATGTTTGCGACAGTTCTGGTGCAAGTGTTGCGGGTTGAAGATTGGAGAAAATCCGATAACCAGAAAAATCTCGATAAGTTTTTTTTTTCTTTTACTTTTCTGGATCAGCAGCTCAGAGTGGTCCGTGCACGGCGGAAAAGGGAAATGCGCGGAGTCTTGGCACGTGAAGCCAACCGGACAGCTGGAGATCCGCGGCCTCCAACTCCCCAATCGCTTCAAGGCCGTTGCATAGGCCGTCTCTGATCAATACGGGCATGCGCTAAGTGGTCAGTTTACTTGAAGTCAGTATGGGGGTAGATCATAGGAAAGCCGCCGTGTTCGGTGGTGCTCTGGCCCTGCGACTTCTTCTCTCAGTATTGTTCCCCTCACTCCCCGACTTGTTGACGGGTAGAGTCGAGGTATCAACACCGGTGACCAGCTTCAAAAGACGTGAGTCAGAGCTAACAGGCTTGAAATTACTGGAGACTAATGATCGTCTTTATAGTTCAAGAAGGTCTTTTCCTGTACATGCGCAATGTTTCCCCCTATGACGGAGGCGTCTTCCACCAGGTATAGCCGACGACTATACATCCGAGTGAACACTCCTAACAAAGCACAGGCACCGCTACTTCTTCCTCTATTTTCCCTCCTACCGAACGCACAATCTCATCCTATTCCCACTGCGGTATTCTACTCGCTGGTAGACCTGGTGAATGCGAATGCTCTGGTTACGATCTCGGATTCGGGGCAGGCGGTATCGGGGAGATTCTATTCGGCATTGCGGAGGCATATTAGATGGGATGGAGTGTCTATCGCGGCATGGTAAAGGGCGGATATCTATACTCGGTGTTTCTTGGTGCTGACCTTGTCAGGTTTCTATTCAATCCCTTCACCATCGCAACCTGCTTGGGCCGATCGACTGGGGTATTTACTACAACCGGAATCCTATACTCCTTTTCAAGCGCTGTCACCGGAAACAGTCTGAATGCAATGCTGTCTCTGGGGCTTGCATCGTACCTGTCGATATATCCCGCACTTCTCTTCATTCCGCTTGTTCTTCTATGCTACGACCAGCGAGTCCAGAAAGCCAAGGTTTCCTCCGGCGCCCTACCATTCGCTCTACAACACTTCGCAGTTTTCCTTACATGCATTGCAGGACTGCTTGGCATATCCACTCTGTTGATTGGCGACTTTTATAGCTTCATCTCTGCGACATATGGCGTCCAGTTGCTTGTGCCTGACCTGACTCCCAACGTTGGCCTTTGGTGGTATTTCTTCATCGAAATCTTCGACTCTTTTCGCGAGTTCTTCCTGGGGGTGTTCTGGCTTCACTTGGCTGCCTACATGGGTGGCCTTACTGTGCGACTGCGCCGACAGCCTTTGTTTGTGCTGACGTCCCTTCTGGGCATCTTTGCCATTTTCAAGCCATATCCCAGCATTTCCGACGCATCACTATATTTCGCCCTGCTTCCACTCTACCGCCACCTCTTCCCTCGTAAGCACTCTCCCAATTGTATCTATTGACATGTGCTAATACTGTTTAGTGATGCGATACACCTTTTTCGCAATCTCCGCCCTTCTCTACGCCACTCTCCTAGGGCCCGCCTTCTATCATCTCTGGATATACGCCGGCTCCGGTAACGCCAACTTCTTCTACGCCATCACTCTGGTATGGAGTCTTGGCCTATCAATATTACTAGCGGACACCATCTTCGCCGCCCTCCGCGACGAATGGGAATACGACAACCCAGAGTTGCGCGGCAAAGAAGTGCGACAAGTTTAACTGTACTTTAATCTACATACCCACTATAGCATCATCCAGAAAGAATGAAGGCTCCATAGATCATACATACGGCCCTCCATCCAACCTTACAGACATAATCCTATAATCCGGCTCCTTAACCATCCCATTCCTCAGCCTCCTCGGCCGAGGACTATACTCATCCGTACCAAACCCAATAGCCTCATAAAGCCTCTGAGCCACCCCATTTGACGTAAACACCGTCAACATAGCCTTCTCCATCCCAACCCGTCTCCCTATCTCCATCAGCACAAGCAACAACCGCTTCCCGAGCCCTTGCTTCTGCACCTCAGAGGACAGATGGATCTCGTAGAGATAAATCACCTCTTTTCCGTCCTCGTACGTAATCATGAATGACATGAATCCGACCACTGCGTTCTCCCCCTCCCCTTCACCATCATCTGATGATAATCCCTCCCGACGAATAACCAAATACTTCATATCAGGAAGCTTCATCTCCTTTTTCTTCTTAGTGGGCGACCACCCCGTCGAGGAATTCTTATATGCCTCTGAGGATGTCTCCTCGATGAGATTGAAGCATGCATTTAGGTCAGTGGTGGGGATGGTGGCTGCGTCGTAGATAGATAATCTGTACTTTTGCTCTTCAGAGGATATTGGGTCTTCGGGTTTGTAGGTGTAAGTCAGAAACTCAGAAGAAATGTACTTTGAAGTGAATTCCTGAATGCTCAGTTGGTTGGTGCGCTCGACGAGCGGGAGTGATGGGGATGAATTGTCTGCGATAAAATTAGCCTTTAGTCCTTTGTTATGTTATGGTATGAGATGAATGGAGGTGGATTATAATTCTATTATTTTATATAGTGACATACAGTAACTCCCATTGCGATCATACCCATGGTCTTGTGGTTGAGGCTTAGCTCGTGTCTTCGGATGTTGTACGCGTCTCCGCCGCGCGGTAGTAGTGTTCTTGGTTACTCGGCCTGCTTGGACGGATGATGACATTGTAGTCTGGCTTTTTCGTGGTGCTCGTTGAGTTTCCGATGTTGCTTTCATATTAAGTTCTCTGTGTATTGGAATGCTTTAAAGAAATGAGTCTTGGTCTTGACGCTTCGCTGAGTGTTGAAGATTTGATGTGTGGTGTGGGCGAGGTGATTGGCTGGTGTGCGGGATTTCCGGTGTCCTTCCCATGGCAGGCGTTGTGCCGGGAAGGACTGACTTGTACATGCATGCATGCCATGTGTACCATGCATGGGTAGTGGGAGTTTGCTTTTACTAGGTCTATTTGAAACTCTTTGAAACATTTATAGCACAAGGTGTCTACGGTTGCTTTTGTTTATTTTTCTATATGGTTCCGTGTTCATGATCGTAGTATCTACGAGCTATATATATTGAGGGTAACAGACAGGGTTGAGCAGTACATAGAGTCCTACAAATCTCTCTATGCTTGCTCCGCTCTTAACTTCGCAGCAAATTCCTCGGCCCGTCTCTCAGCCTCTTCGGCTCCCAGCTCCCCGAAAACGTCAATTCCCCAGCGGAAGGGGTAGTTGTATCGCGTGTTGCGGTCGAGTTTGTTCAGGGCCTCGAATTCAGCGTCGGGGATGATGAAGTCTAGTATCGTTAGATTATCGTGTTGAAAAGGTGCACTTATTGAAGATACCTTGGAAGTTACTCTCAATCCGAGACGGGGTTACACTCTTTGGCAAGACGGCAGTGCCACGCTGAACAGCCCAGGAAATCAACAACTGAGCGGGCTCCTTTTCCAGCTTCTTCGCGATCTCTTGAACCTGGGGGTCGTCGATGACACTGCTCAGGGATTAGCGTGCGAAGAGGATATGATTAAGTTGTGGACGTACCGAGGTAGCTCGTAGATATTGTTGCCCAGTGGGCTATATGCGACAGGAAGGATGTTCTGGTTCATTCTGTCAGCAAAGTTCGATACATCAGCCGTGATGAAGTCAGCCGCTTACCTTCGCCTTCAGATACTCAGTGAGCTTTGGCTGGAGTAGGTATGGGTGCGCCTCGATTTGGTTCGCAGCAGGCGGGATGGTCGCGGTCTTGAGCAGCTCCTCTACCTTCTCGACGGTGAAGTTGCTCACACCGATACTGCGAACCTTGCCCTTTCGAACGAGGTCCTCCATAGCTTTCCATGTTTCAGAAATGGGAACATCTGCCAGCTTGAAGCGTTTCGTGACCGGGTCTAGGGGAGGCTGGAAAGAGTTCTGGTGGATGAATGCCACGGGCCAGTGGATCTGAGTTTGTTAGTAGAATATTGGGATGAGTATAGATACCGACATACCAAGTACAGATCGAGATAGTCGGTCTGAAGATCCTTGAGGGTCTTGTTGACGGCCTCTTCCACATTTTCGGGATGATGGTGGGTATTCCATAGCTTGCTGGTGATCTAAAAGGACATGAAAGGAGGATGTCAGTCAAGTGCACCAGACAACAGGGAATGCGACATGACACGGACAAAGATTTCCTCGCGCGGCACTCCTGATTTCTTCCAGCCATCTCCGACTTCTGTTTCGTTTTGATAGATGGCAGCGGCATCGATGTGACGGTAACCAGAGCGCAGAGCTGCCTCAACCGCATTTTCTACCTCGTGGGGTTTGGACAACTGTGACTGTCAGTTTGCGACGAGAGGTGCATATCTGGAACGGTTCGCATACCCATGTTCCTAAACCAACGGCGGGGATCTTGTATCCCGAGTTAAGCTTAAAGGTACGTCCTAGAGACATGTTGTTATAGGCAAGATCTGTATCGGAGTTTGGAAGAATGTGTGATGTTTGTCCAAGTGAACAGAAGCCACGAGCTTAAAGTTCAAGGGGAAGAAGAGAGCGCCATGGCCAGGAGTGAGGGGATAGCAGATTACCCCTCATTCAACCGTCGATCCCGTCCGCGCAATGCAATATCAAATCATGTTAAGCACCGAGCCTATGGAATCCACCGAACGTGTGGTGTTTGGTGCATTTTAGCCGTTTCCTGTCGTCAACTCATCCTGCTGGGTGATTGCGCGATGCTTTAGGTCCCGCTTGGGTTCGCCAGATAAATGGCCGGATAGTCTGATCTATACTCTCTGATGAGGAGAGATTTCCCATTCTCATGTCATCACTGCAAGGATAAGGAGTAGAGTGAGATACTCATCGTTTCAGAAGAATCATGTGGTCTGGACTATTATTGATGCAGACCGTTCGACCATTGGACTCTGTATTATCACTGATGGTCCGACAGGGGTGCACCCTTCTGTTCTATTTATTAATGGACCTAGTTGCAGCATCATCATTAGGAGAATCTACTGGCTATTTCGCACCAGGATGGTGATGCTTCGCGGTTCATTACAAAGTAGTTATTTTCGGCGATTTCGAAGCCTACGCCACTGGCCCCTCAATGATAGTAGTAACCGAAGTGTCCCCCGAATGGAAATGAGACTGGTTAAATTGACAAGGTATGGGCTGTTAAAAAGTTATTTGAGCGAGAAAAAGTCTTCAGAATATACTTAGGATTCTACATAACGAAGATAAAGCTGGTTTCATGGGTTTAGTTGAGTCGGACAATTAACGATCGCGATGTAAAAGCGCCTAGGAATGCGCAGAGTTTTTTCGGCCTATGCAGATGGCTAGTGCGGGGCTGATAGTCCTCGGATTTGGGTCGCAGTGCGCATAAGCAGCTTGTATCTACCCCGTATAGATAGATGACCGCCAGGGGCAGCTTATTTTTATCAACACGTTGCACTATTGTGCAAATGGCTGGCAGGCCGGACTTTCGGCGTCTGAAAACCCAAGGTCCTCGGCCTTCGAACCCGGGGAAGCAAGCGGTTGTCCCTCCAACGCCCAACTGCCCCACGCCACTCTCAGAATACTAAACAATGAGCCGCAACAGTGCATCGATGTAAGGCTGCCTTTTCCTAGTCTATCATCTCATCAATGAACAGTGCTCTTCACCGGACATACATTCATTTAAATTTCAGTGATCAAATTGTACATCGGTTGACCAGATTGCAGTCCCCGAGATAGTCGCGATAAGGTAAGGGAACGCCGGAAGGGAGGAAGTTGAAGCCAAACCGGAAAAGTCTGCTTTTTGCCTGGCGGGGGGCCCACGGCCCACTTCATTCCTCTTCCACCATCTTCCCTATGGAAGAAAACGCGAAGCTTCTGCTCAATTGCTGCAATGGATAGTAGGATTCGCTGCACGATGACAACTAAATGGTTGATCCCAAATTATCATAACACGTCGTCATGGAAGAACGACGCGGCAGCGATTTGATCACCAGCATACCCTATGCTGGAGGCTTCTTCAGGCACGACTCATACTACTAACAATGCCCCACTCGCATAGAATGGTGGAAGAAAGGATTTATCAGCAACCGAATCATCGTGGGAACAACTGCCTTCTCTATGCGTACCTTGATTCGCTGGTTCAGCTCAGTCTCCATATTCTAAACCTTCATGGCCATTAACTAAAGTCTTGGGGCCTTATTATTAAGCCCACCGTCACTCGAGTGGAGCTTGCCCACTTACGTCAAGAATCAAGAGCAAGAGCTCTTTAAAAGCTACAGATCTTCCAGCCAAGGTGATTCCCAAAGCTTCATCACGTTCTGTTGCTATTGTCACCTGTCATCCACTGCACCTGCACCTTCCAGACCGGAAATACACCAGAAAAAATGGGCGCTACGTCTCAGAAGCAGTGGACCGTCCTCAACAAGGACAACGACTTCGATGGCCTCACCTTTGGCGATGCCCCTATCCCGAAAGTCGGTGAGAATGAGGTCTTGGTGAAGTTCCACGCGGCGTCGTTGAACTTCCGTGACCTGATCATCCCAAAGGTGCGTTCCCCATCCCTAACTGTTAGCCAGCTGTCCTCCTGTCTGTTGCGCTGTCTTCCTGACAAGTGATCCTTATTGTTGCAGGGCCAATACCCATTTGCGCTTAACTTCCCGGTTGTTCCTGGCTCCGACGGTGCCGGTGAGGTTGTCGAGACTGGCTCCAAGGTGACCCAATTCAAGAAGGGTGACAAGGTTGTCACCCTGTTCAACCAGCAACACCAGTACGGCCCCATCGATGGCAGGGGTGCCAGCTCCGGACTTGGTGGCGTGATCGACGGTACCCTCCGCCAGTACGGTGCCTTCAACGAGAACGGTCTGGTCAAGAGCCCCCAGAACCTCAACCACCTCGAAGCCAGCACCCTCTCCTGTGCTGCTCTGACGAGCTGGAATGCTTTGTATGGCCTTAAGCCTTTGCAGCCTGGTCAGACTGTGTTGGTACAGGGAACCGGAGGTGTTAGCATCTTCGCTTTGCAGGTAAGGTTCCCATATCCAGGGTCTGTAGAACGCACCGAATGCTGACACAGATACCACCGCTAGTTTGCTAAAGCGGCCGGCGCAAGAGTCATTGCTACTACCTCGTCCGAGGAGAAGGCGAAGAAACTGAAGGAATTGGGCGCCGACCATGTCATCAACTACAAGACTGAGCCCAACTGGGGTGATGTGGCGCGCAAGCTGACTCCTGACAGCGTTGGTGTCGACCACATCATCGAGGTCGGAGGCAGCGGTACCCTCAACGAGAGTTTCAAGTGCATCAAGTTCGAGGGTGTGATCAGCATCATCGGATTTGTTGGTGGTGTTGACCCCAAGTCCATGCCCAACGTTCTTGACACCTTGAGCCACATCTGTACTGTCCGCGGCATCTACGTTGGCAGCAAGGCTATGATGAACGACATGGTCCAGGCCATTGAGGCCAACAACATCCACCCGGTTGTGGATGAGAAGGTCTTCACCCTCGAGCAGACTCGGGAAGCCTACGAGTACATGGTAAGTGGTTTTTCTTTTCTACGCAATAGTTGACAGGATACTAATATAATGAATAGTGGGGACGCAACCACTTCGGAAAGCTGGCCATCAAAATTGAATGAATGCGATAGAATGTGGCGGGGAGGGATTTTTAGATACAGCGTAGGCGATATGATTGAACGAGTACCAAATACAATTAATTATAATTCAATATGCTGAAAGCAGCGGCAATCTCATGCCAACTCGGTTCTCTTGTTGTATGGGAGCAAAACTATCTGGCTATTAGTATTACGTACTGCCTAGTAAACCCAGTAACCGACCCAACAGCAGGGGCAATGAATCCACCCAGAGGGTACTTCCAGAAAAGAGCCAAGTTTGTACCATGGTAGCAGATATCAGTCAGAATCTAGTTGATCAACAACTCGTTGACTGCAGATGTGAGGCCAGCAAGGTGATCCTGCAAGCCAATCAAGGATGGGAATGGCTCCCCTCCCCGCATCGCCACCTCATCTTGCACCTCGACTTCTTTCATCATCATCACCGCAACGACTCCAGCTTTCTTCATCCGTTGATTCAAGCTGATGTGAGCTTTCCATCTCTTCCGACCAAACTTACTTTTTAAAATCCAATTCCTGTCAATAGCTCCGGCAATTAGTCCAGATGCAAGCCAACACAAGACATAGATCGATCTTGCCGATCTACGGTCCCGATCGCAAGAATATCAAGAAGTCTCAGATCAAATTCATTCGTCCGGCACAGATGAGTTTGCTTGCTCGAGTGACGTGCTATCCTCCCTTGGGTCAGATAACATGTCACCAAAGGAGGTCCAGGAGCTCGGGATCCACGGAACCTGATACGGTAGATAATAAACCTCCGTCTTCCATCATACTGCCGAAAGATAGCTGATCCCTATAGATCAATTTCACCGTAGTGCTAGAATCAAGCACCTCATTTCCAGTGCAGCCCTGGGATATCCAAATATGGCATAACATCTCTAGTTCTGAGTGGACCGCAACGTCACTTAAGAGTCGCGGATCTCCCGTGGCACCACTCATAAACGGCAGCGAGGAAGACTATAACTACTTCCGTAATATCTTTTCAGGGAAGATAACTCTCCCTTCAAATGCCGGGCATGCACAATTCACTGTTCGCTATCGAATTAATCCTGATGCCGAATGGCAATGGGTGAACCAGCAACAGGGTGCAAGTGATGGGATTTTGGTATTTGGCTCACAAAAGCCCGAGTTCACTTCGCTTGAGACAACTCCAACAGAGTTCAAAAAGTATTTCGAGGGAATGTCTGCGGATATCAACATTGAGCCAAGAAAAAGCGAATCGCCCGGTTCGAACTTGTGGCATCTTTCCGGGAAAGCTCAGCCAGCTCATGCAGGCGAATCTGGGTACAAAGAGGTGGCCCTCGGAGTGCCAATGTCAATTCTGCGGTATTTCTCCTTGGTGCGCATCTGGGCTCCATGGCTCGGTCCAAGGCATGGACAAGGAAAATTCGAATTGTCCGAAGAAGCCATTTTGTGCTCCTTTCTGCGGACTGACGGAGTGCATATTGTGCTTCTTGGGTTGTCCGGCAAGGATAATGTCTTGACGACTTTTGGATCAGGCGAAAATGGGGAAGTAATCGTCAAATCCCTCAATGACAATGCAGAGCCATCTACATTCCAAATACTGGCTTCAGCTGCGGAGGATTATGAGGTTGCAATGAGCGCGATCGTATACGAAGCTCGCAAGCTCGCAAGACCATATGCCGAGCAGGAGGCGTCTGATACCAAGCGGGCCCCAATTTCGCCACCCCCGGACGATATAGTGGTGGTAGAAAAGGATGTGAAGGCTCAGTGGATGGCTGAGTGGTACGACGGCTTAACCTACTGCACTTGGAACGGACTAGGTCAGGATTTGACGGAAGAGAAAATCCTTCGTGGTCTTGACTCACTGAAGTCTCATGGGATCCAGATAGCTAATCTGATCATTGACGACAACTGGCAAACACTAGACGATGCTGATTCACAGTTCAAGAGGGGCTGGAGGCAGTTTGAAGGAAACCCAGCTGCCTTTCCCAAAGGGTTTAAACAGACCATTGAAGCTATCCGTCAGAAGCATCCGAACGTCGAACACATCGCCGTTTGGCATGCAATCCTCGGATACTGGGGAGGAATTTCAGTGGAAGGTGATCTGGCTAAAAAATACAAGACCAAGAGAGTTGAGATCAAAGTGCCTGCTGTGGGAGGCGCTATCTCGCATGCGTTTGAAAACGGCTCAGTGCTGGCAATTGACCCGGATGACGTTCAAAAATTCTACGACGACTTCTATAGATACCTTGCCTCAATTGGAGTCGACTCCGTCAAGGCAGACGCCCAGTTTTTCCTCGATTTGATCAAAGACCCAGAGGACCGGAGAAGATTTATCACCGCTTACCAGGACGCATGGTCTATCTCCACGTTGAAACACTTCAGCTCAAGGGCTATATCTTGCATGTCAATGTTCCCACAAGCCATCTTCCACTCACAGCTTCCAACGACCAAGCCTACTATTCCCCTCCGGAACTCAGACGACTTCTTCCCCAACATCGAATCGTCTCATCCATGGCATATCTTTTGCAACGCCCACAACGCCCTGCTGACCCGCTACCTGAACGTCGTCCCCGACTGGGACATGTTCCAAACAAGCCACCCGTACGCCGGTTTCCACGCCGCGGCACGCTGCGTCTCCGGAGGCCCAGTATACATCACCGACGAACCCGGTAAGCACGACGTCTCCCTGATCGACCAAATGACCGCCAAAACGATACACGACGGAACCGTCATCCTCCGCCCAAGCTTGATCGGCCGTGCCATGGACATCTACCACGACTACAACGAAGGCCACATAGTGCGCGTAGGCACCTACACCGGCTGGGCCCGAACCGGCAGCGGCATCCTAGGTCTCTTCAACATCTCCACCGCCGAGAAATCCACCATAACCCACCTCTTAGACTTCCCAGGAATCCACCAAGACTCCCAAGGCGAGTACATCATCCGCGCCCACACCAGCGGTATGATCGCCTCGGACCTACGCGTCCCGGACACGGAATCATCCCTAGTGACGGTAACTCTGCCCCCGAAGGGCTGGGAAATCCTAACAACCTACCCAACATACACCTTCGACCTGAAGGCCAAGAAACGAGCCTCCACCTCAACGCCCACAGAAACAAAAGTATCAGTCCTAGGCCTAATCGGCAAAATGACCGGCGCAGCAGCAATCATCTTCTCTGATATCTACATCGAAGATAACGGAAGATTGCGATTCGACATTAGTCTCAAAGCACTGGGCACATTAGGGATCTATTTCTCCGACTTGCCGGACTGGAGTATTGATGATAACTTCATGGTCATGATTCTGGGGAGACCTGTGCCGAAGAAAACTGTTTGGAAGGAAGGTGGTGATAAGGGGAGGGTGGTGGCGGTGGATATTCTGACTGCGTGGAAGGAGATGGGGTTGAAGGCTGGGTGGAGTAATGATGTGCTTGTTGAGGTGTTTGTTGGTTGAAACGTTGATAGATGGGAATGTGGCTGACGCTTCGGAGAGGGCTATACATATTGTGGATTTTTCGTCAGTGGGTGGTAGTACAGCATAGTATAGATCAGACTGAATATAAAGAGACGGGGATTATGCTCTATATTTTTCAAGAAAGGCAATGTATGAGTAGTTGCTATTCGGAGCAAACAACCTGCGTAGTTTTGAAGTATGAGAGTGAATTTACATAACTCGACATAATTTTTAGAATAGTCATGTAAACATAAAGAAATGTCACTAGAATGCATCATGGACTCCACTTATTACATCTTCACAAAAACCATAACTTGTATACCATCCAGTCATCATTCATTACTATAAAGCTAACGCACACAATAAACTGACAACAACACCAGCGCAAGACAGACAAGACACATCGCAACATACTTCAGTAAAGTCCAGAACTACACCCCTGCACAGACCCCCACCCTCATCTTCTCAACCTACCCTCCCAACCCAATCCAACCCAACCCAACCCCACCCCTCCAGACAAAGAACTCCCCCCTCTACCCAACCACCCACCCAACCAACCGACCTAATAATCCCCCGTCGGCAATCCCCTAGCTGGAACATGTTGCCCATGAAACCCAAACGCCACAGGCCCAGCCACCCTCGCCCTTCCCAACTCCACCAGACTCCTCGCATCCAAACAAAGCAAGTAACTCTTCCCCGTCATCCCATCCAAGACCACACTAAGCAACACCCCATCGTCCTCTTCTACACCATCGGGATTCGCAACGAAGATGGGCTCTCCAGGAGACTGAGCATGATGGCACCACACCTTCGTCTCACCGGACTCATTATCGAACTTGATGATACTGTCGAAGAGGGTAGATTTCCCCGTGTCCGCGACAGCGTACATGTAGCGGTGTTTGCGGGTGACGTAGGCGGAGTGCATGGTGGGGAGTTCGGGGGAGAGGGATTTACAGGAGGCGGATTCGAGAAGGGCTTCGGGCAGCTCTTGAGATTCAGGGTTGGGTGAGGAAGGAACAGCAGGGAGGCGGAAGCGGGAGACAGATGAGCAAGTGGCATCTGTTCTGGGTTTAGGGTGGGGAGAGTCTGAGAGGAGGTTTTCGTAGTAGAGTTTGTGCATGAAGTCTGCCGTGTCGAAGGTGACGAGTTCGGCGACGATATCGGTGTCACCGTCCTGGTTTGTTTCTTGCCAGGCGTTGATGGTGTGGAAGCAGAAGAACGGGCGGCTGGTGTATGTGGCGACGAGCCCCTTCTCGCCCGTCCGGTCGACGACGTACCATGTTGCTGGGAGGGAAGGGTCGAAGGGCTTGATGGAGTCGAGGAAGCTCTTGGGGCCGGAGTCGGGGTCGGCGGTGGAGATGTGGGCGTTCCAGACGCAGACCACGACGTAGTCTTCGGTGATGAGGAGGGAGTGCAGGTAGGCTGGGGTTGCGGGGAAGGTTGCCAGGATGGTGGTTTCGCCGGTGGATGCGGAGGTGCCGAAGACGCGGTAGGTAGACTCCGGGCCAAGGTCCAGGTTGTAGTTGAAGATGTCGCCGGTCTTGGGGTCGGAGCGGGCGTGTGCGGCTGTCTCGGAACCTTTCAGGTCGGGGTGCAGGTTCTGCTGGCTGGCGAGGCTGATGGGTTCTAGGGTTTCTGGGTTGAGTTGCTTGAAGGCGTTGAGGTCGGTTTTGGCGTGCAGGGTTTTGATCCCGGAAGAGGTGTCCCAGCGGTGATTGTTGTTGGAGGTATCACTGAGGCCTGGCATGTTGATGCTCAGAGTGACTCCGATGTTGGCGCTCGAGGGATTGGGTGTCTCATCGGGCTCGTACTCCGTTTGGACTTTTTGGTATACGACCTTGCAGGGGTCTCGCTTTTGGCCGAAGCTGAATTTGTGCATCTCACCGGTCTGTCTTATGTTCTCGATGAGAGCATCGGTAGAGAAGCGGGAGTTGTACAAGACGCGCACTGATGGGTGGGTGTCGTTTGGAGCTAGAAGCTGGAATCGGTGGGTTTCACTGAAGCCATCGAACCAGTGGCTGACGTGAAATGTCTCTCCATTGACGGTGTCGACCTTGTATCTGCCTGGGCCAGTGCGGTAGAGAACGCCAGCTGCGTAGGCGGGAATCTGGCCTTCGACGGGGAGCTCGATGGGTGTTTTCTCCTCGTAGTTGGCGTCAAACTGCGGAAGCGAATTTAGCATAGAAGGTAAATGGTTCGCTCAGGAAGACTTACGCCTTTGACATTAGGCCAATTGTTGAAGTGGTCTTCAACGCGAGTTTTCTGTACGGTGGACATTATATGAGCAAGACACTGAAAATTGCTGGGTGAGCGGTAGAGTGGAGGTAATGATTGAAGTTGGAACGATGGATGATAAATGTAAGAAGAATGAGAGGTGGAATGACGTACTATTTATCTGTCTAGCTCAAGCAAGGAGTGGGCTGTGGCCAACTTTGTTGCAGTTCAAAGAATGGCCCGAGCATAGCGGTGGGGGAATTCCGCCGGAGATGGAGCTGTCATATCACCGTCTGATATACGGTGGAGGATTGCCTATTCTCGCAGTGTGGTCAAAAATAGTCACCTCTGGCATGCAGCAGGTCTTGTTTCCGACCCTTTTCACATGGCTGCTAACATTGATACGCCGATGTTAGCCACATACTCGCAATAGACGCAAATGCTTAAGTTCTTATATACATTTGAAATAATAGTAGCAATTTACAATGCCCGGCCCTTCTGTATTCGTCGGCACTCCGAAACTCCAAGTAGGTCTTCTATTCCCCGTGATACCCGCGCTATTATTTGATGATCCTGTCCGATAAACAGCTGTGTGTACTAGAACAGACTCACCCCTCCGACTGGATACCATCGCGTAGCGCGCGAGCTTTCAGACGAGTCTGGTGATTCGGATAGTATGGTTGGAGCCCAAGATCCCACGTGGGAAGTGCTACATCAGGTATTGAGTTTATAGGCTCGGGCTGCAATTTGTTAAAAGTCGGCGAAGGGGTGTGCTGGTTGCGCGGAGATCCCCCGCTCTCCTGCAGTCGCAAGTACGTGCACTCCTTCCGCCGCGTGGCGCATTCTAAGCATGGCTTCCCCCCATCACAGGATTTCTTTAGCCTTGCGCAGACGTCACATGCATGTCGTTCTTTGCCACCTATCCGAGGTCCTGGAATGGCCTGACCGGCGTGTATACGGGCAGAACAAGATTTCCAGTGTCGCCGCAGGACATCTCTTGACAAGGCGCCAACGTCAGTTCATGCATTGAGCTATTATGCATAGCATACGCACCCTCGTTTGTAATGAGAGCCGCAGAATCCACATTTGAAAGGCTTCTGTGAGCTATCTAAACGCCAGCAATCAGCACCACACACGGGATTCGCTCCAAGCGGCGCGTGTATCATACGAGTAGCTATATGTCGCTTGTGATGGTCTAAGCGATGAAAAACTGCCGAGCAAAACTGACAAGTCCATACCTCGTCCATGGCTCGGTTGTCGGTAGAGAACTGTATAGTTGTGTAACCCACGAGGCTGGAGGCAAATAAGCAATATGCCGTTGGATGTGGCGGCGGCATACACTAGGCAGAAACGAGTCGGACCATGCGGGGTCAGAGCATTCGATTGCCGGTTGCGACTGAGCTTGCAGCGGGAATCATCCACATCGGCGGGATCAAGGACCGTTAGTCTCCTGAGAGGAAAAAAAGCAAAGAAGAAAAATCCAGGAGCGGAGGTGAGACGGGATCCGAGGGAGATGCCCCTCCCGGGTCAGCAATAAGCAGAGTGGAGGAATCCCGCAGGCTACCGAGCCAGTGCGGATTAGTGAGGCGGAAGTGGAGGTGGAGGTGAACCGAAGGAATGGAAATCCCGGCGGCATTCCCCCGCAGAGCCCGAGGCCGATTGGCCACATCGCGCATCAGCCACCATGGTTTGTTCACCGGATCGCGAATTCAATCTCACGTATATGTATTGCGTGCTAACATGTATCGACTACCGATGCCGTATGGTTCAGTCCAAATGGTTCCGTCTATACTGGCATCGAGGAGCCATCCGTGGCAGATGATATCATCATCTCCTTTACGGTAAGATGGCACGGGAAAGGCTATTTTCTTGACCAGTGAGTCGAACTCGACGCTTTCTTCGTCTTTGACATAGTATTTCTGTTTTTCCAACACTCGAGACTTGTAGCACTGAAAAAGTTGTCGTACGAAGCCTGTGTCTTCCCCGAGATGATCCTTGCCACTAACCATCTCGAACTCATCGGCTGAATCTGCAATCAGAAGCCGCTCGAGTGAGGGCAAGAAGTCAGTGGATTGCCAGCCAGACCGAACATCGCGATCCAAGCCAGAAGGTGCAACAAGGACCAGATGTGTCAATTTCGAACATCGGCGGAGCCCCCCGATGAATTGCATGGACGTAACATCAACTTCGCACAGGGCGAGACGGCGCAAACGAGGCCATAGTGACCACACCGCTGGTTCATAATCCGCCTCCTCCAGCTGGTCGGAAGGAGTCTCCCAAATGTAGGGTAGCTTTTGCGTATCAAGGCAAAGGTCGTCTGCGGCTGAACAAAACTCCTCCAACAGTGTCAAGCGCTTAAACGCTTCGCGTAGCATAGGGCGCACCTCTAGCTCGGGCATTGAGGGGTTATAGAAGCGCAAGGGTAAATCAATCACGAGCCTGGTTAAGCGGTGACAAAGGTGAAACGAGAGCGTTTCAATGTCTCGCGCAACCGAGGGCCTATCGGGCTCATCCAAAACCAGTACAAGGCCAGCTGCAGTACTTTTCTGTACTTGTGCCCCTGTATCGTTGGGCCTTCGGTTGATTAGCTCTGGTGGCTCACATTGGAGCAGGTGCTCCAATAACAGTTCATCGTCAATCAGAAGACAGTGATTAATGAGAAGCCGTCTTGCTATCTGGCAAGTGAATCGCGATACTAATGTCAAGTTGACTAAAGTATCGATTTCCCCTGAAAAGTCGGGATAGGCCACCGGCGGATCTGGAGAGATGATAGACTCAATAATGAGTTGAATAATCTCGGGCGGGAGACGCATTGGCACCAAGGTGACCCCGGTGAACTTGTCAGGTATGTCTGTATGTGAAGCAACGATCGTTTAGAGATTAGTACTAGGAGGGCACGATCGCACAGGCAACAGAGGTGAGAAGTTGTTCAGAGCAAAAGTCGATCTGGGCGAATGTCTCTCATGGATGTTGGCGGGGGGATGCTTAAATCCTTCTATCCGGCAAGCAAAGTCAACAAACATGAGAAGGGCGTCGAATTCCCCGGTCGCCGTAAAGCTATCTGTGATGAACTGCGAGCATCACGGGAGATTATTAACGCCCAGGAAACTAAATACTCTGCTTAGAATACTCGACTCAGCTGGAAGAATAGCCAGTTGTTGCAAAGACGCCCAGCTTCCTGGAGATCTGCCAGAGTCGTCCAGCCGGCCGATCTTGGCTTAGTGCCGGTCCAGGTGATGGCTAGACCCGATCTAGCCTAGCGTGATATCCCCCAGCAGCCACCATTTCATCTCGTCTTCCTATTTCTATACCTTGTAAATACCTTTCGAATATGACACACCAGGAAAAGCCTCATTATTATCATGTCTATATGATCTATCGAGTCATAGAAAAGGCCGTTCTCACGGATTATTTCCTGTCACTGCTCCCCAGATATATGCCGCCCAGCTTCCCATTACGAGCAACACCAAACCAGAGAAGCAGCAGATCGAGATCATCCTACTACGTTGGTAATGTGTTACCAGATGATGTTCTCGAAGCTTGCCGATGTACTCGGCTCCGCAGGCCAGGCGCCGCTTGCGAGTCCATTGCAGAGGAGCAAGATCCCTGCCGATCAAGGAGCCGATCAAGAGGATTATCGAAACAATCGCGCAACAGATAGCCAGGAAAAGATAGACCCGCACAGATCGACGGTAGGAATCATTATCAGCATCTTGGAGCGCACCCGTAATGATGCCAATAATAATCGTCATCCTAAATCATATGGTCAGTCCTTGTCTTTTACATGCTCACTTGGTTACTAAGGGGCCATACGAGTTATTCATGGTGACCTTTAGTGCGTACGCAGATCCAAAGACTGACTGATGCCAGAGAGTCGTGCGGATGCCGTCGATGATCGATGTAGGACCCAGAGAAACCGCGACTGCGTATATACCGAATGCCGCGGCTGTCCCTTGTTTTGACTCGGCGAAGTTCACCAGCACCATGCTGATAAAGATACCTAATCCGCACACACATACTGCGACAGACAGTGAGTAGATTATAGGTTAGCAGTATGGGTTAATTACTTACAAACAGAAGCCCGATGGCCGAGGATGTCAATAAAAACTCCCAAGCAGGGTACAAGGAAGAAACCTGGTTTGGTCAGCGATGCCTCTTGTAACATCAGTTGATGACCTACCTGCATATTGGGCTAAAGAGCTGTACCAGCCCGCCGTGATTGCGTCGATATTGAATCTCTTCTGAGCCAACTCTGTGGCGTTCGAACTGAAGACACTGGCGGTGCTAGTCTGAAACATTGAGAAGGCGAGAATAGCCCAGAACATCCAAGGTAACTGGAACATCTTGCGGAGTTCAAACTTCTTGTTCTTTTCGGTCAGGGTTTCCTGGGTTGCCTTGTCTTCGCGACCACGGAAGTGTTTCTCGCAGTAACGATTGAACAGCCAGAAGAAGCAAGTTGCTGCGTTCGTGAAAAGGTTCATGAAAACGGACGTCCAAAAGACCCATGCGAAATTACCGGTGTTCTGTAGATTTTCATGTTAGATCGGTTGGCTTCAATATCGACCGGATTCATACCTTGGCGATGATGTTTGCTGTTGACTTTCCTACAAATCCTCCAATCTTTATTGGTCAGCTTTATTATGCACCGTGTGTGGTGATGTGCTCACCTTGCCAATTGCCAGTTCAAAACCAAGGGTTGAGGCGAATCCATTGCTTGGAGGAAACCAGGAGGAGAACATCTTGTACTGGGCTGTTTGGGTAGCAATGTCACCCAGGGAGAGGATAATCCGCCCGCCGACCATGAAGTTGAAGGATCGAACTGTGGTCGCAGCAGCCACTAGTATGGAACCGATAGTATACACGATATTGCCATAAACGATCATTCCTATGGCAGGTTAGATCTTGCAAACTGAGCGACAAACGTTGCGGTATACTTACGAGCACCTCCTACTCTGTCGGTTACAATACCGCCCGGCAGGAGAAGGACGGTAGCCATAAAGTTCTCACTAGCCTCAAGTAACGAGAATTGAGTGTTCGTGATGTGCATTTGCTACACCGAAGATTAATAATTGCTCCGGTTTTGGAAGCAGTCTATCCTTACCTTCTTCAAGGTACTTTTCATTGCTCCTGTAACGCCACTGCTCCAGTGGGACCCAAAACTAATGCAGGAGATAACAAACACGGCAATCAGCTTAGCGAGCAATGGCGGCGGACGTTTTCCATCTGCATTGTCCACAACTGTGTTGTCTTCTGAATGAAGTGAGTCTGAAGGGGTAGGTTCTGCAGTTGTAACCTCGGTGGTTTTCTTTTCGGTCGCCATATTGCAAGGCGAGGGTAGATACACCACCAATCGGATGGTATGAGGCCCACGAAGAGTCTGATGATGTTGGTTCGCGGCCTTCGTGCAGTCGATGTTCCTGTTTCTGCAAGGATACCCAGAAAATTCCCGTCGCACAAAAACAAAAAGCGGGCAGCGAAGGAAGGAACGGATCGACACAGACTTTATAGGGACACCAGCAGCGATTAAGCTTGTTCAGGCAAGCTAAAGCTTCTTTTCTCACCGATCGGACCCATAGTGCCAAGAAGATACCATCAGATAAGATGCCCGTGTTTCTCCGACTGTCGCAAAAGCATCCCCTTCGAGGAAAGCTGCCCTTCTCAGGATTGCGATATTATTCTTGGCATCCGTGAAAACCTCGACTTGCTGGAGCACGTGGTGTGCTAATAATATTAAAGCTGTGGCTGTGGTCTCTTTCATTGGTCATACCCTGCTCATTGTGACTGATTGATAAGATTGGTGTTGTGATATGACCCACTCCGCGGACAGGTTCCGTAAGGCAAAAGCCATGAAGGGACTCAACGGGAGGTGCAAACGATGGTTTGCCAAGCCTGTTCCACTGCTCGATGACATGACTAGCTCTCAAACTCGTAATGGCGTCCACTCAGTTTGCAGATTGCCCAGGAAGAGCGCGCTGTCCGCTGACTCCGCTCATTTTCCCTCCTCCCCCGATAGTCAAACCCTGTCGCACTCCTGTTGGGATGCAGACTGCAAGTCTCCGGTCGTAATATGCATGCCCTGTTTTCAGATATTTAGTCGATGGTGATCGTTGCCAGTCTGCCAATACTGGAGCTTCCGCCATCTACGGTTTTTGCCTATGAAATGAGCCTTTTGCCAAGAAACAAACTTTCAGCCTAATTCACGTGTCCACCATCTGCACTCAGGATTAAGTATTAAGGTTAGTTGGAATGCTCCCCACCATAGCACGTGGAAATAATATCAGTCGGAACACTCTAGGAGACGAGTCTTCACACGTAATTACTTGCTCATCTTGCTCAAGTGGATGGTTCCACCTTCCAGGGACCAGCTTCTCGAAAAAGTCAACCTCCGAATAGTGGGGACAATGTCACAGGATAGGGACTAGCGTCCGATCCAGGAGCCCGATCGGAGGAATGAGCTGCTAGCTGTCGGAATTACATGGAAATGGCCAACAATCGTCGAATTTCTCGTGTTGTTTAGCTCAGAAGACGGGTAGTGGTGCCAAGCACTGATATGTCCTTTGTCTGGCCTTCACTTCTTCTTTCAGATTGCCATAGGGCTTTTCTTCATCTTCAACCCTGACAAAGGAGAAGGTCTCCCCTAGAAAGCCTACTGATACCAAGACAAGGAGCATGACAATACCTGCTGGCTAACTCCGATAGCATCCTTCACATACTACATTCACCGCTTAACGCTGACTGAAAATACATCCATCATGCCAAAATGAGTCAAAGGATCGGTAGAACTAATAGCAGAGGTAGTCCTGCCGAACAGTTCAGAAAGCAGCATTTTAATTTGTTCGCCGTGAAAGTATCGCTGTGAAGATACCTTCCAAGGCTAGCATCGCCGCCTGCGTGGTGTTGAGTGAATAGAAACTAGACCTCAGCAGGTTCCGTGAGAAAAGCTCGCTGTCTACGGGAGGTTCCATAAAGCGAAACTCCCACACAGGTTCATTAGTCAGAGGATAAGTCACGCCCATATAAACAACCCTGAGGAGGTCTGATGCTAGCTGATAAATGCTTATTCGCAGCATAACAGTCTAGGAACTTCCTATTCCATCTATAACAGCCCACGCCCCTGCCATTGCATTCTAAGCGCATTCTAAGCGACTTGCCACTTGGACAATCCTTCAATAGTATCCTTTGGCACCAAAAGTGTCTTCTCATTGCCCACCATCGAAGCCCCAGACAAAGTATCATTCATCATCAAAATGAAGTTCGAACGACCCCCTTCGCCCCTTGCCCTCGCTGACGGGAGGCTTGTATGTCGCGAACACCTTCTCGTGATCTGCGCTATGTGCTGCGTGGATTATAGCCACACGAGAGAGGATATTGAAATGGGGGAAGCGGGCGACGCCTATAGCTATGCGAAACAGGAAATCAAAATGGAGGAAGCTGGTGGTGCTTATAATGACAACAGTTCTAACAAAGCCTCCAGAAAAGAGAGGCATACGTCGAACCCCATGTCAATGGAGATTGATGAGCCAAACCAAAAGTCTTTCAACAGACTCAAGGGCCATGGAAACAAACTACACGGTAAAGAAAGCCAAATGCAACCCGTTTTCCCCAAGACATTCCTTCCCCCAACCCCAGACGCTACTCCACGATCACTTTTCAAACCTCTCGTCTTCGTATCCGAGGGCAGGCCTTCGATACGCCGATTTGTTGGAAGAGAGAACTACTACCAATGTCTGGTATATACGGCTGGCGCTTGCCATGATAATTGGAAGGGAGATGAGAACTATGCTAAGGCAGGATGGTCATTCGTATACAGGCCCCAGAACCCATCACGCAACATCACCGGTGGGGTTGCTGGTCGCCTCGAGATGATGGGCCCAACTAAGGTCTACCATAGGCAGACAAGCACTCGTGCAGAACTGCGAGCTGTAATTGCGGCCTTGGAATATCTGTCTCATGATGGAAATACGTTTGACAGCTTGGTTGTTGCTACGGACTCAAGCTATGTTGTCAACGGTGCAACACTTTGGATCCGCAAGTGGCTCTCGAAGGGTTGGAGAAGTGCTATTGGGAAACCAATCAAGAATAGGGACTTATGGGAGGCCCTCCTGAAGGAAGTGAGGTGTTGGTATGAGGAGGGAAGAGAAATCTATCTGTGGCACATTGATCGGTTGCACAATCAGGATGCAGTTAGACTGGCTAACTGGGCGACCGTCCCAGACTCAGCTCCTATTCAGTTCGAGGAGAATATTTCTCATTCGGGGTGATCGATCATGGAGAGACTTTATCTACAGTGCTAAATCAAGCTCTGCTTTCGGTTGTCCTTTCGGGTGTCTTCCGGGTTAGCTCAATTGGCTAGTTGTGTTGCTTCTGGAGATGGATGAACAGCTAAAGTTGCAACAATGCTGTATTCATGAATTTATCACCTTCCGACCTTCCTACTCCAATTGGGGACAAGTAGTTCTCAATGTCATTTTATCAGTCATTATTAAGAGAGACATAATGACCTCACCAAGATAGGCTACGATAGTATAGAGTTCTTTAGCAAATTAGGTCAGCATTGCGCTTCGTGTTCCTTAAGTCTATACACCGCTCCAAAACTATTATCTGACATACAGACGCATGCACTTGTCCTTAAGCGTAGGAAAGAAGGTGAACTTAGGAATATCCGGTAACTGGTAAATACAAGCTAGTGCCAACACCTGCGAAACTGAGTTGCTTTATGGAAGCAACAGATCTAACCCCCATCACGCCCATTCTCCTCGTTCTCCTCATTCCGCTCTTCCTTTTTTCAAGACGTTTCCTTTTCTTGCAATTCGTGGTATTACTTCGCGATTCTTTCCAAATGGAGACTTTGCCCGTCAATCATACCCTCAAATACTCAACTCTGCAGCTGTTTCCAGTAATTTTGGTTATCCACCATCACCTTGGGACAGTTGTCGGGCTTTTCTTGGCGATTCATAGCCATTTCGGGGTCACCAGTGTCAACTTCGATCCAGGACAATACCGAGCTGATACTCCGAGACCATTGAGCCGATTATCGAGTTGCTCGAGCTTGACATTGGCTTCATTAGTCTTATTCTGGATGTCTTCGACGGTCTCACCGGACCCCCCTCTCTTTGGCCGCCAGAAACTCAGCCTGGATATGCCTACCCTCTTTTGTCTCATCCAGTCATAGCTCATCGATCACGAGCTGTGCCATGACTCAAAAGTTGACGACTTCTTGAATGGAAGCAGCGCACTATCAAGATAATCTGGACATGTGGGGTTCAAGTATCCGTGTCTTCTTAAGCAGCTCGAACAGCATCAAAGAGAGCTGCTGATTGTCCAAGGTAATATTCGGGGTATGGAGCAAGCCAACGGCTAGCGCCAGATGTACGGATGTGATATGGAACCGATGTACCCGGGGAAGCTTCTCGCACAGTTGGAGAGTTTAAGCATGCAATGGTAAGGAAAACGAGAGGTTCAAATTGATAATATATTTCACGGCGTTGATTCACATCCTCTCAACCAAAATACCATCGTGCTGAATAGTCTCGAAGAACGATAGATTTTAGTAAGGGGAAGTCTTTCACGTCCTAATACTATCCTACCCTAAGCACTGCAAACCAAAAGCTGATATTCCCTTTCCGGTCCACCTCATTCAAAGGGACTACGATATGTATTCACATGGGCCGTGATGATTCCCTTCTCGCTACCAAGGAATTACTGCAATTAATCACTGATCTATTGACTGTGCGCTGATTGAATTGCGGATTTTCCATTTAATACGATCATTCATAGCCATCTTCGGGCTCGATCCGGAATATAAAATGCTTCATTCTCGCTCCGCAATCTTCCTTCTGCATTATCTCCTATATCTTACTATGAAACATTTGATCTTTACGAGTATAATTGCCAACCCCATCTTTCAAGAAATGCATAACGTTTGAGACTTTTTGTTTATGACTACTATTGTTAATTACAAGGTCACTTAACCTACGCAAGTTCGGATTTCACCTGATATGACTGAATTCGCCAAACAGCTCTAACGATGCCGATGGAAACCATACAATTTATTTATAAAACAGTAACCGGGATTATGAAATAGCTCTTCAGTACATATTCTAAGGCGTTATGTGCGGCTCTTAATGAAGTCTAAAATATTCTCCTGATAGAAGGTTACGACGGTAGAGGTGAGTGACGCCGTCCTTTTCTCTTCCCTTTTGGTTTTATTCCCATGTCTGGGGTTGCCGTCTTTCTCGAGCTTCTCTCTCTTCTATGCTGTATCTTTCGTTCTCTCAAAGCGTCAATTACGAGACAGAACGTTGAACGCACACTAACTTTCAGTAGGTGTATGAATCACCATTATCTTCTGTATTAGCCTTATGGGCTTATATCAGCTGCTCAATGGACCGCTGTCGACAATAAACGTCTCGACGCTTTGTTTCTGTCACTTGGCACATTCGATTCACCTCCAGCAAACGCAGTGGGTCACTGTTTCGAACAACAGATTATTAGCATAATCATGCTGTTATTTGACTCACTTCATTCATTGCCAGTATGTCCTATGGATCGCTGAGGTTCCGTCGTCTCAGCGTGGTCTTCCATTATTCGCTCTCAGCAGGCCCAGTGGGCCATTGTCCGTGCTGCCGGGCCATTATATATAGCAACTGTACGTTTTCTCTGTTTACAGGCTGCCAGCTTGCAGACAAGGCTAATAACAGACATTCATAGTACATGAATGTGTTGTCGTTCCAAAAGGAGCATGCATATGCCCTTGCGAAGGAAGCCATGCAGGGAATGTGAGTGGGATGTAGGTTACTACTTGAACCCATTACTTTCCGGTAGGGGAAAAGTTCACACAAAGGCCTGAGTATAAGGCCGATATGGGAGGATACACTGGCAATATCAGGTTACGGCTCTCAATATTGTCTTGTCAATGAATCTCAACAAGTATATGCTTCCATGCTATAAAGCGGAAGCTCAGTTGGGAACGTTAGCGGAATGTGGCTTATGGGTATAACACAGGGAGGATTGTGCAAATCCTCCTGAGGACTATAAGGCAGATATGAGTGACATTCCGGAATTATCACGATCACGGGTAAGCTTTTTAGTTCATTGCAGCAGATCTCTTCTCTGCGAAAAGAAAGGATAAAGGGACATTATGGACATGTCTGGCGTTGACGAATTCAGCAATTAATAACCTGCTATCCGACAAGCAAGGCAGGCAATCAGATACGCAATATATGGGGACCACAACTTGAATACCTCAGAGCAAACAAGATTATCTACGATAGCTGCAGCAGCACAAAATACCAGAGCGTTCTAGGGATATCACCAAAAGAGGCGAAACCCGGTCTTGATTGTTTGCAGGTCTAGCTCTGGCTTAGAAGAAATAACTCGGAAGATATCCAAGATCTTCAGATAGGATGGACTAGGAACTGATGGATTCTTTCGTTTGAATACTGAGATGGGAGAAGACAATGATAACCAAATGGCGCCTGAAAGGGGTCATCTATCGACGGACGGAGACCCAGGGGCATGACAGAATATGAAAAGTCCGAATTGGCTCCTCTCTGCAACTTGCTGACCTACCAAATGCTATGAGGGGCTAAATTCTACCGGGAAACGATCAACGAAACCGTCGAATGACGGACTAAAGGACACCGGAGCAAAAGGTGGTTCAGGCTGCCATGGATATAGCCACCAGCGACGAAGATGAAGCGCAACTAAAACGCCCTGACATGGCTATACATTACGGCAAAGACTACATGGCCCTCAAAGACGGAGACGCTACCTGGTACTAGTTATTCCTAGGGAACGAAGCCTTAGTCGTCAGAAGAAAAGAAAAAGACAAGCCGATTTTGCAGCGGGTATTTATTGGACTATTTGACTATCCAGAGAGCCCTGAAGATATGCTGATAACACTCGTCACTTCCTACAAAAAATCATGGCTTGAACTCCAGCAGTTCTACATACAAGAGGCTAGCATTGTTCTTTGTACGGCATCAGCGGCCGGACGAAAGATCCTGAAAAGCTTTAGTCCATAAAAAGCCTGATACGAGGAAGCCACACCAATAGGTGAGAGCACTTCCATCAGTCCGCTCATTCGCTTCTACCCATCGGTGAGAAAGATCATTATGAGCAGAAACGTGGTCTAGCTCCTCTCTACAGTCACTTCGGTCTCGCAGAATAAAGCTTGCAACTGTGACTCTCCTTCTTCGAGCGACTTCTGACCACTGGGGTCCGTCACATACTCCTAGCCACGCAGTATCGAATGCACCCATCGATCACAGCTTTTAAGACAAAGCTTATCAGTGATGAATCAACTTCAAGTCATACTATAGATGGAAAGGTTCATGACGCGGAGGTACAATGTCGCACCTGGGCGATCTCAGGATATCTCTGTCAAAGCACTCAAATCTGGAGGCTTCGGAAAGGCACGTCCTTGTTCAACACCAAGTAAATATAGGCAGCTGCAAAGTTTATGAAAGAGCTGTGCACGGCCAATTGCCGTCCTACAGATATCCTGGTGCTATCATACTACGCGGAAGAAAAAAGTTCAGTTGAAAGGCTTCTACACGATAAACTTCAGCTCAATTGCGTTGAAGTAATGAGTGTAAACGCTGCACAGGTGCGCCAAAGGCCCATTGTCAGATGTTGAGGCAATATCACTATAGGCTTCGCCACGTGGCTGCGCTCGGGCTGCTACACCAAGCATATCTTCACGCTCGTTCCGCTGCGCGTTCCTAGATAGTAATACAGCACTGATTTTGCTGCATTCTTTGCCTTCGCTTCTTCCGCTTGTAGAGCGTCCGAACAGGTTATGAGCCCGGTCAGCTCTTACCAGCACGTGCTGCCTAAACCAGGACTTGGAAGTTGCAGGTTCGAGTCCGTCCAGGCGTGGTCAACCTGGGTCTTAAATCCTGCAGTTCCAGTTCGAGGGGGTGTCTAAACCAGAACCTGGAGGCTGTGTTGGGACACATATCTCTCCGTCGACTGATCGGATAGACGCGATATATCTTTTTTCGCCTAGCGGTCCACGCGTCAACATTATAGTATCGACGACTAGCACAGGATGCGGCAATAAGCTCGGCCATGTTGCGATTACACATCTTCTGGATACTGGACGAGCCCTCATCTCATAATCTGCCTTCATACGTTTATGAGTGGTGTTAAGATAAATTAAACAAAATCTTGGACCGAGCGGACGTGCTAAAGTGGATTACCGGGCGTTATATGGCGTGGAAGCCATCACTCTCGAGCATTTCAACCGTGGAGGAACTTTATCAAACTTCCACATGGATAGTCCCGACAACGTCTTTCAATAGATCTCGGAGCTACTAACGAGGCGTCTGTCCTCAAGGGCCAGGCATTCTGCATACTAGTGACCTCCGCCTCTTCGTTAAAGATGATGAAAGGGATATTCAGATCCCCTGGGCAAAGTGCATGGCCGATCCACTCTAGGATGACAAACCACTCATTCCTAAGATATCTAAGGACACCGACCTAAAGCCAGATGGCTAACAGGTAGGCTGGACCACGAATCCACCACAAATTCGTCGGTATCTCAATCATTTTCAAAGGCTTTGAGCCCGTGAACTTGAGGATTGAAATGGGAAGGGGTGGGGGGGCTCTATTATGGAAATGTGCCGCTAGCGATGGGCAGGTCATTGCAGAGAAGAGCATACAACTGTGTCCCTAATATGTCAAACACGATTCAAAGGTCAAGCTGGCATGTGATATGTTTGTCTAATACCACGCCGGATTACTTCGAATCCAGCAGTTATGTTATTCATCTATCACTAAGCATACTTAAATCAATTAGTACTACACAAATAATATATCTCATCTAAACAAGTCAGTAGATGTTGGCGTGCAGCTAACGCCTCTGACTTCTCCAGTCTTCTTTCCAATTTGAGACATAAATGTTTCCAATTTGTTCCGCGCGTAGGTGTTCTCACTTCATGGAAGATCTTGGTGCTTATTCGTGAGCGCCAGAAGTCATCGTCAAGTGGCAGATGTAGGGCTCTCTGTATATTGGCTACTGCCTGAGAAGGCAGATAATCGAAAACCATATTCAAGATCTCCGATGGAAGCAGCAGCAACATAGATTCTCGCACCGTCGGAGTACCCTTTTGACGAAAGGCCTTCTCTTTGTTTCTTTGTCGCTTTCGAGTAGTCTGCTCCAGCGCCGTTTTGACGCACTTTGTTCGGACCGGGTCTTCGGAAGCCATGGCTCAATCGTTAGTCAACTCCATGCATATGCAATGAGCTCTGAGATCCGCTAATACGTGGTATGTATGGGAATGCAAGAAAATCGTAACCATTTACCGTCTGACCATTCATCCGGCAGTCCAAACACGCGTTTCCACATCTTCTGATCGTGTCTTTTTCTCATAGCCTGCATGACATCTTCCAGATTCTTCTCCGCAACGCGCCCCAGCTGATGGTGCGTCAGGAGCTCCCAGCACCGTGCATGAACTGGATACCCTACCCATTCGGTGGACACTCGATACTCATCCTCATCATCATCATAGTCCTGAAGAATCTGACTTTTATTTTTACCTCTTATTGGAATTATAGGTTGGATGGTCTTTTTGCGCTCAGCGTCGTCTCTAGGTCCACTAATTTAACCATCGGCTTTCTTCCATGGGACATGGAAGGGTCCATAATTTTCCAACGGTATCGCAACACCTGATATCTGGCATTTACCAGTCTTCACACTGTAGAGAACTATAGATTCGGCGGAGTTATAATCAATGACCATTCCGACTTCATTTGCCTTCATTTCACTGTGAGTACAAGTCTTGGGTTGACTTGTATCGTATGTTGGGAAGAAAGGGGGAGAGAGAAGGATAACTCACTCAACCGACGAGGCATCCACCACCACGAAGAACCCCGTATATACATATCCATATTCTCAACCTTGAAGGCTTTGTACATTCCTCCCCTAAGTCTGTCGTAATGATACTCACCTACATCGTTAGTGTAGCGGTCATTCGAGTATATCCGTGAGTAGAATGCGAAGCCGCAGATGTAACATTGGTGTAAATCTTCATCAACTACGTGTGGGCTATCGTCGTACAGACCATCGCTTTGTTCGTCGCCGGAGGATCCATAAATGGAAGAGGAATCGTCGGAGAGGGTGTGGTGTTCTGGGACGGCCTTCTTAGGCATTTTCGCTATTCTTGTCGTACTAAAGATATATTTCAAGTAGTCAATTGGATGCACCTTGGGATGGTTAGGAGACAGTGGAGAGTTGAAGTAGAGTAGTTATAGAAGCTACAAGCATGTTCAAAGTAATCGTGACATACTCACGGAGGATTCATTAGAGTCTAAAAAATCCCCAAAACGGAGTACTTCCCCTCAGCTTACTGATGCCATCATGATACTACTGGCAAACCAGCCAGATTCAGACTACTTGGACAACCATGGCAACATCAAAAATCAAAACTTATCTTTCAGTCCTTCAACTCGACAATTACCTCTGAAGAGCATCATCGCTGGATATAAAGTCCATAGATCATTATGGCCTGATAAATATGGCATCACCTTCGGATAACCCGCCCACTTTTCCGGTGCATCAGTGCGCAATTAACAGCCGGACTCGGATATGCACGCCATTGATTGATCCACCAATAATGCTTATCCCCGGCTTCATCCTCTCCCCCACGGTCTGCAGCTGCTGTGTTACCCCCACGCGGGGTATGGGGGGACTGCGAGCTGTTATCCTTGGAGATCTAGAATCATATGGCGTGGGGGTGCTACATAAATACTATGTCCAGCTACAGCGTCATCGCAAAAGCAAGCAGCACATTGCTAATTCAATTTACCAAGAAACATGGCTCCCATCAAGTCCATCGAATACTTTCGCGTCAAGCCGCGATGGCTATTCGTCAAGGTGACAGACAGTGAAGATAAGTTTGGATGGGGTGAAGCTACGCTTGAGGGGCATACGCAGGCTGTGGAGGGTGCGTTGGATGAGATTATTGGGAGGATTGTTGGTTATGAGGCCGAGTATGTTTTCTCTGCTTCCATTTATTCATTCTGCCTTGGTGCTAATGGCGCAGTGACATCGAGCACGTCTGGCAGACAATTTGGAGACTTGGCTTCTATCGCGGCGGTCCGGTTTTCATGTCCGCCCTGTCGGGCATTGATATCGCGTTGTGGGATTTGAAAGGTCGGAGGTTGAACGTACCCGTCTACCAGCTTCTCGGCGGCAAGGTACGCAACAAGGTTCAAGTTTATGCTTGGATTGGAGGTGACCGGCCAAGTGATGTTGAAGTAGCTGCGTAAGTCACTTCCCATTTGCTTCTCTTTGATTCATCTAACAGTACCCAGCAAGGCCCGTATCGCGCAGGGCCTCAAGTGCGTTAAGATGAATGCTACAGAGGATATGAACTGGCTGGACTCGCCATCTGTACTAGACTCTTGCATTGAGCGCATCAAACAGGTCAAGGCCCTTGGTCTTGATGCTGGCCTTGATTTCCACGGCCGTTTACATCGCCCCATGGCAAAGCAGCTCGCCAAAGCACTTGAACCCTACCGTCCTTTGTTTATCGAGGAGCCTTTGCTCGTTGAACACCCCGAAGCTATCAAGCAGCTTTCTCAACACACAACTATTCCAATCGCATTTGGTGAACGTTTATATACTAGATGGGATGTTAAGCGGTTCCTCGAAGATGCGTCGGTCGATGTGCTGCAGCCGGATATCGCGCATGCTGGTGGAATTTCAGAAACAAAGCGCATTGCGACGATGGCGGAGACGTATGACGTGGCGATTGCGCCGCACTGTCCCCTCGGTGAGTTCCCCCTGTTCTTTGCACTCCTTCTGTGTGTGACCCATGCTAATCAAATGCTCAGGTCCAATTGCCCTTGCAGCTTCAATGCAAGTTGCTCTTTCAACCCCGAACTTCGTCATCCAAGAGATGTCGCTTGGAATGCATTATAATGTTGAAGCCGGAGATATTGATCTCACAAGCTACCTGACGAATCCAACAGTGTTCAACATCGAGGAGGGGTATGTGCCAGCGCCCACAGGAGCGGGGCTGGGGGTGGAGATTGATGAGGAGTTGGTGAGAAAAATCAGTCGGGAAACGGAGCCATGGCTACCGAAGGAATTCTATGGCGTCGATGGGGGAATCCGAGAGTGGTAGATAGCTCAGACTTGTAGGCCAGGATGTGGGGGTGATTGCGGAGGTGATCTGCATCGTGACATCTTTATATGCGGGGAGCGTGGGGGTGCCTCGGATATCTGTCCGAATACATATACCAGCTACAGCTCATAGTAGTACTAGTAACATAGTCTTCGCAAGCCATACGCAAATACATTGACTCAATCAACCGTGAATAATGGACCTATTCTCCCTCGAAAACACAACCGCCCTTGTCACCGGCGGCACCCGCGGTATCGGCCAGCAAATGGCCATTGCCCTCGCCGAAGCCGGCAGCGACGTGATCCTCGTCCAGGTATCCACTACCATCACTACCTACAATACACCAAATAGCAGCTTAAACTGATACAAAATAGAGAGACACATCCAACACCGAAACCAAACAACGCATCGAATCCCTCGGCCGCAAAGCAACCATCTACACCGCCGACCTCTCCTCCCGGGAGTCCGTCTCACAACTCACGCCTACCCTCCTATCCGACGGCCACGACATCAGCATCCTAGTCAACTGCGCCGGCATCCAACGCCGGCATCCCAGCCATTTATTCCCAGACAGCGACTGGGACGAAGTCCGCCTTCCTACCCCTCCCTCCCCTCTTCTCAAATCCTCCAGTCCACTAACTGAAAGAAATATATCCTTAGGTCCTCCAAACAAACCTAACCACAATCTTCACCCTCTGCCGTGACCTTGGCGCCTACATGCTCACCCGCACCCCAGACGCCACCGGCCACCGCGGCTCCATTATCAACGTCGCCTCGCTGGTCTCCTTCCAGGGAGGGATAACAGTCCCTGCGTATGCGGCTGCGAAGGGCGGCGTGGCGCAACTCACGAAAGCGTTGTCGAATGAGTGGGCGAGCGAAGGAATTAATGTCAATGCGGTGGCGCCGGGATATGTGGCTACGGAGATGAACACGGCGTTGTTGAATGATCAGGATCGTGCGAGGAGTATACTTGAACGCATTCCGGCGGGGAGGTGGGGCACCGCAGAGGACTTTAAGGGCGTTACGGTGTTCTTGGCTGGGAAGGCGAGTCGGTATGTTTCGGGGAGTGTGTTGTTGGTTGATGGGGGGTGGATGGGGAGGTAGTGTTTCATCTTCCTTGTCCTCGGTTATAGTACAGCCTATAGAAGGAGAGATACTTCCCTAGAACTTGCTAGCTTTGGGGGTTTAGAATGTCGGCTGCGTAAATAATGATATCCTGTTACCAGAGAGAGAGGAGTAAGTCTAAGAAAGTGCTGTTATGCAGCACTTGTCTACTTCAATATATGAATATACATATATTCTGCTTATTGCATGCTGTACCATCTATTCTACGTTTTGTCTTTCCCCAAGAATAGAATATATATAAACTGCCTTGAAATGTCTTAGTAGCCTTGAACTGTGACTAAGATTGGATGGAAGTATTATGAAACTGGATAGATCTGCAAGGTATGTATCCGCTAGAAGTCTTTCTTTTCACTCCTTATCTTCTTCTTTATTCTTTTATTTTTTATTTTTATTTTTATTTTTATTTTTTTTTTTTCAATTAACATGAGAATCAAACTGACTAGTATGTAGATGCCTGCCATGCGGCTACCCAGCTTGCTCACTGACCTCTGGGTTTACTGGACCGTAGCGTGACTGACCGATCTGTTTCTTATGTCTGGAATAGGTGGCTATAACCTGGGTGATATGCATGTGTCATGCCATTATGGTATACCTTTTTAAAAAGACCTGGTTGCATGCTCGGAACCTAGATGAGCACACACTCTTTTGGCTGCAATCGGAAGTGGAGCCGTATGTTGAATTTGTTTGAATCAAGCAAGAGGCCCACACGGTCACGTCTGGTAGCCTGTATCATATAGATAAGCTTATAGTCTAGTTCCTTGTGTCTAACGGCTATAGTGCACACGGAATGATGCTGCCTGGAGATACCTACGTAAATAATCTTTACACATTGATATTCGTATACGGAAGTGCAAATGACTGAAAATCATCATGACTATATCAAGATCTCGTCTCGAGGTCACTTTGAATATGTGCTAGGCAATGTGATCTGGCCAGAAGTCCGGTACTCTCTTGAGTTTTGATGGTTTAGTATTTAAAACGATATAGTAGTAGGAGGTTCATATGAACTCCCCTGCATACGACACTCACTGGATTCTCACTATCGGGATGACAACAGTAGTAGGTCGGAGATATATATCTAACCACAGGACTAGTATTACCTCCTGAGACACCAATGAAGCATACCTTGCTCCTGCTTCCACACAAAATATAAATTCAGTTCAGTTCAGCTCATGATATTGCCGTGTAGTCGGCAGCTGGATGATTTTTGAAACCACATCGATTCGGACAACTGCCGACTACTGCCAAAAGGGGAAAAGCAGGGTCTGGCCTGTGCTCGACAATATTTCCAAATCAGGACTAGTGTAAGTCATTAGATCAACAAGCTTGCGGAGACTAAACCTAATATGGCAATACCGCTGCCCTGATCCCCACCTGGACGTATGTTCGAACTTCGAAGACGAAGAGTTCGTCAACTTCTCTGCTGCATGTTCTTGCACAATAGTTCCATCGGTTTCGGTTTTTTTGATAAATCAAGAAGTCAACTGCTGTTATATCCGAGATCTACACTTCTTCCTGCCGCATCTAGTCATCTAGCGGAAGACTCTGATCGTACGATGACGAAGCCTTCCATTTTTCATATGCTTTGCACAACGTTGACTAGCAGGGTTTTCCCTTGACCTGTGTATCTTCATTTACGCTAAGAGTACTTGAGAAATTACCTGAAGATATAGCCATCATGGAAAAACTGTTGCCTATCTCATCTATCATTTCATGCGGCTAACCTCCATGTGCTACAGGAAATGCAGGATGGGGAGATAAAATACAGTACACAATACTAATCCTGACTGCTTGCGCCTTGTTACAAGGTAAGATGGGGCGGCGCAGGGCCCACCAGCTGTTTTTTATGATCAGCTACTACTAGTATAAGCTTATTTATAATTGGGTATCACCGGACCCCCCTCCTACGCATCTCTGTCCAGCAACCATATGCAATAGTGCCTCTTCTCAAAGTAGAGAAATAACACTGCAACACTGTGCACAAGTCCCAGTTTTAGGACCATTGAATATGCAGCCCTGTGCATAAGTGCCTTTTTTAGAGCAGTCGCCCTGCAACCATGTGCAGTAGCGGCATATTTAGAGCCATCAACCTGCAACCATGTGCATAAGTGCCATACTTTAGAGCCACGAGTAGGCGGGCACTAAAATAGCGGTATCATGCCACTCCACCTGTTTAGTATGATCAAGTATGCGCCTGATTATGTTCGGAACCACCTGGGCGCTAAATTAGCAAGGCCTTGATGATCCTCCACCCCAAACGGCATACTTCTAGAATCTGGCTTTGGCCTACCAATCCGCTGGTTTGCTTCTCCACTCGCAACCCGGAATTCAATGAGAAACGCGCAATCAGTGGATTCGACATAACTTGCCCCTGAAGCATCCCATCTTCACATCATCAGACATTGGAAGCCTTATCGTCCCACTTCTCGAAACAACTCCTGACGCGTCAGTCTCAATCATGGATGCCTATTTCTCGTTCCCTGCACGGAAAACCCAGATCGGACGAACCGGCTCCATCGGCTGCTTAAATACAGAATGAAGATCACTTCCTTCTGAAAAAGCAAACCTTTCCGTTCTTTTCATCATCAAGATGCGTCTTTCACTTCTCCTGGCGGGCGCCATTAACCTGGTTGCTACCCAGGCTATCGCAACCTCGCGTTGTACTCCTGAGACCTTCACTCCCCATCTTTCTTCCAACGCCTCTCTCGTTTACGCAGTTCCATATGGACCCAACGATACCTTTGTTGGCCCGCTGGGCAACTACTCCGGTCTCCCGGAGTACTGCGCCGTCTACGTTAACGTGAGCTCGTCTGCTACCTCGTCCTACGAATTCGGCCTTTGGCTGCCCATCAACACTTGGAACAAGCGCTACATGGCCTATGGCAATGGTGGCTTCACTGGCATGATCGCCTTTGCTGATATGGCACCCGGTCTTTTCTACGGTTTTGCTACCGTCTCCACGAACACTGGACACAACTCCTCCGTGACCGAGGCTGGCGATGCAGGCTGGGCTCTCAACGACCCTGAGACTCGTACTGACTGGGGATGGCGTGCACTCCATGGCTCTGTCGCTCTTGGCAAGGAGCTTACTGAGGCCTTCTACAGCGAAGATATCAGCTATTCCTACTACGCCGGTTGCTCCACTGGCGGTCGCCAGGGTCTGAAGTCCGTCCAGATGTTCCCTGACGACTTCGATGGTGTCCTCGCCGGTGCTTGCGCTTGGTGGACCACCCATCAGCAAAACTGGGATCTCAAGCTCGCCACCTACAACCTCCCCAACAATGCCAGCCACCACATCACCGAGACTCAGGTGGATGCTTTGGCCACTGAAGTCCTCCGTCAGTGCGACGAAGTTGATGGCGTCAAGGATAACATTATCATGAACGGCTATGCCTGCGACTTCCGTCCTGAGACCCTTCTTTGTGACGGTCCCTCCGCCAACAAGTCGACCTGTTTCACCGCCGATCAGATCGACACTGTCTACAAGATCTACAGCCCCTGGGTTGAGACCAACGACTCCTTTGTCTTCCCCAGCTTCGCCTACGGTGCCGAAACCCAGTTCGCTCAGATGATCATGACCGACGACGACGAGCAGGACAGCCCCAGTGGTATTGCCTACCCTCGTGACTTTGTCTACAACGATGCCAACTGGCCTTGGCAAAACCTGGACTACTCGACCATTGAGCTGTCCGATCGACTGGACCCCGGTAATGCCACCGCCGGTGACTTCGATCTCCGTCCCTTCAAGAACAAGGGTGGTAAGCTGATCCATTACCACGGATTTGCTGACGGAGAGATCCCCACTGGCTCCAGCATCTACTACTACAAGCAGGTCCAGAAGATGCTTACCCCTCTTGGCATCGATCTCGACGACTTCTACCGCTTCTTTTTGATCCCTGGTATGGAGCACTGCTTGGACTCCGTCCACGATGCTCCGTGGTACATCGCCTCGGCTAACCAGCCCGGCGGCCTGACCGGCACCAATGTCTGGGGTGTGCCTGGTTACCGTGACCGGAAGCATGATGCCATCCTGGCTTTGATGGCCTGGGTGGAGAATGGCATCGCTCCTGATGAGCTGATCGCGACCAAGTTCGTTGATGACACCCCCGCGGAAGGTGTGCAGGCTCAGCGCCCTCTCTGCGTCTACCCCAAGGAGGCCAAGTATGTTGGAGGTAACTGGAACAAGACCAGCGCGTTCGAGTGCCGGTAATATGGTTATTCCTGAGGGTTTATTTAAGCAAGGTTTTGGCCTCTAGGGAGTATGCAACCTGAAGATACATATTATCTCTTCTATGTATGATATAGTTATCATTAGTACATATTAAAGCATATATTGAGTTTATTATCAATCTGTTCCCTTCATTATCAAAGCAATTGATAAGCATATTCACAGTAAATCAGCTTGGTCCATAATCAGTAGACAACAGTGATCACCAGTCACCAAGATCATACCCCTACTTCCTCCCACTTTCATAAGCACTAATGGGGAAACTATCGACGAAATACTATATGGGAGGCTCAAATTGAAGCCAGTTTAGCTTTATACATGGCGGAGAATGATATAGACTCTAAAAATACGAGTGTCATCTCTCTAATATTCGATTCGCCAGAATGCCTCATTTGCTAGAAACCACATGTTCCTCAGCCACACCGATCTTGGCTGAGTCCCGCTGCAGCCTTGCATCGCCGTTCCTCATGCTTTTCCACATTATCAATAACCCACTTCACCACAAACCAAACGCTACATCCAGCAATGCTCAGCACATTAGGCAGCCTTTTAACCCTGGCGGGTCTCTTTCAGCACGAGTATAAAGTAGCAAAATACTTCCCAAATTCCATGCCGGGTCAGTAATTCGCTCTCCGCACCATACACATACTGACTTCATCCAGATCGGTTCTCAAAGACCTCGCAATAGCCCTCAAACCGAGACTATGACAAATAAAGGGATTATGAACGGCTTTGATACCTTTAGTATCACGCAAGGTGTCGGCCAACAGACCTATTAGTTACATCGTCTTGTGTGTTCACGTGACTGACAAAAGCTAGACGGGACAAAGGGAAGTCTCCGGAACCATCTCAAAAGAGCCCATACAGATATCGCATTCCAAGATCACAAATAGAACCTATATGGAGATTTTTTTTCATTTCTACGCATACTACCCATTCCACCGTCAAGCCAACCGGAGCAGTAAAATCGACGCAATGGCTTTCAGCGCATTGCATCGCAGAATATGCGTATGACCCTGAGGTTTTCGGACAGAGGAACAACAGACATGTCAATGCAGACCCTCAAGCCTCACCCCCACGTTATTTTAGCCACCCATGACGTTGATGGAGCTGGATGTCCGACGGCGGCGGTGGGTGCATTTATCCCCGGTTTGCGGAACGATCAGTACCAGCATAAACCATGTACAGTGGTCTTCCAACTTGAACCGGCATTCTCAACTCCTCAGATGCCTCCAGCCTAACACAACGCTTGTGGAACTAGTCAAGGGAAAGGGAGATACGGAGAGTGGTACCGATGGCCTACATATTGACCCAGACGCCGAGTTAGTTACACTGAGCTGGGCTAAAGGATTGGCAATACATCCGGTGTGGGTTGCCAGAATGTTACATGTGTTGGTGGTACGGCAGCAGGAGGTGATTGGGACGTCGTGTTGAAACCCGCACGGGTGACTGCTTACAGCATAATTTGATCTCAGAACAGACCGCTGAAGGGAAAGGAACCTACACGTCAGGCCATGGAAGGATCACGGTACGTCCATGGTCTGAGAAACTTTTCCACTGAAATCTATCCCAATGCTAAAAGTTACGAAGGGACAGAAATTGAGTCACTCCTTCCGGTGGAAAGGCCTACCATGTATAGGCATGTGGTCATCAAAAGCGAAGCGGGAGTATTTCCCGCGATGTTGACCCCGAAAAAGCCTATTCCACGTCTGGGGTACCATCACCGATTGAACGCCATCAAGGAGTTATATGATACAATCCTGCAATCAGTCGTGCTTTTCCAGCCCAGGTATTTAGTCTGGCATTTTTGGGCACGGTTCCCCATGGAAACATGCTGTTCAGCGGTATAAGACCATACTGAAATAATCTGCCGGCACATTTCTCTTGATCCCTTGCTTCGTTGAACGTCGACGTAACTATAAGATACAGTGAATACCATATTGCCGCGCCCAATAACATCTTTCTGGTTCAGAACCACTGAATGACTTACGTTTCCGTTGAATCACCATGAACACCCCTGTGACGCCAAAATTTGGCGATCAAGAACTCGCCTCAGTCTTGCCAGCTGTCACTTGGTGGCGCAGTCCTCACCTTCGCAAGGTGAATCTTTTTATGGTCATCCTATCCCTTTTTTGTAAGTCACATACCTTCCTCTACAATCTTGCATTGATGGCATTCCTAACTGAGCAGCCATAGCTTCTCCGGGCGGGTTCGATGGCTCCTTGGTCAATGGCCTGCAGGCTATGCCAGAGTGGGTCAACTTTATGGAAAAGCCATCCAGCACTTGGCTTGGCTTCATCAATGCGGTGTACTGGGTTGGGGCATTAATTTCCACTCCAGTCGCTGCCTGGACGTGTAACCGATATGGCCGGCGGGTAGGAGTCTGGGTTGGGGTTATTTTTCTAATATCCGGAGCAACAATGGGCACTGCTGCGTCGTCCGCCAACGTCTTCACTGCGTCTCGTGCCGTGATTGGTTGTGGTATGGGATGGGTAAGCAACGCGGCTCCTATCCTACTCAGTGAGATCGCCTACCCTGCACATCGTGGTGTCTTTGGGGCACTCTACATGGTCGGCTATTACCTTGGAGCGGCCGTCGCGGCGTGGGTCACCTTCGCAACACAAGCGTATGACGGCCCCTGGGGCTGGAAATTGCCGGTTCTTCTACAGCTCCTCCTTCCTCTCATAGCTGTTCCTGGTCTTGCGTTCATTCCCGAGAGCCCCCGGTGGTTGATATCTAGGGGACGTATCGAGAAAGCTCGTAGAATTCTAGCTGAGCTACACACTGGTGGGGATACTACTTCACCTCTCATCGCGTACGAAGTCCAGAATATTCAAGAGATTATTCGAGCGGAGTACAATGCGGCTGCTTCAGCAGGGAGCATGAGCGTTATCAAGTCCCCGGGAAACCGCCATCGGCTCTTCATCACCATTACCCTCGGGGTATTTGCACAATTTTCGGGCAACGGGGTAGTCTCCTACTACCTTACCGTGATATTAAGATCTGTCGGGGTCACACAAACGCGCGATCAGTTATTGATCTCCGCCTGCCTGCAAGTCTGGAACGTCCTTTTCGCGGCGGTTGGTGCCTCGCTGGTGGACCAAATTGGGCGGCGTATTTTGTTCATAACCTCAGCGAGCATCATGCTGACCGCGTTTATCCTGATAAGTGGGTTGTCGGGCGCCTTTGCCACCAGTGGCAACGGTCCAGTCGGTATTGCAGTTATCCCATTTCTGTTTATTTACTTCCTGGGATATGATATCGCTCTGTAGGTGTTTCAGCAACCCATACATCCCATGCTCCTCTATGCTCCTCTATTGTGATTATTTTCCCTTGATGTATGCCCGGACTAATGCTTGCTGCTAGAACGCCTATGTTCACTGCGTATACATGCGAAATCTGGCCCTTTGGCCTCCGCTCACGGGGACTCAGTATCGTATGGCTGTCTGCCATGGGATGTACGGTATTCAACACGTTTGTCAACCCGGTCGCCCTTTCGGCCATCCACTGGAAATACTATTTCGTGTTCGTGGCCGTGTTGATTGGGTACTGGTTCACAGCGTATTTCTTTTACCCAGAAACTCGCGGATACAGCCTCGAGCATATAGCCGGCATTTTTGACGGGAAAGATGCCAAAGTGAAACAAGGAATTGAAGAGAAAACTAAGCCGATGGCTGGACCAGTGGCTACAGAGTCGGAAGATGTACATGGGTAAGTTGCAGATTACCATGCTGGAGCACTGCCAGTAATGGAGTTAGACTAGAGCACTTGTATGAGACAAGCAGGTATGTTCGATGATAGCAACCGAATCAGTGAGTCAATGGAATACTCTAACTATTCCAGATCGTACCTGAAGAAGAGAAGCCTCTTTGCTTCCAGTAGAACATATGAACTCCATCATCTTTTCGGTAATCCCATCCTAACGGCAACACAATATTCTGTTATCTCCTCACCATCATCCAAACCCCTAACCAATCCTAGAAACTTGTGCTATTAGTAGTAACCGCAACATCATCCGACACACCAGCTCTGCAGAATGTATACTCGCGAAACCCTACCTCTACATTCCGGACTCTGCGTAGAGGCATGTTACCTGGTGCATCCAATTCCTAACACCTCCCATCTATAAAGAATCCAATAAGTCGAGTTTAGACCCTCCTGAGCCGAAGCACATGCCATACTATCCGGCTCAGAACAGCTACCAAAATAACCCGACATGGCTTCGAATCCGCCGGTATCTGTGCAACCAGGCATGTGCAGATCGGTGTCTAGTACCTGCTACTGGGTCGTGGACGGGATATTACTACTTCTAAACAGTGACAAGCAGGTTGGGTGGAATGTCTGTGTCTGTTGATTCGAGTGCTTGGTTTCGCTGGTGATCCCCAACCTATCGTGGAGCATGCAGTTTGAGTTGTGGGTTCCAGTATATTCTCTCCTTCTCGATTACTCATACACGGTGTATCAATGACAGAAAGTCTACCTTTTATTCTTAGTCGTGGCCTGTCATACACACGTTTTAACCTCAACGGTCTCATTATCTGAGACAAGGGGGTCTGGTTCATATTATTGAATATAGGAAGGAGATGCTGTGGGACTGTTGCACAGATGTTTTTTTCTAGGATATTTCATTAAATATATACTATTTTGCTGAGGCGGATGAAGAGTAGAGGTGGAAAATAGGTCTCTAGGCGCGATGTTGTGGTGGGATACTAGTTGGATTTGGCCAATCTATAGTGATGTGGTTGTAAGGGGTCTGGCATATTCTCCTTGGGAAATCAACACTAAGTACTGGAAAATTAGAAGTCAACAAGCTTGCAGTAGAGGCTATAAGCCCACCACCCCGTCTTCAAATCACCAATTCAAACTACAAATCTATAGATCAACATGACTAACCATATCAACCCCGCGATAAGCTAGTGGGGCACCACATCACGTGTCCCCTCACCCACCAAGCTACCCCTCCCATCACCATCATCACCACCAGCTCCATCACAACCCAATTGACTCATCCCCTTCACAAATCAAACCGTCCACATACAAACCTACCTCCCCGAGGAAATAAACAAAATGCCCACCCTCCAAACCAGCACCCTCGCCTTCCTCGGCGGCGGCAACATGGCCTCGGCCATCATCTCCGGCCTGCTGCGCCAATCCGTGCCCGCAACCAACATCCACGTCTCCGAGCCGTGGGAAGTCAACCGGAACAAGATCGCCGCACTGGGCGTAAACACCACGACATCCAACACCGAGGCCGCCTCCGCCGCCGACGTCGTCATTCTGGCCGTGAAGCCGCAAGTCGCGAAGACCGTGTGCGAGGAACTCCGTCAGGAATGGACGGCCACGGCGCGGGAGAAGTTCCCGATTGTGGTGAGCATTGCGGCGGGAATTATGTTGGAGAGTTTGCAGAAGTGGTTGAGTGTTGAGGGTGGGAAGGTGGCGCCGGTGGTGAGGGTGATGCCGAATACGCCGGCGTTGGTGACGGAGGGGGCTAGTGGTGCGTTTGCCGGGGTGGAGGTTAGTAAGGAGGATAAGGGGTTGGTTGAGGCGTTGTTGGGTAGTGTGAGTCGGGTTACGGAGTGGGTGGATAAGGAGGAGTTGTTGGATGTTGTTACGGGGTTGTCTGGTATGTCTTTCTCTTTTCTCTTTCTTCTCCTCTTTCTATGTTTCTGTCTATTATCTACTTAGAATGGGGATGGTGAGGCTAATGTTTGGTGTGATAGGATCCGGTCCGGCGTATTTCTTCGCTATGGTTGAGCATCTTGTTGCTAGTGCGACTGCTCTCGGTTTGACGAAGGAGCAGGCTACGAGGCTGGCGGCGCAGACTTGTCTCGGTGCTGGAAAGATGCTCGTTGAGTCGGATGATGAGCCCGCACAGCTGAGGAAGAACGTTACTAGTCCGAATGGCACGACGTATGCCGCGTTGCAGACTTTTGAGAAGCTGAACTTTGCGGATATCGTGGATCAGGCGGTTAAGGCGGCGACGGATAGAGCTGCGGAGTTGGGTGAGAGCTTGGGAAAGCAGTAATGTATGATATTCTGTCATGAGGTATGGGTTGTATGTGAGACGATAGCAATGCCGTGCTCTGTCTATTTCGGTGTCATGCAAGCGTGTATGTATCACGCTTTGTAACTCCACATTTAGATATCTACCTGCCTGGGAAACTTCAAAACATCAGTGTGCCCGTCATTCCTCTCTTATACACACCCAACCAGGGCTGATCGAAACGCGGCTTAATATTAACCCGGATGCTGATGTTGACGGCCGTCGTTTTGGAATGCGCGCCATGACCATGCTCATGATCTGACTCGCAGATTTGCCTCTCCTTCTACACGGCTGCATACTTTATTGCCACTCATAAGCTCATCATTTACCAAGTTCTCTCTAGTATCCTTGTAATCATGGGGTCGGGATTTCGTGATGATCTGCTGCAAAGCTATTCAGATGCACAACTAATCCAGCACATCCTTTCCTCCCCATCACCTCCATCTTCCTTCGACGTATCTCTGCTTTCTTCACGATACATTGCCAAGACTACAAGTATCGCGGAAGCCGAAGACACTGCACAAGCTATGGAAATCGCCCATCAACTCGGAATCCGCGGTCCTTCTCTACAGAGGATGGTCATAAATGGGCCAAATGCGCACTATGTCATGGATAGAATCGAGGGCACTACTTTGGATAATACTTGGACGACGCTGGGTTGGTTTGCCACAATCAAGCTGGCTTTACAGCTTCGCCGCTTTGTGCGTATCTTGCGATCAGTCACCTCATCCACTGCCGGATCTCTAGCAACGGGCCAGTGCCGGTCCTTCTATCTTGAAGATCGCTTCGGCCTTCCTCCGCGATCTACACCATCTGATTTCGCAGAATTCTTCCGATTTTGGGCCAACTTCAGAGGCATGCGACAGGCAATGCAAGTCGCAAAGCAGGGTCAGAAACTTAGCGGTGCAGAATATGTTCCCCCAACTCAGGGAAACTTCGTTCTGACGCATCATGATCTCGCTCCGCGGAATCTCCTTGTTTCTCCTTCTGGGCAGCTGTGGCTGCTTGATTGGGAGTTGGCTGGTTTCTATCCAATCTACTTTGAGTATGCCGGGATGCTTAACTTTGATATGCACTCGACGTGGACCGTTTGGGATCGTCTACGCTGGTACCTGTTTACATGGATTGCAGTTGGGTCCTATAAGCATGAAGCTCGTGTGCTCGAAAGTATGAGGTCGCATTTCACTAGCTTCGCCGTTGCGAGAAGGTTTGAGCTGCTAGAAATCGGAGGACCCTCCCGAGTCCCGGCATCCTAGATCCACCCATATGTCGCATATATTTTCAGTGGCATTGTTGGTTTATTTGGGACCCTGTTGGGACATCATGAGCTCCTAGTTTGAGTAGCGGATTACTGGATGTCAGGTCCGCTTCGCGCGCAGCCTCCGGGTAGAATAGGCGCCAGCTTCTCCTTACGAATCACAGCACTTTCTTTCTCAGATGAGCATTCTAGGACCCTCCATTTGTTTCGCATGGCCAACTATCATTGGACATATTTGTGCCGCTGCGGGAAGTTGCGAAATCCATTCGCGCATTGCTCTCCTGATACAAGCTACAAACATTAACAAGGCATTTTCGAGTACATGCAAAACTGCGGGCACTTACTGCAACCAATATCCATGTACGCCGAGCCCCAATGGATAGTTGTTTCTATATTTGCTAATTAAGCGCCAACAAATATGGTACATTCACCACCGACTGAGGCCCAATCATTTGCATACCGTCAAGAGTCCTGTCCTATGATCGTGAGCACTCCGGCTGGTAATCATTGAAATACACCACAGCAATCGACCCTAGCTAACCGTTTGCAGACAAAGTGAATTCCAACTATAACACTGATGACTTGGAGCAGGAGCACCTTCAGAGCTCTGTCTCGGTCATCCACCTTTGTGCTTACAAGAACGAGCAGAATGCAGGCGACGACGATGGAAACCCGCCCACCAACCCCTCGGCTGCTTTCCTGCAGCTCCCTCCTAACCAATCTATCAGACTGGACATGTGTTGTGTCGTTCTTGTTTTGAGTTCCATCATGTATATACTTCGCACTCACGTGTAATTTGTTCTGGAGCAATTTTCTCCATCCATAAGCTGTTAGTCAAGCCTTCTGCCTCTTTTACAGAGTCGCACTACCCCACATAAGGAACTCTAGATCTGCAATTCAATAACAAGAGATGATATCATCCTCCCTCGAGTACTTCATTCGCTGTGACTTCCATCTGCAAGCCAGGGACTAGCTACCAACTTATCGTATCCCACCACTTAATTTAATAAACATACCGAAAGTTCAAGTTCTCCTTATCAGTCAAATCCCCAAACGCCACCACATCATCGCCATCCCCATTCCCAATCCCAACTCCATCCCCTCCCTCCCTCATCCTCATATTATCCCTCCTCCGATTCTCCCACGCCAAGACAACCCTCAAAACCACAATCAACGCAATTTCAATAAAGTTCGATACAACCATAGACCAAATCCCCAAGGTATACCGCGGCGCCTGCTCGGAACGATAGAAGAACGGGCCTGCAATGTTACCCGCACACACTCCGAGAAATATCATCGCATTCGTAACGACTTTCTTTGTATGGCCTGCGATATTTCCTGTTAGGATGGAGAGGATGAGTACGAAGGAGGCGTTGTATGAGCCTGTGAGATAATAACAGATCAGACGGCCCACTTGGTTAGTGGCGGGGAGGAAGGCGAGGCCGAAGGAGCCAGCGAGGTTGGGAAGGAGGAAGAAGATGGCGGTTAGGCAGCGGTTGTTTGGGGGGAGACGGTCGTTGATGAATACGGCGATGATGATCATGAGGGAGGTGAAGGCGCCGTAGGGAATTTGCATTAGGGTTGTTACCACTGTGGTTATGTTGTCAGGGTGAGAATATATAGTAGTTTGTAGGGATACTAAGGGAAGCAACGTACGGGTTGAAAAGCCGAATCCTTGAATGATCAGAGTGCCAAAGTTGGAGATTCCTCCATTGGGAATGTTCCCTGACAGGCCGAGGAGTAGAAATACCCAGACTTTCCAGTCGAGAAGGGCCTCCAGAACTTGTGTCGGCTTGAGGGTTTTATTTTCGACACCGGTTTGGTTGTCGCGGAGTCGCTCGATTGTTAGGCGCCTTTCTCGGGAGGAGAAAGTACGAGCATTGACGGGGGAATCAGGGAGGAATATTGTAATAAGAATACCCCAGAATGCACACAGGGCGCCGATGATGAGGAACTCGTACTTCCAGGAGGCGAGGGCACCATTGATCTGCCCGATGCCATACCCTAGCAGACCACCTAGGGCAATTCCAGCGCCATTAGCCGTGTACCAGATCCCAATGCGGATGGGCTGTTCGCGTCTTGTGTACCACATGCTAGTGATGAGCATGAAGGCGGGATCACTGAATGATCAGTTACTGGTGTCTGCATGCCGAGGATGATACTTACCTGCATGCTTCAGCGGCCCCCGATATCACCCGCAGAACAGCCAGTTGCGTGAAGTTCTTTGCGACAGCTGCTACTATTAGACAGACGGTCAATTGTAATTAGCAATGTACTCACCCTGTAACATCAAAAAGAACCCCCATAGAAAGATATTCACGCCCAGGTACTTTCCAACAGGAAAGCGCTGGAGGAGAAAGTTGGTGGGCAACGCCCAAACAAGGAAGCCAAAGTAGAAGACAGAGGACAGCCATGAGTATTGCTCTCCCGTTAACTTCAAATCCTCCTTGATTCCAAAGATGGCTGCGTATGATAGTGTGGTTTTGTCAATCTGTCCGTGTCAGAAGGTCCCGTTCGAGGAATCTGTAAACTCACGTAGTAGAATGCATAGCAGACTGAGAGAAACGGCAGGATGATCCAGTCTATCTTGCGGACAAGTTTCTTCAACTCAATGGGCTCGGCTGATTCTAGTTCACCGCCAGCTGCAAGGAGGGCGAGTGCTGTATCTCCATGGCTGACTTTGCTGGGGTGATGGATATCCTCGACATGCGAAGGGGACCGCTTGTGAGCATCTCCTGGGTGTTCCGTTGCCATGATGACTGCTCTTGCGGAGTTGGAATGAGATGAGGAGATCCATCGTTTGTAGGGCCGATGTATACAACCCCCAAGCCAAGACTGGGGTCAATGTTGGCGTGGGGGATCGGCATCACCCGCAGCGGATATTTCTCCGCATCTTGACCGGCTAATCCGGGGTTGGGGTATCGACTTGGCGAGGCCATTTTCTCCGCAGTTGACATTTGTTCTTCCTTCTTGACCTGAGTCACTATCTAAAGCATCATGTCAATACTGAGTCGAGAAGAAGTCGAGAAGCACTCCACACGCGAGTCGTGCTGGGTAGCTATCCATGGCTCTGTTTACGATGTCACTGGTAAGTTCAATTGGAGCAGTCATCTTCCAACCACTCACACCGCCAGATTTCCTCGATGAGCATCCTGGTGGTCCACAGGTGATTCTTCGCTGTGCGGGAAAAGATGGCACGGCAGACTTTGATTCAGTCCACGACAAAGACGTTCTCTCACAGGCCCTGGCCCCGTCGGCCCTCAAAGGCATTGTCCAACCAGACACTCTGGCGACAGCATCCCGACCCCTTCCCAAGACATCGGCAACAGCTGAAGAAAACCCTCCACCACCACTAAACAGTATAATCAACCTCAATGACTTCGAGAAGGTAGCACAGCAACATCTTTCCCCTCAGGCATGGGCATATTATTACTCCGGAGCCGACGATGAGATCAGCAAACGACAAGGTCAAAAGGCATACCAGAAGGTGTCTTTCCGGCCTCGCATTCTCCGCAGCATTCGCAACGTAGACACGTCCACCTCGATTTTGGGACAGCCCGTGTCGCTGCCAGTGTACATGAGCCCCTCCGGAATCGCCAAATTTGCTCATCCCGACGGAGAGTGCGCACTGGCCATCGCAGCTGGCGAGGAAGGATTGGCACAGGTGCTGGCAAATGGCTCCAGCATGTCTATTGATGCTGTGCGAGCGGCGGGGATCCACCCTAATCAACCGCTTTTCCAGCAGGTGTATGTCAATAAAGACATTAAAAAGTCGGAGGAGACAGTCCGACGGGCTGTGAAAGCTGGTGCTAGTGGTATCTGGATCACGGTCGATTCCCCTGTTGTTGGGAAGCGGGAAATGGATGAGCGATTGAATCTTGAAGTTCAGGTAAGATACTATGACGGCTCGAAGGCAGAGTCTAACATCTTCTACAGGCGCGCGACTCGTCTGCCAAAGGACAAGGTGTCGCAAAGACAATGGCCAGCTCCATCTCGCCGTACATTGACTGGGAGATTCTCACATGGCTTCGCGGTCTCACCGATCTACCGGTGGTGATTAAGGGGATCCAATGTGTGGAAGATGCTGTTTTGGCATATCAACATGGGGTACAGGGAATCGTCCTGTCCAACCATGGTGGCAGGTCCCAAGACACGTACGTGGGATCCCATTCACAGATATTGTATTCCACAGGCTCACCCGCAGCAGCGCTCAACCTCCACTGGTCACTTTACTCGAGATCCGACGATATGCACCATACCTGATCGAAAGTAACATGCAAATTTTCATTGATGGAGGCATTCGACGTGGAACAGATGTCCTGAAGGCCCTTGCATTAGGAGCAACTGCTGTTGGGCTTGGGCGACCATTTCTGTTCAGTCTGGCAGCCGGCTATGGAGCAGATGGGACCCGCCGGGCCATTCAAATCTTGCGGCAGGAAATTGAAATGAACATGGTGTTCCTGGGCGTGACAAAGCTGTCGGAATTGGGGCCTCATTTGGTGAATTCAATGAGGCTGGAACGAGATGTAGTTGGCTCGGTTAAACTGTGAAGAGGCAGGCTTCTGTAGATTACTGGATATGAATATCTCCCCAATTCATATCGCATTGTTCACATCCAGGCACAGCCTTAACCAGGACACAGACCAGTTCGCACTAAATGGAATTAAGAGGGGCATGGGCTGACCAGTGCATATTAGTGCGTAAGCACTATTCCCCATGTAACTGGCACGGGCTTATCGAAGCCATTCGGATCGCGGGAACACCGCGGAACTAATCTGGCTGGTGGATGTCACAACGATGCTTGTGCTCAGTTCCCCTCCCTGCTAAATTTCACCCGGTACCTGATTATTGCACTACTTCAACCCCCTCATCCGGCCACGTCCATCTTTCTTTTTACGCCCTCCAAAAATATTTTATCCATTCACTTACTTTCTAACACACTCCCAATTTTCAAGTCAACCAAATGGCTACCCCCGCAGAAGCTCAGACAGCTCCCTTCGGCACTTGGGACAGTCCCATCACAGCCGCAACCCTGACGTCCAAAGGCATCAGTTTCTCCGGCATCGCGGCCACGGTTCGTCCCCTTCTCCTCTGTATCCTACTACGTCCGAATTAAATTGACCTCTCCCTGCAGGCGGATGGTACCATCTACGTGAATGAAGGCCGCCCTGCCGAAGAAGGTCGCAATTGTATCGTCGAATGGCGCAACAACCAGCCCCGTGACGTTTTACCAGCTGCCTACAGTGCCCGCACAGCCGTCCACGGCTACGGCGGCGCGGCGTTCAACATCACGTCAGACGGAAAGGTGATCTTCGCAGACTGGAAAACTCACGGTGTGTATATCCTTGATCCTGCCACTTGTGATGTAACAGCAGCCGTCGAGCCAGACGAAAAGATCTGGTACGCTGCGTTCAATTCCCACCCCAAGAGACCAGAATTGGTGTTTGCTATCAGGGAGGATCACCACGGCAAGGAGGTGGTCAATGAGCTTGTTGTAATCAATACCGGGAATAAGAAGGTGGAGGTTGCAGCGACGGGAGCGGACTTTTACTCGCATCCCACGTTCAGCCCTGCTGGTGATAGAGTGTCTTGGATCCAGTGGAACCATCCCGAGATGCCGTGGACGGGAACTGAGTTGTTTTCCGCGCCGTGGAAGGATGAGAAGGTTGGAACCCCTGTGAAATTGGCAGGGAATGGCGATGAAGAAAGTATCTTGCAACCGAGATGGGGACCAGACGGAACCTTGTTCTTTGTGTCGGATCGCACTGGATATTGGCAGTTTTATCGCTGGAGCCCGGAAGGAAGTGATGAGCCCCGTGCTATCGTTATTGAAGGCCTGGAGAAGGGCGAGTTCGCTCACCCAGAATGGCTCCTGGGATCGTATGACTCCTAACCCTCTTGCTCACATAGTCTATATCTAACACGATGCAGTTGCACATATGTTCTTCCAAACGCCAACACAATTGTTGCAGCCTGGACGCAGAACGCAACGGAGCGTCTCGTCATCATTGACCTCGAGAAAAACACCTATACCTTCCCCGCCCACATCGCATCGCTCACTGGCATCCAACACAGCGCCGTGGCCCTGACATCTCCCACCAGCATTGCCGTCATTGCCAGCACTCCCACTGCTCCCAGCACTGTCTACCACATCTCTCTCACCAACAACGATGCCTCCGCGCCAACCGTCCTCCGCTCCTCCACCTCAGTCACCATCTCCGACAGTTACTTTTCTCGTGCCCAACACATCTCATTCCCGCGCACCATCTCCACCCACCCTAATACTCTCTCCCACGCATTTTTCCTCCCTCCTACGAATCCTAAGTACAGCAGTGCCCCAGGCGAGCTTCCCCCGCTCATCATTACCATTCACGGCGGGCCCACCATCCACACCGACCCCGGCCTTAGCATGATGTGGCAGTACTACACCACACGAGGATATGCCGTTGCCCTGCTCAACTACGCCGGCTCCTCTGGCTATGGACGCGCCTACCGCAAGCTTCTTAATGGAAGTTGGGGTGTGCTCGACGTGCACGACGCCGCAGACTGTGCCCGCTACCTGATCTCCGAAGGCAAGGTGCACCCGTCCCGCATTGGCATTACTGGCGTTAGTTCCGGTGGATATGCCACTCTCCAGGCGATCTGCATGTTCCCGACTCTCTTCACCGGTGCGGTCAGCGTCTCTGGCATTAGTGACGTCGAAGCTCTCGTGGCCGAAACACACAAGTTCGAGAGTCACTATGCCTTCCGCCTACTATTCGATGATAAGGTGCCCGAGACTGAAGAAGAGAAGCGGAAGGTGTATCGCGAGCGGAGCCCCAGGTTCCATGCAGACAAAATCAAGGCCAAGCTGCTGTTGTTGCAGGGCACGGACGATGAGATTGTGCCGTTGAACCAAGCGCAGGCGATGGCTGATGATGTCCAGCGCAGCGGCGGGGTGGCCAAGTTGGTGATCTTTGAGGGCGAGGGACATGGGTACCCGCGGAAGGCGGAGAATGGCTTGCAGGCTAAGGAGGTGGAAGAGGGCTGGTGGAAGGAGAACTTGGCCGAGGTCAAGGGGGAACGAGTGTGATATCATGACTTGATGCAACAGAGTATCAAGCACAGGGGACCATCCAGTGAAAGAGATGTAAGCTAGGCACATCTACGTTCTAGAATATAGAGTGTCGTGATCTCATCCATCACTACAACCAAACACTCGTGCACAGATACTGAAGTTCTTCGTGACCCCCAAGCTCGTGAGACAGGCCAGTAAACCCAACAAACTAGTCACCGAACACTCCTAGAGATCAATCAATCATTATGCCTCGCCCACTAACCCGATAGAACAAAGCTACCGTAGATGGTCGGTTTTCAATATACTCCACACCTATTCGTCCATAAACACACCAGGGACTAACCCCCTAGAATATACAAATTTGACCAATGCGTTCAGTTCAGCCTTCCTTTTCATCTCACATTATATATATAAAGGATGGAGAAGACACGCTAATCCTCACAGCTACACGTCCCACACAAAAAAAGACAAAAATGCTCACACTCGGATTCGAACCGAGGATCTCATGATTACTAGTCATGCGCTTTACCAACTAAGCCATGCGAGCAATTGATGCTGCTGATGCAGAATATTATGCTATACAGACCAAACTTGAAGTATCAGAAAAGCATCCTAGTGCTCAATCGGCTATGCAGTCACACCACACCACCGAAATACAAAGAACAGATATAATCCAACTCATTATATATACAGCACACCGGAATAGAATCTAAGTGAACTAGCCAGCCAGTTTAGAGATATCCGACTACGCACTGCAGCCAAGAGACCGAGATGGATAAATTAAGAACGGCGACGGTGTGGTTCTCGTGGCCGGATGCTCTCAGGATTTAATATGGAATGAATGACCGGGCTTCACTGGAGCCCGAGATACGGCGTACTTAGTAGTAACTTTTAAGGTTGCGGTCGCCGAAGTCTTTTGTCGGTGTACAAGGGGTTTGAGTTAGTATTGACCGGATCGGGATCTGTTGGTGTTAAATGCGTCGGGGAGATGGTGGTGGTGTTTGTGGAGAAAGGGGTGAATGACATATGATGGCTTTTGTTCCGTACTTTTGGATTAACTTTGTTTTGCTGTCGGTGATAGATAAGCTTGATAGGATTGTTCAGGGATGGAATGTGTCTGGTGCTTTTAGGTTCGGAATGTTAGGTAGGTAGTGTAGGAAGGTTGAAGCTGAGCGAGTAGCGGTGCCGATTCTATTTTGGTAGGGGAATAACCAGTGTACATTAATATAAGATCCAGATATCTCTCATGTTATAAGTAGTAAGATCATCTCAATAGTCTATTCAGAGTATGCAACTTTAATTTTCTTACCCCTGTACCCACTTCGAAGGTGTAGACTGTGTACAATGGAGTCCTTAGTATTATCTCCATCTCATCCCTTCTTCTTACAACGAATGCAATAAATATAATGAAGGGAAAATTCTCCGAGAAACTAACAAATCAAATCAACCACCAAGAATATCCAATTCCAAATCACACTTAGGCCAAAAGAACCACTGCCATTGCCTCACCTCATTGATCTGCTCACCACTTCCAGACAACGCGACCAGGCAAGCATGGAACCATGGTTCCGTGAAGATAATCGGCGCCTCGGTCGGGGACCAATCCAGCTAAAATCTGCACTAACCAACGAATCCCCGGCATTTCCATGCTTCCATTCCCCTTCGATCGTCTGTCTGGTCACCCCTGCACATCCTCTCCCCGACCGTCCGAAGGAACCGCTGGTCCACGAGGAGATGTCTGCAGCTAGGATTAGAATTTTAGTATATTATCCCTGCATAGATGATGACCTGATATAGACAAAGAATGTATATTTATATAACCATGTGCTCAATCCGCGCCACAAGTATTTCCTAGAAATTCTCAATCACAGGATTGAAAGTAAAAGGCTGCGACTCACTCGGGGACTCCCGTCCTCATCGGCCCTTCGACTTTCTGGTTCTGGTTTCGGGGACCAGTTCTGTCACGGTATGTGATTGGAATGTGTGGTCCCCGAACTGCCACTCACTCACTCGGCCTTCTTTGTTCACTTCAAAATCGGTGAGAGAGGAAGTCGCCGTTACAATTTCGTTGTTCCGTATATTTCAGATTGTGATGTTGCTGGACTGGGATTCTTTCTCATGGCTCGATTTTTGCCCTTAACTTATCCATTGCTTGTATGATGAAGGTATTCTTCATCTTTGATCATCTACTCCTACTACTCGCTGTATAGCCTCAACATGTTCACGCCCGTGCATACCACGCTCGGGGCCTTGATGCTCTTCCAGGGCTCTACGGGGTTGTTGTTGCACAATGGTGCTGTGTTGGGTATCTCTTCACTCTTGTCGGGCGCTGTACTGAATCCGACAAGAGATAATGTGGCTCTCATTGCTGGTATGGTGTCGAGTGTTGTCCCCGTCGCCCTTTTATTGCCTTCCGCCATTCCGTCATATCCTGCTGCACCGAGTTCCTGGGGGACGTGGCTGTTGACTGTGGGCCATGGGTTTCTGCTGGGATGGGGTACAAAGGTAGATGAATGATTCCTCTCCTCCTGAGACGCGAGAGCTGTGATTGCTAACGACATCGTGGAATAGAACGGTCGAGGTTGCACGTCCGGCCACATGCTCTGTGGCATTTCCCGATTGTCTCCACGCTCGTTCATTGCTACTGCTGTCTTCTTCACCACCGCGTTGCTCACAGCTAATTTCTTCGCCGGCGGCTCCAACATTCCTCCATGTGCCGGTGGAACACCCTGCTACATGCCCGTCTATCCGTCCACAGCGGAACTCATCGTCATGCTCACCACCACAGTAGTCACATCCGTGGTGAACTTCGTCGTCGTGCCCCGTACCCTGGATAGATCTGAGCGCTCAAAAACCATATTCTCGTACCTGGCCGGTCTGGAATTCGGCTTGGGGCTGCTATTCTCAGGAATGGCTGACCCAGCCAAGGTTCTGCGGTTCTTTGCCTTCTTGTCCAACCCTTCACGCTTCGATCCATCGCTAGCTCTCATCATCCTCTTCGGAATCGGCCCGTCACTGATGACGTACTTGTCGACCAAACCGGGACAGCAGACTGAGGACAAGTCGGGACGGTCCACACCTACTCTGGCGGCACAGTGGAGACTGCCCACTGCGACTGTGGCGGATATTGATTGGCGTTTTGTAGCAGGCGGAGTCGCTTTTGGTCTCGCCTGGGGACTACGGGGAGTATGTCCCGGTCCGGCCATCCTGCGTAGTGTGCTACAGCCGGTTTGGGGTTTGGCAGAGATGACTGGTTTCATGCTCGGTAATCTGGTGTGACTTCTGCCCCAATGATCGCTTTTCAAGGGTGGTAGTGCTGGACCACGAACTCTTCTGAAAGGGCCATGCGCGCGAGTGGCTGAGAGCGTTCCTAATCATGAGCTATGCAGGCAATCGGGCATTAGCACAGCTCTCATAGCAAATACTCCGCGCGCCAAGATGTACATAGAGAATCCAGGGCCCCAGTGGCCAGTGAAATGTGAATATATTCAGACAATGCTTACAGTTCAGTCTTGGCTTCGTAGCCAGTGCGCTTGTTCTTTCCATGGTCATTTTCCCGAGGTTTCTGCTCAAATCCGGGCATGAAACCCTCCAGCTCCATCCACTCCGCCGCAAATGCAGTCACTAACAAACTCCAGTCCTCTACGGTCGCCAGGTCCAAATGTTCGCCATCGTCCTCAATGCGATGCCAGACTGGCGGGAATCCATGGGGACCCGCATCGATTACATGGAGGATCTCTACTCCGCGCTTCATGAAGGGAATGTGGTCATCCTGGATACCGGAATAGTAAGGAATTTCATGCTCGCTTTTCGAGGCCTGCGTGAACCACAGCCGCTGCCGGTCGGGATCATTGCCTGCGGACTTAAATTGGTTGAGCCGTCGCAGACGGCGCTCAAGTGCAGCCAATTTCTTGTATGCCCAATGTGTTGTGGGAAAGAAGGACTGGATTGTCGGATCTTTCGAGCCCAATAGGTCCAGGAGAACGAAGAGGGAGATTGAGTCCAGGGGAGTCTTGTAGATTGACATGGCTGGGTGAACATCTGAATCCCATTGCTCGGCGAGCGAGCGAGCACCGTAGAGGGAGTCAGTGTCGGTCCAATACTTGAAGGCCTCTTCACCATCCAGGAAGAGGACTTGAATGCCCGTCTGCTCATCCAATGGATTTGTTTCGCCTTGTGCCTGCATGGCCTCCCACTTCTTTGTCAAAGCTGCATCGATGCTCCTCATGGCGTGCATAATCATCGCGCAAGGCGCTGCACTGTCAATAGCCCCGATGAATCCTTCCGGCTCGTATTTACTGTCGTAATGGGCGACCAGGGTGAGTCGGCCAACATCGCCGGGAGCCGCCCACGGGGGGTCACGGGATGCGATCAAGTTCACAAACGGCACATCCTTCCCATTCGACACAGGTGTTTTTGAAGTCGAGTTCTGAAAGTCAAGATTCCAGCCGGGGAGCGAGTTTCGGAAGAAGTCGACGAAGTGGTTCAGCACGGCTGTCGATCCGGAGGTCCCAGACACACGAGGCCTCAGGATTGGGGACAATATGGCGCCGGTATGGATATCGAAGTCATCGTTCGGACGGGGAAGCGATTCTAGTGTTTGATCCGAGATGGCCTGGTAAGCGTTGCCTGGAGCGAGCAGGAAGAGGACAGTAAGATAGATGGAGAGCAAGGGGGCCAGAAGGCCACGATAAGCCGGATACATGGCTGGGTAGAGCGCAGCGACCGAGGTCAGCGAGCCTTCATCGCAAACAGTATCGACAGCGTTTTAGCAGCCTCCGATGAAGGAGAATCGTGACGATACCGACAAGCAAAGTCAGGGGGAGGTTGTTGAGGAAGCGATAGCGATTGGGGAAGGTTCAAGTCTATTCCAATCTATTGTCGGGCTGTCAATCGAACCCCCGACCGCCAAGCCGGATCACGTTGCGGAGCTTCTCCAAACTCCCAGAAAAAAGTTGCCGGGCCATCCTTTCGCGCGGAAGTCAGTCTTCGCATCGTGTCTTTTCAACTCTTCCTACCTGCTAGCTGGCGCAAATATACAGCCAGGAGCTCAGACCGAACTTATAAGCGCTCCCTCAAAAACCACCCAATGCGTCCTGTCATCCTGCTGAGCGCGCAACTGCGCTCCGCACTTCCCCGGAGCGTGCGGAGAGACCTCAACAGCAAGCTATTTGCTCGGTTGAAGACGACCCAGAACCCTGTACCTCCGCCGAAGCCCAGTGCTCCTTTTATTAAGCGGAAGGAGCCTCTTGCACCCCGGAATCCGCAGACATCTCCTACCAAGCATGCCAAATTGACGTTTCGCAAAGGTATTGCTCGCCCCGCTGAGTTGCTAAAAGCCAGAGAATCAATGCTGAGCTGGAATCTGTAGGGCCACCGGAAAAGATCGTGGTGTATTATAGCGGAAAAGGAAAGACAGCTGTGGTGGGAACATTGAAGCTCGTTTCTCTCTTAATATTCGGGGTTTCCTGTTTTCTTCTTGCTCCAGCATTCGCATCATCGGACGAGCATCCATGGTACCTCGCCCCCGCAAGTAAGTGGCCCCAGTCGAATGCCGACATGCTCATGCTTACTCTTGGAAAGTTGCAATTGGCGGTACTCTTCCGATGATCTTCATCCTCTACACTACATCTCCATTTGTCGTTTACGTGCACGTTGCCATCCCCGCTTTTGCCCGCCGCTCTCGCGAGACTATGATTGAATATGTGAAGAACCTGCCGCCCACGGCCACCTTGTACATGACCACCATTCGGCCAACTTCGCTTCCTCAACAGACAGAGGTCAGGCTGGGTGACTTGGTTCTCAACAAGTCTTTTCTCCGGCCTATAACCTTTACCAATTCGAAGCCCGCGCCCTCTCCATGGTGGGCAGGAAAAACCCCTCAACACTTCTACACGGATGTGAAGGCCCAGCGCTCGACTGAATACCCGAACTACTTCCCTGCGTTGTGGGATAATGTGTACAAGCAAATCCAGAATAAGGGCTTGAAGAAACAGAACTGAGAGATTCACTGAACTTGTTTGATACCAATGGCAGAGTAGGAGCTTGATGGTACATAATCATCGCCAAGGTCCCAGTCTGTTTTTGCTGTTTGCTTCGTGACCAGCAAAGCGAGCTGGCTTCAGCTCATTCACAGCAACTTAGTTCTATCTCTGCTGTTGCACCATTTGATTCTGTGGCAACGCTGCTCTTTGCTCGCCAAGAACTTCACCTGTTTATCATCCACGCGCAGTCACCTCTTACTTCTTTTCTCACTCTTTCCTCGCTTATCCTTCCGAACTTCACTCCAAACCACGCATATCATCACTTTCTATACCCCATCACTTCCGGCGCATCCAACCATGTCTGCGCTCAAGCCCAACCAACCCGAATCTCTTATGGGGCTGAGTATGGCCGAAGCGCGGATGATCATTCTGGGCGTACTGAGTTCCGATAAATCTGGCAAAGTATACACCCTCATTTTACATCTATAGAGAAACCGCTGACAACAACTACAGGTCGACTTTGACAAGATGGCCGTCAAGGGAGGCTACAAGAACGCCCAATCCGCTAGTACTCTTTATCACAAGGCCAAGCGTAGGCTCCTCGACATTCATACTAATCCGGCCGATCAAGAAGCTGGTGCCTCTGTCACTCCTTCGAAGGAACCCGCTTCCACCACTGCTACTCCCAAGAAGACGCCCGCGAAGCGTGGCAAGGACAAGGCTGCCGCTGATGATGACAACACTGGTGCTACCGAGAATACTCCAACTCCTTCCAAGGGGAAGCGTCAGAAGACGGCAGTGACTCCGAAGACCCCTCGCTCTGCCACGAAGGCTACGAAGACGGAGGCTTTGTAGGTATTCTTACCCGTTGTGCCTGTCCTTGTTGCTAATTGTTATTCGTTCTATACAGCAAACCTGGAGATGCCACTACTCCCACTCCGGCCAAAGGCAAAGTTGCCGTGAAGAAGGAAGAACCCGATACGGAGCTCGAAACCACTCCCGTCAAGGAGGAGTCGAAGTCTGACGACGAGGAACTCATGAGTACCAGCCAGATAAGTGCGGAGTTCTCTGCCATGGAGCAGCACCCCGAGACTCCCAAGTGAATGGGTTGACTTGATGAGCCTGATAGCGTGGTTTGCCCTTGTCACGCCGAGAACTTGCTGGAAAATGCTACGGCATTTCTATTACGGGATAATCGTGAGATGAATGGAAGCAGAGTTTATTGAATGTTTTCTTTGGTCTGATCCGGTTTGCATGACGTGTTGCCTATCACTGCTAGTGATTACGGAGATATGGCAGTTCAGTTGCTTTCTAGTTAATGAAGTCAATATTGAATTAAACCCAACTCTGCTTCAAATTGAAAGTAACATGTTTCATATGAGCATCAGCAGCAGAGAAAAACCCCAGCCCATGTCTACGAAAGTTAGAGAGTGAAGGCCATCAGAATGGCCCAACTTTCAAACCCATCAAGTAGATGTAGACCGAAAATCAAGTCGTACCGCATAATGTTTCCAAGCCCTCCATCTAGTGCTACTAGAAGTGACATCCGATGCAAATAAATATTCTAAAGCTACGATGCTTACCGATATTAGTAGCCAGTGGTGTTTATTCCACACAAGCACATATGTAGTGGGCTGGCTATTTTAACGCCCTCATCATTGAAGAGTTTGGCTTCAAGTTTCGCCTGCTTCTGCACACTCACTGATCACTCGTGGGATATTCACCAACTGCCCCGAGCAGCATTGACGCTTCCTACGTGACGAGCACCCGGCCTGTAAACGGCGAACAAAATATTCCTGTCACGTCTGATTTGCCATCCGTGGCTTGTTGGCAAGTATGTTTAAAGAGTTGTGGCGTTTCTCTTTCACATGCTCTAACAATTAATTTGTACATTGTGATGTAGAATGAGATCCTGGAGTATATTGAATCCACAATTCTACTAGTACCTATAATCTTAATGTTTGATAATCACAGGCTTTCTCTAAGCCTGTGGTGTAGCTACAAGACTATGTTATAGTTACCCTATCGTAGTAGAGAAATATACTACAGTATAAAAGTACAAATGCATCCACTAAAAACTGGTCATCTGCTCTTCGTTTGGTAGCAGTGATTCTTACAGACAGTGGCTCTTAATTAGCGCCATGCCACAACAATGCATTCAGCGAACACCCTCTGTCACGAAACCACAGCCAGTTTCTGCATCAGCTATCGCGGTAACAATGCATCAATTACGACATACAATCGGGTCGCTGTCGGCTTGCATTCCGGGAAAGCTTGTTCCGAACTGCTCGGGCATTTGATGGGTTCGTTACTGTTGACGGTCTCAATGACAGTAACTACTATTTTGTCATCGTGAATAATGTTGACGATGATGGGAAGGCGAGAACCGAGGCTCTTACAGGTGGCGATGATTTGCATAAGAGGAGAGAAAGCACGCATATTCAATATACTCATAATAATATTATCCATAAAATCTTACCAATATATAAGCCTAGTAATGATAACACTACTATACCTATATATCTTTCTTTCAACACCTCAAACTCGTCGCACCTCCTCCGTGAACTCAACCACCGTCCTCACCAAGCCCTCCATCCAGCTCAGATGCGGCGAGTGCCCCGTCGGAGCATGATATACCTTGAAGTTTACACTTTCGCGCTGGGCATGCATAGCAATCATCTTCTCCTGATACGCTGGCGGCAGACAAGTATCCTCATCAAGGACCACATAAGCACACGGAACAGCGGCGTAAGCATCGTTAGTCAAGGCTCCAGTGTTGACAGGCGAGGCTGTCAACGTGGCGGTCCACTTCTCGACTGCTTGAGGGTCATCCAGGCCCTTGAACATGTATTGAGCTGTTTCTTCGGTGGTTGCTAGACCGTCTCTTCCGTTTTTCTGGATGCAACATGTCAGTGTCCTTGAAAGAGACATGTCACAGGGGCACAGGGGCATACATACATAGAACTGAACAAAAGGGGGAACGCGCCAACTGCCATCCTTAGGCTGGAAGAAACTATGTACGGATTCGCCGACGGGAACCAGGAACCCGGCGACATAGAAGATGCCAATCACGCCTCCTTTTTGGGGCCCGCGGTTCTTGAACTGTAGCTCGGGGATGGCCGCTTGGGTGGCCACCAGCCCGCCGGAGGAATGGCCCAGTAGGAGGACGAGTTTGTTTTCCTGGTTGATGAGCTTATCAAGTAGCTCGTGAACGATCTTCACATCGTCCAGGTCGTTGGGATACCCTCCTGCGGGTGGATCGCGGTTGAAGTCCGGATGTTGGAGGTCGTTGCCCACGTTTAGCTTCCTGAGGTCGCAGGTTGCGCGCTGGGGACAGTATGTCTCGAAGAGGCCGTGGGAGGTTAGGGCCTCCATGAAGGGCCCATAGGGGGCGGGCGTGTGGTAGGAGGCGGTGCAGATGACCACGGCTATTTTATGGTCGGGAGAATTGGCCATATTTAGGAGTTCCGTTAAAAGTGAGGAATGAAAATAGGATTTTGCAGGATATGACTGTGTTAATGCTCTATCTGGATGTCTTGATTACAGAAGTGATTGTGGCCGACTGGTTATACTTCTATCATGGCAGACTACGAAGTGTACAACCACAACGGTGATGGGAGTAAGCCCTAGTTTCACGGACCTCGCAGCCATACAAGGCACCTTTGCAAAAAATGGGGCCATGCGCATGGGGGCGGACACAAGGAAATGGGGTAAGAGATAGGCGAGACGGATCAATTACCTGTTGAGTGTCTTGACAAATGGAGAGGCTGAAGGATCCACCCGGAGGTGAGCCCCTCCGCCGCGGGCGAGAGATATGCTCTAGTAGACTTAGTCTCGGTACTTGTTGGTTGTTGCAGAATTTGGTCCACCACTTTTTTGCCCCCAAACGCCATCTCTCATAGTCATGCTAGTCTTGACCGTTGTTTGATAGTCTTCAGACTAACTGGCCCTGGCCCTGACCCCGCGTCCTCTGTCTTCTTGAATTCTGGGATCGGACCTTTTTTTTTGTTTCATTTTCTTATTTCTTTTTTCTCATTTTGTCAATTTGATTTCAATTTTTGGTTTCAATTTTAGTTTTATTTTTATTTTGTCCGTTAGCGTTCTTATTTTTATTTGGCTTTTCCTCTTGCACGCAAATGACTCTCATTCATAAATAACCGTCATTGCTGACCACTTCAACACCATGCTGTCTCACCACCTCAAGGTGTATACTATCACATCATGGCGGGCCGATCTCTCCCTGCGCTGCTTGTTACCCTTGCAATAATCCACCGGCCATTTGGCTGCGATATCGTCTCAGAATATCCTCCTCATCCTCATCATGTCGCTGCTTCCCCGGTGATACCTGCTGGCCCTCGTTGGAGGAATGGACAGCCCTAGATTCTACTTATTTGCGATAATATAGTTCATTCAGTTATACAGACACACAACAGAGTCTCGCCGGCCCGAAGCTCATGACTGAAGTCCTAGTACCGGAGCTCGAGGCCTTGTCGCTGCCCGGCGAGTCGTCGAGTGCGTACCTCAATGAAGCGGATTCTAGCACGCCACATTGGCAGAAGGCGTTCTATGGGGCGCCATATACTCATCTCCATACCATGAAGGAGAAGTATGACCCCGAACAGGTCTTCTACGGTCGTACGGCGGTGGAGAGTGAACGGCGGTTCGAGAAGGCAGATGGGCGGTTATGTCAGGCTGCTTGATTTTCACTCCTTTGAGGGAGTTCTGACTTAGGGAAATACACTATAGTAAATTATGGGTTTATATTGGTGGTATAGAACTGGATAATCAATGATAGCGATTAAACCAACATCAGAACAAAACCAGCAGACACGACAACTCCTAATTACGTCAACCCCAGCCAACGACCGGATAGACCCGTTAACTCACAAGAGGGACGAAAAAAGAAAGAAAAAGCAAGACACATCCCCTGAGATTCCAACTGCTTCTACTGCAATGAAATCTCCTGCCGTTCATTTTTGACATCCAAGACTCCAATACGGAGATAATCTCCACCTTCAAGAACCCAAGTCAGGCCCCCATCAATATCTTCAATAGTAGTGGCGAAAAGATGATAGTAGTTCACGCCATCAATATTAGTCGTCTGGATTGATTGAAAGGATGTTCCCTCGTCTTCTGTAAGATCGCAGGTAGCTGATTGCCCGCTGCAGCTAATATAGGACCGCAAGGCAACATTGCGAATCATGAATCCTTGGTTGGTGTTACTGGATTCCCACTGATCCAGGCCCTGGAGGCCGTATGTGTTCAAGCTGCTGAAAGCTATGGTTTCGTTGGCGTTCTCTGCGTCTGGTTTCGCGACGGCGTACTCGGTACTACCGCGATAGCCGATACGGAAGCTGAAGCTCGGTGCGGCTTGGCAGGTGAGGGCGGCGAGGAGGGTGGTGATGGTTGCTGTGAGGATGGGTTTCATTTTGCTTGTTTGGATGAGTAAATGGATTTGAGTGATTAGAGATAATGTTTGTTGCTTTAACCTTGGGCTTGAGTTTGAGTAGTAGATGATTGAAGTCCAGAAAAATAGAGGGTAGAAATGGTGGTAATTATACTCGACTGGTTTGGAACAAATATTTCGTAACCATTGGAGACGACGTTGATTATTACACCCTTGTCTCACGATCATTGACTGTCCCCAGTAATATGTAGTGTCTTATATCTAGTATCTACTAGTGTACTGGCATGCATGTCGCATGCCTTGGGCATAATTGAGCAAGACAGCCTCCAAATTAAAGTTGGGAGTTCGGGTAAATGTCCGCGGATGCAACAGGGACAGAGTTTGGAAATGTTACGGTTTGACAGCCTTAGCTGCAACTTAACTTACTGTGGATGGGACTCCAGGAACCGAGAGACAATTATGTGAGCAGAAGAAGGTGGGTCAATTGAGCTCACGGATGGTTCTCGTTCTCGGCTATTCCACAAGAGTCACAACGTCATACGAATTGTTGTTTCGTTCCTCTTATGTATAATCGTCATGGATCTGTAGCTTACAGTACTGGACATATTCTCAGAGCTATCTTATATCAACTCTTGATGTAGAATGTTACACTGAGTGTAGGTGGGCTGATCATTGGAGGTTGGGGTAATTAGATATGTGGGAAGCAAGTAGGTAATGGATACGACCTGGGTTGCCTTTTGGGAACTGCCACTATGACCACTACTATTAATAATGTTACTACCAATTTGTCCAGAAAGTAAAGAGAATTAGAAGTATGAGGGACAGTTGAGGGGGGGGAGGGGGCAGATGTCATATTCATCTTCTAGATGCCTCCAATGTTTTTCATATTAAGTAAAAGAGCATAAGTATTATGTTAGTGAATATTGGTCAACTCATTGAATCTACAGCAACATTTAGGATTATTCAGTGTTTGCTAGACCTCTCTGTCTTTAATGCACAAAGAAGTCAATTTATTTAGGATTTTCACGCATGCAGCCTTACAGTAAGACAAGATGTTAAGGTCAGTCCAGCCTGGTCTTGGCATGCACAAGATCGCGTGGCTTCTCCTACGAGCACAGTCACTGCAGAAATGACAGACTTAAACCATTGCGAAGACAAGAGTCGAAATGATGGAAGAACTCATTTCTGTAAATTTTTTGATCATGTATACACTGTATAGTAATGAAGACAAAGGAAAGTTCAGCCGTAATGAACACCTTCGGAGATTATTCCCCACCCTTGCACACCCCAAAAATAAGAGAACCCCGAAGAACAATATGGTATAGACAAAAATATAAGAAAGAAAAGGACACCAGAGAAACTTCAAGATCATCGAACATGAATATCCGTCCGAATAGTAATATCTTTCCCCTGCCCGTTCGGACACGACAACCGTGCTGTCTCCGGTCTCCTTGGTAGTGTCTGATCCGGCGAAGGTGACGGAGCCATCATAGCATCATGATGATCCTCCATCTCGCACGCCTTACCACTCTTCTCAACCTGATGTAACGGGAGAGCTTCCTCATCGAAAACAGTGTTATCATTCAGCGTGGCCATCTCACTGAACCGACCGCTGCCGCCGTCACTCCGGCCCAGGCCTGCTGCGCGGCGCCGCACAAAGGTGTTCATGATGGCGGCGGACGAGCGAGGGTCAGGAGTGCCTTTCCGTCCGCCAGAGGATCCACCGCGATGGTCGCCGAAGATGAGCGGGCCGAGGGTTGGTAGTGAGGCGCAGATCATACCTACGTTGACTTCGAGGATGGAGAAGAGGCCGATGCGTGCGATGGCATGGGTCGCGTCCGTCATGTCGAGGGTGACGGCGAAGACGATGCGGGTTAGGTTCATGGCGCAGATACTATCTCAGACATACGGGATCAGTTTTGAGTTTCTTAAAGTGGAGTACGGTGGGTAGGGAGGCATACACAAGACCCAAACTAAAAATCCCACTCAGCATGGCCTTGCGGGTCCAGCTCATTTGCAGTTTCCAGAGCGACGGGAGAGGCAGAACCACGATAAAAAGGTCCAAAATCATGTTGATGGTGGCTGTGGCGACGTCCATTTTGACGCTGTCGCCGCAGTGGCCCGTCGTCATCAGCGGGTCCCAGTTCTTCTCGATCGGTTGGCAGAGAAGGCCGGCGATCAGGAACATGGCTGCTGCCAGTGCCAGACTGAGCGCTCCGATTGTGTAGCAGGAGGCCCGGAAGAGCTTGCCACGGAAAATCTCCAGATACAGGCTGAGGATGGAGAATTTGACTAGGGTGGTGGCGATGGCCCAGATGAATTCGCTGGCGAGGACAATCTTTGGTTGAGTTGATGTTAGTCTTTGGGTGGAGAAGGGAGGAAGGTAGAGAGGCATACCTTCAAAGCATTGACCACCCGATCGGGATACAAGGTCATAGCCGTCATGATGTGCATGCCAATGGCATTCGGGCAGATCCCCCAAAGGAATTGGGCTGAATAGGCCATAGCAACTATATAACCAGCATAGTAGAAGTAGCCCATGAAACCAAAGGGTCGCGGATTGACGATGCTCAGCCAGACACGAAGGCCAACGCAGATGGTGACCAGTACCATGGAGATGATCGTCACGACGAAGGCACTCTTGCCTGGGCCTGTAGATAGGCCACCCAGGGGGTACTGGTCCATCGTGGGCGCGGCTGAACTGGACATAACGCAAGTGAAAGCAAGTGAAAGGGAAATACAAACGCAGCTCTGCTCAACGCAATCAGAAAAGAGTCATGAAGGAAAGTGTTGGATTCTCTGATCAGGATCCCTACACGTATTATGACTGATTGAGGGGGTTATATCCCGCTGTGAAAAGATCCCGGTCTGCCTTGTTGAACTAATGCACGGGGGCTGCAACTGACACACCAGACACTTCTTGCTGCTTCGCCCCCATTCTTAGTGCTTGGTCGGCCCTACTGAACATGATTGGGGTCTTGAGGTTTCACTTGGTCACTCAGCCTATTATGACGGTCATAAGCAGTGGTGCCTTGCAGGGTGTTTGTTCACTTTCTTGATCCTGAACCAGTTCTGAGCCCTGCCACAAGAATGGGGACGAATAGTATGATGTGGGGTTGGCTACTTTAACAAGTTCTAGACTACCTGATGCTGAAGAACAAGAATCTGGCAGTCTTTGTTTATGTTATCTGTCACTGTAAGTTATACAGTACCACTGTGTACAGGCAGGAGTTGATGCTAGTGTAAATTAGGAAGGAGGAGCGAAGAGAGTGGATTAACTGTTATAAGAGTATACTAACAACTATTAATGGACACGACTCTTGCCTGTGGATCATTATTTTAAGTCATTGCTGTTGGCTGTTGAGTCCGTCGTATTGGGCTGTGCTAGCAGCGGTTGATACTAGCACACGTGTGAGAGTTGGGGGCGGATACAGAATAGGGTTAACTTCTGTACGAAGTACCATGTGCTGCCAAGGAAAAGATGCCGACTGCTAATTTTCATCTTATCCATGATTATTAGCCGTCTGCTATGCAGAACTCATCTCCTAGCCTGCAGAATCAATGGTCAATACCAGAATGTGGGGACTGGGGGCGAAGTCTTAAGTGGGTCAATTACTAACAAACACAGCCCTGACTAGTGCAATTGATGATAACTGTAATCAATTCATCTGAGTAACGGCGAACAGACCCCTGACATTGATCCTGCAGGGACTAGTCTGCAGACCCAATTGTTCCTCCGACTTTTCTTATCCTTGCACGGCCCCCATGTCACAAGCCTCGGTATCGGTACGTGGAGTGAAATCTGCTTGCCCTTCTCACGAAGCTCCACTCCAATGATAATGCCACACGGGCAGCGAATACAGCACGAGCTGCCAGAAACACCACCACTTCCAAGCCGTCACATCTCCCGTCTTCCGTAGCACGCACGCACCAATCCAGCCCCCAAGCGCCATGGTTCCAGCGGAGATGAGGAGGGGCACTTCCCCCCAGAACCACACACTGGCCACACTCCAAAGGCATACGCAGGCAGCAATCCACACCCGTGAGACCGAGTCGCCTACCACCAGGGGCCATGTCTTGCGTCCTCGGGTGCGGTCACCCACCTGATCGCGAAGATCTTGAATCTGCATCGTCGTCATAATCACTCCTGCGATCATGGCTAACCATTGATACCCTGTCGTCGAGACAGTCACCTCGCTGCACGTCTCCGTCGCTGTCCCCAGCGCAATGCGGAGGGAGCCCATCAGGAACACATCGTAGGCGATGGCGATAATCACGTCGCGGGTTAGCTCGTCGCCCCCATGTAGGTCGTTATACATCCAAGTCAACAGCATGATCAGCGCCGTTTCCCAGGAGGCGTCTAGAACGAAGCCGAGCCCTAACACAGCCGGGATGGCCGCCAGTAACAGCTGGCGGGTCTGGATGGGGCTGATTTTCCCGCGTGCCAGCGGCCGCCATGGCTTGTTAAGCGAATCTTCCGTGACGGATTCTGGTAGTCGCTGATTCGCGACGTCGAAAATGAGCAGGTTGGCCCAGTTGAAGAGGATAACGGGAGGCGCGGCACGAAGCAGAAGGCTGAGCGCCCCGGGACTTTCGGAGCAGCTGGTCAGCGTCGGAGCCACCGAGGCCGCTAGGAGGCCAAAGCCTGCGTTTGGTAGTGCAAATGTCGCGAAGTCGTTTTCTGTAAACTCCCAGATCAAACCAGGAAGGTCCACCAATCGTAGGTTTTTGGGGGCCGACATGGCGAACGGCGTGGTCTGTCTTCGATTCTGCCTGACTGAACTGGAGTAGAATAGCTGAAAAGGAGGGTTGATTTGGAAGCTCGATGCCGTGGAAGAGGCCCTTTATATACCTCGAACTCAACCTTGACGAGAAACAAGCCCCCAGAGCAGGAGACTCGTCTTGATAATCCCACTCCACCTCGTACCGACGCTTTGTATCAAACAGGAATCATGAATTCTATCCAAGCCCCGTACGTTGGGGGGCTGATGGGCGTTGCTCTTCATCATGGACTATTCATC